CCCACACACACACATCAAGGAATCACAGGGATTGAAGCACCCCCCCCCACACACACACACACGCTGGCACCCCCCCACACACACACACACGCCGGCCCCACACACACGCACACACACACACACACACACACACACACACACGCCGCCCTCCCCCCCCCCACACACACACGCCGGCCCCACAGGAAGGAAGCCCTGACTTCCCCAGCTATTCCAGTTACATAAATCAACAGCTGATCATCCTGTGTTGGTCCCTGCCTGGCGTTTGGACCCACATTTGCCTTTTAGAGCTGCCCGCCAATGAATAACCATGTTACATTACATCAGATAAATGTGCCTAGATCAATATTGTTTCTAACTATCCAAGGTTTCTTATTGCTGTAAGAATCCTTCAATTTAAAAAAAAAAAATGTCCTGTTAGTTAAGAGACATTGGTGGTGGCGCCACTATCCTCAAAGCAAAGTCTGCCACACACAAGAGAGCAGCAGGGTTTCAGTCAGCAGAGAGCCTTGTAAAGCTGCTTACCTAATTTTTTGTATTTCAAAGAACAATAAACTTTCCTCCTTTCTCTTACAATGGAACAACAGTTAAAAGAACTGAGAAGCCAGCCGGGCACAGGTGGCTCACACCTGTAACCCTAGCTATACGCAGGAGGCTGAGATCTGAGGATCACGGTTCAAAGCCAGCCCAGGCAGGAAAGTCTGTGAAACTCTTATCTCTAATAAACCACCAGAAAACCAGAAGTGGCGCTGTGGCTCAAGTGGTAGAGCACTAGCCTTGAGCTGAAGAGCTGAGGGACAGCGCCCAGGCCCAGAGTTCAAGTCCACAACCGACTAAAAAAAAAAAAAAAAAGGGCTGGGAAGGTGGCTCAGTGGTACAGCACTTGCCTTGCATGCATGAGGCCCTGGGTTCGATTCCTCAGCACCACATAAGCAAAAAGAAAAAAGCCGGAAGTGGCGCTGTGGCTCAAGTGGTAGAGTGCTAGCCTTGAGCTGAAGAGCTGAGGGATAGCGCCCAGGCCCAGAGTTCAGGCCCCGCAACCGGACCCAAAATTAAAAATAAAATAAAATAAAATAAAATAAAATAAAATAAAAAAGAAGAAGAAGAAGAACTGAGAAGTTGGGCACACAAGCGGCCCACACCTGTCATCCTAGCTACTCAGGAGGCTGAGATCTGAGGATTGTGGTTCAAAGCCAGCCCTGGCAGGAAAGGCTATGAGACTCATCTCCAGAAACCCAGAAGTAGCACTGTGGCTCAAGTGGTAGAGCTCTAGCCTTGAGCTGAAGAGCTGAGGAGCTGAGAGACAGCGCCCAGGCCCAGAGTTCAAGCCCCACAAGGACCAAAAAAAAAAAAAAAAAGCTACATTGTCTTTGTGAGAGAGAAGAAAAAAAGGGAAGGAGAAGATCAGAAGAGAAGGAGGAAGGAGGGAAGAAAGTAATATCTCCAAGAAAAACAAAAAAACTTAAAAAAAAAAAACAAAAAACTTGGGAGCAGCTCCCTAGGGGCCTAGTTCAGATTTTCTCCTCTTTCATGTTTTCTAAGTTTATTGTAAGGGTGATCTACAGAGGGGTTACAGTTCCCTTTTAATAGTGCTAGCCCTCTCCCTCATTTTCTCCCCCTTCCCCCTAATTTAATCCTCGTATTTCTCCTGAATTATATCCATCAGGGCACAGTGTCATCCAAGTCTACACCAGTAAACAAAGAAGGCTAGGCGTCAAGCCTGTCATAATTCCAGAGTTTTCACTAACTGCTAAGAAGGATCACTAGCTGGGTGCCAATGGTTCACACCTGCAACCCTATTTAGGAGGCAGAGATCTGAGGATCAGCTCAAAGCCAGCCAGGACAGGAAAAGCCATGAGACTCTAATCTCCAATTAAGCACCCAACAAGCCAGATGTGGAGCTATGGCTCAAGTGGTAAAGGATCAGCCTTGAGCAAAGCAAGTTAAGGGATAGTGCCCAGGCCCTGAGTTAAGCCCCCAGGCTCCCACAAACACACAAAAATCATTCAAAAAATAAAAAATAAATAAAACAAACTCCTCCAGTTGATTTAGCATCTGCACAACTCCTTCCTGAGAACTCAAGTGGAAATCCTGATCTCTCCCACTGAGCCACACACTGGCCCTCTCAGAGTACTATTATTGTGTGGCTGGTGTCAAATGCCCTCCTATACCACTTTCCCAGTCTTTTGTCCCCAAACCTGATCCATTTCCATGAAAGAAAACAGTTCAGCTTTCAAAGTTCTAAAGCGTAAGGACAGATTGCTCTCCAGGTAATGACCGCAGAGCCCTCACACTAAGGCAGCCTCAAAATACGGACAGGGTCCTTTAAATTCTGGTTCTCCTTCTTCCCACAATTCTCCAAGTCCATTAGACTCTTCTACTTTGCCTCAGGTCTAATTAGATTAATACAGCTCCCTACTTGCCTTAACTCACCAATTACCCCATTTGACAGAGGGAGAGCTCTGAGGCCAGGGCAGACATGGCTAATCTACCTCCCATCTGTATCAGAACAGAGTGGCTCTAGCTAGCGGACTCAGGAGCTGTGGTTTCTTAGTGATGTATACTAAGTTGCTTTCTCTTTGAGATTTAGCCCTGGCAGAAAGTCAAGCATTTCCTGATCACTCCCAAACATACCAGAATCAATCTTTATAGCACACCAACCAACCAACCAGGCACCAGGAGGGGGAAGCTGACCATCTCCAGCTCTTTGTCTCCACCCATCCATTCATTCATTCATTCATTCCTTCACCTCCCAGCAAGATGCTCTGTTACATGTCCACACGTCCCCTCAAATACCTAGTGCTGTGCCTGTTGTTCTGTGCCATCATCTGTACAACTGGGAAGAGCAAAACCGGAATCTGGCTCTCAATGGAAAAAAATGGACGGCATGAATAGAAAAAGGGGAGCCATGAAGTTGGGGATTCCAAGGCCTAAGGGAAGGAAAAATTTCTCCTTTACAGAACCAGGCAAGATGTCCCTAGAAATGGGGGCGTACCCTTGCTGGGGGTGGATGTGAGTTGAGGGTCCCGAGGTCCAGAGTTTGAACTTTACTCCCCATTGTGATGGATAAAGAGGGTAGAAATCTAATCCAACTGACCTTCGGAGACTTTAGAGGGGAACACCCTGTGACTCAATCCTGGTCACCTTATAAAGAGCAAGCGAGGCTGGGGCCAGGGCTCAGTGGTAGGGAGCTGGCCTAGCACACCTGAAGCCCTGGGTTCCATTCCTCAGTTGCACATACACAGAAAAGGCCAAAAGTGGGGCTGTGGCTCAAGTGGTAAGAGTGCTAGCCTTGAGCAAAAAGAAGCTCAGGGACAGCACCCAGGCCTTGAGTTTAAGCCCCAGGATTGGCCAAAAAAAAAAAAAGGAAGAGAAAAAACAGACACACACACACACACACACACACACACACACACACACACACACACACACACACACACACACACACACACACACACACACACAAGGATTGGGCCAGCCAGAAAGCTTTGAGATGGCAGTCCTCACACCTCCAACATGAGCCAAATAAAACTTGTTCTTTTCTTTTTTTTTTGGGCGGGGGTCTGGTCGTGGGGCTTGAACTCTGGGCCTGGGCGCTGTCCCTCAGCTCTTCAGCTCAAGGCGAGTGCTCTACCACTTGAGCCACAGCACCACTTCACGCTTTTTTCTTTTTGTTTATGTGGTGCTGAGGAATCGAACCCAGGGCCTCAGGCATGCGAGGCAAGCGCTCTACCACTGAGCCACCTTCCCAGCCCCATAAACCTCTTTTTCTTTATACATACCTCAGGTAGTTATCACAATAACCAAAAAAGACAAACTAATATCTTTCTGACTTCAAAGTCACAGGTTCCTTTTGAATAGCACTGCACCCCGCTGATCCTGTGGGTTTCATTTCAAGTAATAAATACACACACACACACACACACCAAGTACTGGTGGCTCACGCCTGTAATCCTACCAATTCAGGAGACTGAGATGTGAGGATCACGGTTCAAAGCCAGCCCAGGGAAGGAGCATCTGCGAGACTCTTCTCTCCAATGAACCACCAGAAAACTGAAAGTAGAGCTGTGGCTCAGAGTGTCAGCCTTGAACAGAAGAGCCCAGGGACAGCACCGAAGCCCTGAGTTCAAGCCCCAGGACCAGTCCCCCAAAACACACGCAGGCACAGGTCTGGCCTCATCCCAGGACACCTTGAGCCCCAGGCACCCCAACACTCAGAGTAGAAGAGTCACAGGTCAGCAGCAGCAGCTCCTGCCTAGACCCAGCAACCTCTCCAAGCACTTCACAGAGGAAAACAGCTCCAGTTGAAACTTGTGTCCACACGGTCCACCGACAGATTTAGAACTCAAATTATAGCCTCGGCAGGAGTCTTCACAAAGGACTCAAATTAAGCAAGCCCCAGATGGGGAGCCAACAGGAGCAAGACAGCCTGACGGCGCCCTGTCAAGTGAGCAGCGTCCAGGCCAGTGCAGGGGCAGACCTGTTGCACACAGGGACCTGCCTGGGTCTGGGGACCGCGCTCACTCCGGGGCAGGCTCGCCCCAGCTTTGCAGCCTGGGACTTGTGTGCGGACACGAAGTGGTTACGGAGTTACTCAGGTTTCAAACAGTTCATTCCTGTCCTTTAGACCATCTCTCAATGCCAGCATTCATCGACTTGGGCTCCTGAGAGCTCTGCCTTTGGCAAAGCAGATAAAATTAGCTACTGGAGTGAACTCGGAATCCAGGGTGGGCCTTTATGAAAGTCCACAGATGTGCAAACAACAAGGAAACAACTGGAGCGGGCCGATTCACTCACTGACAAGACCCTTTCCCAGGGGCGGCCTCCCTGCAGGCCCGCGGCATCTAAGGTGACCCATTTCCTGCTTCCCCTCCTGCCTCTCACGGTGGCCACAACCCAGGGCTCCCCTATTGGTCAAGAGATGGCCAGAGGGCTCAGGAGGAGAAATACAGCAGGAAGACCCAAAGGACCCTTCTCTTATTTTGGGGGGAAGGGGAGGTCAGTTACACGACACCAGGAGGGCTGAGGCGCAGGGGACAGGAAGTGGGTTCCTCCCACAGCCTGGCAGTGTGATAATGGGGAGACAATGTTGCGGCCTGGTCCTGACCTCCACACTGGCCTAGGGTGGCCCCGTGGCTGGAAAATGACCAAGGGGGTCACTGGGAAGCAGCCCCTCCCCACAGGTCCCCAGATTGAACAGGTTTTAGAAGGATGGGAAAACAGCACCCTGAGGCCAGGTACGCTGCGAAGGGCATGAAACCCTATTTCAGAAAAGTCCACTTCATGGATTTGTCAGAAAGAAAGAAAGGTGGGCACTAGCTGCGTCTGCACTCAGAGCCCTCCGCACGCACCTGCACCACAGCCACGTTTCACAGAAAGACTGAAAGCCCAAACTTTTACACGTCTTGTTTTTTGTTTTGTTTTTTGAATACAAGAGTGGGCCTTCTGCCTCTAGGTCTACCAACACACTCCATAAACCCCAAATGAAAACTAAGCTAGAAGTCCTGAGAACACCCCCAGACCCCCTAGAGTGGCGGAAAGGAATGGGGGAGGGGGAAGGGGGGAGGGGGAAAGGAGGGAAAGAGGGAGAGCAAGAGAGGAGGGGGAGGGGGGAGAGGAGGGGGAGGGGGGAGAGGAGGGGGAGGGGGAGAGGGGGCGGGGAGGGGGAGAGGGGGCGGGGAGGGGCAGTGGGGGGAGGGACAGTGGGGGGAGGGGAGGGGAGGGGAGGGGAGGGGAGGGGAGACCTCCTGGGTAAATGAAGGACTTTCTAACCTGGGAAATCTCTCAAGAACACAGAAAAACACCCTCAAGGCCGAGCAGAGGGGGGACCACCCCCCCACACCCCGGGAGGCACGGAGAGGGACCCCCCTCCGAGGAGGGAGGGAGGGGATCCATTATCTCCCATCAGGCGCGGGGGGGGGGGGGGGGGGGGGGGGACGCTTTGGAGAGGGCGAACCCCCGGGGAGAGGCAATCCCGTGACGCCCCTCCCCCTCCCGAAAAAGGTCTCCGCCGGACCGGCGGGACTCGCAAGGAACAGTAACACTTCTTCACGGAGGGCGGCGGGGCCCGGGGGGGGGGGCGGCGGGGGGCCCGGGGACGGGGGACACGGGTGTCGGGGGCCCGGGTCCGGGGGGCCCAGGGACGGGGGACCAGGGGACGGGGGACCAGGGGACGGGGGGCCCAGGGACGGGGGACCAGGGGACGGGGGGCCCAGGGACGGGGGCCCAGGAGACGGGGGACCAGGGGACGGGGGGACCAGGGGACGGGGGACCAGGGGACGGGGGGCCCAGGGACGGGGGCCCAGGAGACGGGGGACCAGGGGACGGGGGGACCAGGGGACGGGGGGCCCAGGGACGGGGGACCAGGGGACGGGGGACCAGGGGACGGGGGACCAGGGGACGGGGGGCCCAGGGACGGGGGCCCAGGGGACGGGGGGCAGGGGGCCTGGGTGTCGGGGGACCCGGGTGTCGGGGGACCCGGGTGTCGGGGGACGGGGGCCGGGGGGCCCGGGGGCCGGGGGGGCCGGGGCCGGGGGGTCCGGGGCCGGGGGGTCCGGGGGCCCGGGGGCCGGGGGGTCCGGGGACGGGGGGCCCGGGGACGGGGGGCCCGGGGGGTCCGGGGACGGGGGGTCCGGGGACGGGGGGCCCGGGGACGGGGGGCCCGGGGACGGGGGGTCCGGGGGACGGGGGGGCCCGGGGGGCGGGGGGGCCGGGGCCGGGGGGTCCGGGGGCCGGGGGGTCCGGGGGCCGGGGGGTCCGGGGCCGGGGGGTCCGGGGGACGGGGGGCCCGGGGACGGGGGGGCCCGGGGACGGGGGGGGTCCGGGGCCGGGGGGTCCGGGGGCCGGGGGGTCCGGGGGCCGGGGGGTCCGGGGCCGGGGGGTCCGGGGGACGGGGGGCCCGGGGACGGGGGGCCCGGGGACGGGGGGGTCCGGGGCCGGGGGGTCCGGGGGACGGGGGGCCCGGGGGGCGGGGGGGCCGGGGCCGGGGGGTCCGGGGGCCGGGGGGTCCGGGGGCCGGGGGGTCCGGGGCCGGGGGGTCCGGGGGACGGGGGGCCCGGGGACGGGGGGCCCGGGGACGGGGGGGTCCGGGGCCGGGGGGTCCGGGGGACGGGGGGCCCGGGGGGCGGGGGGGCCGGGGACGGGGGGCCCGGGGGACGGGGGGCCCGGGGGCGGGGGGTCCGGCCCGGGGGCGGGGGCCGGGGACGGGGGGCCCGGGGACGGGGGGTCCGGGGACGGGGGGCCCGGGGGGCGGGGGGGCCGGGGCCGGGGGGTCCGGGGACGGGGGGCCCGGGGGCCGGGGGGGCCGGGGCCGGGGGGCCCGGGGACGGGGGGCCCGGGGCCGGGGGGGGCCGGGGGACGGGGGGTCCGGGGGACGGGGGGGCCGGGGCCGGGGGGCCCGGGGACGGGGGGCCCGGGGCCGGGGGGGCCGGGGGACGGGGGGGTCCGGGGCCGGGGGGGCCGGGAGACGGGGGGCCCGGGGCCGGGGGGGCCGGGGGACGGGGGGTCCGGGGCCGGGGGGCCCGGGGGACGGGGGGCCCGGGGGCGGGGGTCCGGCCCGGGGGCGGGGGCCGGGGGGCCCGGGGGGCGGGGGGTCCGGGGCCGGGGGGCCCGGGGGACGGGGGGCCCGGGGGCGGGGGGTCCGGGGCCGGGGGGCCCGGGGGACGGGGGGCCCGGGGGCGGGGGGTCCGGCCCGGGGGGCGGGGGCGGGGGGTCCGGGGACGGGGTCCGGGGGTTCCGCGGGCCCGGGGGCGGCGTCCCGCGGACGGGGTCCGGCCCGAGCCCACCGCGGCGCCCCACCGCGGGGAGGCGGAAGCCCGCGGGAGCCCGGCCACCGGAAGCCGGGACCCCCGCCCGCGGCGCGGCCGCACTCCTCCCCTCGGCCCGTCCGTCCGTCCGTCCGTCCGTCCCTCACTCACCGAAGTTGCTCGGCGGCCGGGCGGCGGGGCCGCGGGCCGGCCGGGGGCCGCGAGGCCGGGTCCGGAGCGGTCGCGCCCCGCCGCGGAGGTTCCCTCAGGTGGCGCCTGCGGCGGCGGCGGCGGCGACGGGACGACGGACGGCAGACCGACCGACTGCGCGGGCGGGCGGGCGGGCGACGCGGGGCGCGCTGGAGCGGCGAGGTGCGCGTGCGCGCGCCGGGGCGCTGACCCCAGGCGGAAGGAGCTGCCGCGCCGCGCTCCCCGAGCCGCCGCTCGGTCTCGCCGCTCCGTCTCACACTGAAATTGCCCGCTTCGCAGCCCGGCTTCCCCGGTTGCTAGGCAGATTTCGCCTCGCACACTTCCGGGTTGAGGCGCGTCTCGACGAGTGGCGGCGCCGCAGGCCAATGAGATCCGGTTGGGGCTGCCAGAACCCGCACCCCGCGGAGGGTGTGACCAGTCTTACGACAGACAGTTCGACACGGCCAATGAGCGCGCGAGCCGGCTGGCCGTCGGGAACGCGCCGCCAGCTGGGACGGGCCTTCGGGGGCGGGACATAATGAATGATAGCTTCTCCACCAACGGGAGACCGCAGCTGGTGTCGGCGCCAATCACAGCTGTACGGGGGCGGGACAGAAGCGTCGAGGGCGGGAATGCCGCGAGGGGTGGAGCCTGCGGATCGCCTCTCAGCGTGGCCGGCTCGCTCGGACCCGCGAGGGCGGTTCGGCTGGGCCGCCCTGTGGCCGGCAACTGGCTGGGCAGGGGGTTCCCCGCAGTGCTCAGCAGGGGCGCCCCACCCACAATGCACCGGAGCCGGCCGCGGCCCGGCGGGCGTGGGGCGGCGGCCCAGGGCGGCGGGCGGGGCCGCGGGAGGCGCCTGGGCAGGGCCGCGGGCCGGTCCGGGCCTGGCCCTGCGCGCGGGGGCTTGGCCGCCCGGGTGCGCGCTCTGGGGGGCTGGAGGCGGGGGAGCCTGGGGGAAGCCTGGCTCTGGCCTGAGACTCGGGGGTCCCCTCCCTGACCCCCCGTGTATGGGATTAGGGCTCTCCTTCCAGACCCCCCTTTCTGCGATCCTTGGGGTTCTCCTCCCTGACCCCCCTGCTTAGGCGAATCTTTAGGGTTCTCCGTGACTCCGCCCCCCCATTCTGAAAATCTTTGAGTCTTTCTTGCTTCACATATTGACTAAACTTCGGGGTTCTCTTGACACCCCCTCCACTCTGAGGAGGGACTTTGGGGGGATTTTCCCCCCTAACTCCACCCCCTCTTTCTGAGGATCTTGGAGGTTCTCTGAACCCCCCATGATGAGACTATTTGGGGTTCTCTCCTCATTTTGACAGCCTCAGGGTTCTCTTCCCCGACACCCCTCATCCTGTGGGGAATCTTCGGGGTGCTCCTGGCCTCTGTTCTGAGGAGAATCGTCTTTCACCCAGTTCTGAGGAGAATCTTTGGAATTCTCTGAGGTCACCTGGGTGACCCAACCCATCTCTAGATTTGTGTGTGTGTGCGTGCATCTGTGTGTGTGTGCGTGCATCTGTGTGTGTGTGTATACACATATACCCGTGTGCTGGTCCTGGGGCTTGAACTCAGTTCCTGGACTCTGCCCCTGAGCTTTTCACTCAGGTCTGGCACCTTACCCCTTGAGCCACAGCTCCACTTCTGGTTTTTTGGTGGTTCATTAGAGACGAGTCTCAAGGACTTGCCTGCCTGCGCTGGCATAGAACTTAGAACCCTAGATCTCAGCCTCCTGAGTAGCTGGGATGACAGATGTTAGCCACCAGTGCCCAAGTAAAAGGGGCCTGTTACAAAGAAAATGCTGTGGCAAACCGGGTACCGGTGGCTCCCGCCTGTCAGGAGGCTGAGGTCTGAGGATCGTGGTTCAAAGCCAGCTCAGGCAGGAAAGTCCATGAGATTGTTATCTCCAATGAACCACCAAGAAACCAGAAGTGATGCTCTGGCTCAAGGGGTAAGAGTACTGGCCTTGAGCTGAAGAGCTGAGGGACAGCGCCCAGGCCCTGAGTTCAAGTCCTATGGCCACCACCAACAACAAAAATGCTGTGACAATTTGGAGGAGGGGGAGGGATGGAGTGAGATGGTGCCTGGGAAAGAACTTCGTAAACCCTGAAGTGGGCTGCCCACGTGGCAAGGGACGCTGATACTGTAACAAGTAGCCTGGCATTCCTGGGAGAAGAGTACTAAGGTCTGGGGATAAGAACAATGCGGGGGGTGGAGGGTTGGCAGGGAGTTCTGTGGGGACATGACCCCAAGAGACAAGACTGACCCCTGGCTAAGGAAGGGATCCGCTGTTACCATAAAGACGGCATGTTCCAGGAGTGCCCACCGGCATCTCTGCTAGCACACAGGCTGGTTGGTAGATGGACAGTGCTGGTTGGCATGGCAGGGGTGTGACTAGAAAATTAGACCAAGCCCGGCACTGGTGGTGGCTCACACCTGTTACTTCCTAGCTACTCAGGAGACGGAGGCCTGAGGATTGTGGTTCAAAGACTCTTATGTCCCATCAACCACCAGAAAACAGGAAGGGGCACTGTGGCTCCAAGTGGTAGAGTACTCGCCTTGAGCACAGAGAGGCTCAAGGATAGCTCCGGGCCCCAAGTTCAAGCCCCATGACCAACAGAAAGAAAATCAGACATTCTAGTGGGTGTCTGTAATCCCAGAATGTAGGAGAATGCTAAACACCAGACCAGCCTAAAAACAGCCAGATCCTTTCTAAAAGGAAAACAGAGCTAAATGCTGGTGACTCACGCCTGTAACCCTAGCTACGCAAGAGGCTGAAGTTTGGAGGGTCAAGGTTTGAAGACAGCCCAGACAGAAAAGTCTGTGATATTCCATTCCCCAATTAACCAGTGAAAAGCTGGACTGGAAGCATATTTCAAATAGTAGAGCACCACCGGAGAAATACCTAGAGGCCTAGAGTTTAAGTTCTGGTACTGGGATAAGCTGGATCTGTGGCTTACATGGTAGAGCACCCACCTAGCAATTGTGAGGCCCTGAGTTCAAACCCCAGTAGTGAAGAAGAGAAAAAGAAAACAAAAAGGATGTGAGGGGGAGGGAACGTGGAGATTCAGAGATTATCCCAGTCTAGGGCTAGCCCGCGTCATTCCCAGCCCGACCCCTGAAAAGGTCAGGTCAGATAATCGCCTCAACCTTTTTGTTTTAGGAGTAAACACATCTTTGATTTTTCTGGAAGAAGGCGTGGGGCTCTGGAGAGGTCAGTTAGACAGCATCCCGCAAGACTCCAGGCTGGGAGCGCACCTGAGTGCTGCCCCACAGTGCCTTTCAGGCTCTGGATAAAATCCTCAGCACCAAAAATGTAAAACTTCCATTTGGCTAAATCTTCAAAGAACCCAAAGCAAATGGACATTTGTCAGGAGCAAAATATGCTTCCGAAATGGATGGCAAAGCCACTGCTTCTGACAAAATAAACACCCAAAGCCCTGGCCAGGGGCTTGTAATCCTAGCTCCTCAGGAGGTCGAGATCTGAGGAGGGAGGTTTAAAGCCAGCTTGGGCAAGAAAGTTCCAGAGATTCTAATCTCTCATCTTTTAACCACCAGAAAACCAGAAATGAAGCTGTGGCTCAAAGTGGTAGAGTTCTAGCCTTGACTGCAAAAGTTTAAGGACAGTGCCCAGGCCCTGAGTTCAAGCCACACAACTGACACAGTAAAACAAGCGAGACACTTCCCCGCGCCGTACCCCCCACCCCCCCACCCCAGCCCCGGCCAGGCTCTGAGTTCAAACCTCACAACTGGCACAAACAAGCAAACAGATAAGTAAATTAGGGCACCAGGGACCATGTGGTGCTGGAGACTGCATCTCTCACTCCAATGCCTTTCACCAAGGCGTGGCCCTTCCGGGGTCTGGGAAGTCATGTGGGCAAACTGGCTGAGTAACATTCACAACCAAATAGGGAAACGGGAAGAGAGCCAGGCCTGCAGGAGGGAGCCAGGACAGCCAGTGGCCGGGGGAGCCCTCCTGATGGACAGTCGGGAGTTCTCCGTGGATTCAGGAAGCGGTGGCCTCTGGAAGTGAGGACGGATGGACGGCTGGTTAATAATAGCAAAGGAAAAAGGTGCTACACGAAAAGCATCTATCCAGGGCACCGCACCAGTGGCTCACGCCGCCTGTAATCCCAGCTACTCCGGAGATTGAGATCTGGGCTTGACGCTGCTTTGGTTAACTTCTTCTAAGCTACCTCTGTTTCATGCCTGAATCCAAACTCACCGCGTCCATCCGCCCTCATTCCGGCCTCCTTCTCCAGAGTCCAGCAGGTAACTGGAGATTTGTTTGAGCAACCTGAACATTTGTCAAACAACTGACAAAGCTAGGCACTGGGGTCTCACGACTGTAACCCCAGCTACTCCGAAGGCTGAGATCTGAGGAGGGGGTGTGAAGCCAGCCTGGGATGGGAAAGTCCATGAGACTCTTACTTCCAATGAAACAGTAAAATCCACCCCAGTGGCAGAGGGCCAGCTTTAAGCAGAAAAGGCCAAGTGAGAAAGATCAGTTAATTAATGAATAATGATAAAGGGCTGATCATCTCATGGGTTTATTTTGCTGGTCGTGGGGCTTGAACCCTGGGCCTGGGCGCTGTCCCTCAGCTCTTCAGCTCAAGGCGAGCGCTCTACCACTTGAGCCACAGCCCCACTTCCAGCTTTTTCCATGGATGTGGTGCTGAGGAATTGAATCCAGGGCCCCATGCATGCGAGGCAAGTGCTCTACCCGAGCCACCTTCCCAGCCTCATTTTATTTTTCAAACAGGGTCTTACAAAGTAGCCCAGCCTGGCATCCAATTATGAGGGATCCTGCCTCCAAATTTGAGATTACAGGCAGGTAAAACCATGCCCAGATCCCAGAATTTAGTGTCTATTATACAAAAAGTGAAAAACGGAATGGTTTTGTGTGAGTCCACTCTTGTACCATGGTAAATTTGAATCATCATTAAAGACCTGTGTATTCCTACAGGGCCAAGAAAAGACTAGACCTAGCCAGGCGACAGTGGCTCACACCTGTCATCCTAGGTACTCAGAAGGCTGAGATCAGAGGCTTACGTTTCAAAGCCAGCCCGGGCAGGAAAGTCCTTGAGACTCTTATCTCCAATAAACCACCAGAAAACCAGATGTGGTGCTGTGGCTCAAGTGGTAGAGCATTGGCCTAGAGCTGAAGAGCTGAGGGACAGCACCCAGGCCCAGGGTTTAAGCCCCATGACTGACAAAAAAAAAACTAGACCATCATTTTTGCCTAGAACCAACCACAGGCTGGCTCACCTTCTTTGGTTGTTTTTGTGTGAACTGGTGATCCTCAGATCTGAGCTGGTGAGCAGCTGGGATTACAGGCAGAAGCCACCACTGCCTGGCTTAGAGCCACCGTAACTTCTGCTCCCGCTCTGGGTAACTTAGGCAGGACTTATGGGATGAGGGCCGGACTCCCATGACCTTGTGGTCAGGGTACGGGACCGTGTGGATGGAGTCTGGCCCACAGGGGGTGTGCTTGGGTGGCAAGGCATGGGGAGGTGAAGCAGCCCGCTCTACAGAGAAGACTGTGACAGGGGGACTTTGCCCTGCCGGGACTAGCACTGTGTGACTCTCAAGTTTGGGCTCTGAATTAGGTGGGGCCAGGCAGAGTGCCTCCCAGGGCCCCGGTGTGGAAATCTAATCCCCACTGCAAGAGTGGGGGAAGGTAATTAGACTATGGTGCTTACAGGGGGGCTCTGAGAGTTAATAGATGATCCACATAGAAACCCCATGACTCAACACTGGTGGCTTTGTCAGTTGTGGGGCTTGAACTCTGGGCCTGGGCGCTGTCCCTCAGCTCTTCAGCTCAAGGTGCATGCTCTACCACATGAACCACAGCACCACTTCCAGTTTTCTGGTGGTTTATTGGAGATGAGTCTCATAGATCTTCTTGCCTGGGCTGGCTTTGATCAGTGACCCTCAGATCTCAGCCTCCTGAGTAGCTAGGATGACAGGCCCGTGCTCTTCTGTTCATGGCTAATGCTCTACCACTTCGAGACATAGTGCCACTTCTGATTTTCTGGTATTGGAGATACGGGTCTCGTATATTTTCTTCCCCTGGCTGGCTTTGAACCACGATCCTCAGGTCTCAGCATCCTGAGTAGCTAGGATTATAGGTGTGAGCCACCAGTGTCCAGCTTTCTCTCTCGTTGATACCAGTCCAGTGCTGGGGCTTTAACTTAGGGTCTAAGCACGTCACTGTGCTTTTTTTGCTCAGTTAGTGCTCTACCACTTGAGCCATCTCTCCACTTCTGGCTTTTTGGTAGTTAACTGGAGATCACAGTTCCATGGACTTTTTGTTGGTGTTGGTCATGGAGCTTGAACTCGGCCTGGGCACGGTCTCTGAGTTCTCCAGCTCAAGGCGAGCACTTTAACACTTGAGCCACACCACCACTCCCAGTTTTCTGGTGGTTAACTGGAGAAGTCTCACAGACTTTCCTGCCTGGGCTGGCTCTCAACCGCCGATCCTCTGATCTCAGCCTCCTGAGTAGCTAGGATGGCAAGTGTGAGCGGCCAGCACCGGCTTCTTGTTTGATTCAGGGTCTCAGTCCTCACTCATGGCGAGCCTGAATCCCCATCCACAGGCCCATCTCCCCCGTATTCATGAGCTATTTTGTCCGCCCCCCTGGACAGGGTCTTGGCCTAGCAAATCAAACCAGATGCAAAAGAAACGTTCCCGTCATCTCGCCTCTGCCCTTCCCTGCCTCCTGCTTCCTTCACCTTCCCAGGAAGGGGTGAGGCTGCTGGAACGGACCCGTCAGGAATGGACAATCTTTTTTGTAGGTCATGGGCCTTGATCTGGGTCCCTCAGCTATTCAGCTCAAGGTGAGCGCTCTACCACTTGAGCTACAGCGCCACTTCCAAGAATTGGCCATCATAAAAAAGCTGTGGAACCGGGCAAATAAAGTGCTACTTTCTCAGGACACTGGTGGCTAACAGCTGTAATCCCAGCTACTCAGATGAGATCTGAGGACTCTAGTTCAGTGTCAAACAAGGTAGAAAAGGTTTGACTATCTCCAATTAGCCCTCAAAGCTAGAAGCGGTGGGTGGCTCAAGTGGCAGAATGCTAACCTTGAGCACAAAAGATGGGGGTAGCACCCACACTGAGTTCAAGCCCCAGGACTGACTGTATACACACACACACACACACACACACACACACACACAATTACTTTTGTGTGTGTGTGTACATCAGTTGTGGGCCTTGAACTCTGGGCCTGGGCGCTGTTTCTCAGCTCTTCAGCTCAAGGCAAGCGCTCTACCACTTGGGCCACAACACTACTCCCGGTTTCCCAGTGGTTCATTGGAGATCAGTCTCAGACTTTACTGTCGAGGCTGGCTTTGAACCTCGACTCTCAGATCTGTCTTCTGAGCAGATGGGATGACAGGCGTGAGCCCCATATGACAGGCTAGGGCGTGAGAGGCCTGGAGTGCCACTGGGGACATGACCCTTCTCTCCTGAGTGCCATTGTCCACACTCCCTCATCCTGGGACAGCCCAGGAGGCCACGCTGTGGTCCTACCGGCCGCAAACCCAGAAGGGAAGCAGGAACAGCAGCTATGGACTGTATCTGGAATGAGGGGCGTGGCCTGGGCATGAGGGGGGGACCTGGTTCCCAGCCCGGACCCTCCCACAAAGGGACTGTGTGTGCCCTTCCCTCCCGAACACCGTAGGCCGTGGATGTGTCCCTTTGCAGAGGTCTGTGGAGTAGCTGGGCACCCAGGGAACCCCATCCTGTGATCGGCCATGCCAGGCCCAGCTTTCCAAGCAGCTCTCCCGGGTGGACAGTCCAGCCTGCCCCCTGCTGGCCACGGTGGGAGAGGACAGGCCAGGGGCCTGCCTGCACAGAGGGATGAAGAGTAGTGATACACTTCCGGGTCACTATGGCAGGGATTTAACCCTTGAGGACAGTGTTGGTACCCAGGCTCCCTAGGACCTGCAGGAGGGCTCCCAGAATCTTCTGGACCCCAAGTGATGGGTAGCACTGTGAGCCCACTGCCTGGCCTTCACTGGCAGGGCCTGTGACAGTGTCCTGCTGGAGGGGCCCGGGCCACCCTGTGGGCCTGTGATTCAGTCAACACAAGGGGAGAACAACCCCTGCCACGCCGGCCGGCCGGGGGCGGGGCCGGGGCCAGGCCGGGGCGGGAGGCGGGGCCAGGCCGGGGGTGGGGCCGAGGCGGGGGCAGGGGCGGGGCGGGAGGCAGGGGCGGGGCCGGGGCCCGAGGCGGGGGCAGGGGCGGGGCCGGGGCTCCCGCGTGCCAGGCGCGCGCCGCGGCCCCACGTGACTCCCACAACCCTCGAGAGCAGAGGGCACGCCGGGCAGTGGGCGCGCCCTCGTGCAGAGGACGCGCGCGTTCACACGTGTGCGCGGCAGAGGTCACCACCAGCAGGCACACATCAAGACAGACGTTGGCGTTGAGGCTCTTGTTCAACCGCTCTACAGATACAATGCCCTCTAAGCGAAGTCTTCAATAAATAGGCGGAGCAAGACATGATGGGCGACATGATTGGGGCAGACGCAGCGGTGGGGCGGGTGGGGCGGGCCGGGGTCTCTGCCCGGCTCCGGGCCCAGCGCCGCCCGACCTCCTCCCCGAGGCAGCGCCAGGCGGCCCGCACCGCTGTCCCAGCCCGTGGTGCTGGCCGCGGGCAGTGGCCCGCCCAGGGAGGCACCCCAAGGCCTAGTGGCGGCGGCTGGTCTGTGCCGCCGGTGTCCCCCGCGGAGACCCCACGTCGCTCACTGTGCAAAGCTATCGAGACCTGGGCCCGGGCCACACCCCGCTGGGCGGCCGCTGCCTCAGCCCTGCTCTGCAGGGGAGTCACCACGGGCCGCCTCTCGGGAGACCCACGGAAGGGCAGCACCATCGGGGGTCCTGGCCCCCCTCTGCTCGGAGCCCTGCAGTCAGAGCCACCACCTCCTGGTCCCCAGCGTCCTCTGCAGCGGGGACTGCTGGGGAGAGGTCCGGGGTTCAGATCTCGGGGTGTCACTGCACACCTTGAGCTGGGTGAAGTCCACACCATGGCAAGACTGCAGGTCGGCAACACCGACACTGCCTGGCTCCCGCTCCGGCTCCGGCTCCGGGGCGGGGAGGAAGGGGCCTCGGCGGCCCAGGCAGCCGTGGCTTCTTCCTCTTGGCGGCATTTGGAAGCTGGCGTGTGGCAGGGCAGGTGAAGTGGTCTGGGGGTCGCTGGAGCCAGCAGCCGGGCTCCCGGCCCCACGTGGAGGGCGCCCGGAAGTCAGTGCACACGCCTGCGGCAGCCCCCAGGGGCACAGAGGGTGTTGGGGGCGCGGGGCGCTGGCGGCTCACAGGAGGCTGGCCAGGCTGGTGTTGGGGCCGTTCTGGGCCTGGAACTGCACCGGGGGCGGGCCGTCTGTCCACTGTGGGGGAACAGCAGGTGAGGTGGGGTCCCCGGCCCCCCAGCCCCCTCGGGCAGGGCAGGGCGGGGGCGGGGGGGCGCACCGTGATGAGGTTGTGCTCGGGGAGGCTGCAGGCCTCGATGTGGTCCTGGAGCAGCTGCTGCGAGAAGTTCTGGTGCATCTGTGCTGCCTCGTGGGCGTCCATGGCGTTCCCGCACGCCTTGTTCAGGTCTGGGGGGACACCGCGGCCCCCGGGTTGGTTCTGGGCTGCAGCTCGGGGCCTCGTGCTCTTGCTTTGCTTCTTCGCTTAAGGCTAGCTCTCTACCAGTTCAGCCGCACCTCCACAGCCAGCTTTTGGCGGGTCAAGCCCAGGAGCATCTCCCCGCCAGCTCCCCACTGGGCACCCGGAGCCCCAGGCATCTGGGCCCTGCCCGCGGGACCCTGCGGGCCCTGTGGCGCCAGGCACCCCGCGGGCTGTGCACTGACCTCTGAGCAGGGCAGACGACCACAGCTGCACCGACATGTCCGGGATCTTGCTGGCCAGCTGCATGGCGGGTACCACCATGTTGTTACTCTCCTGTCAACCAACAGTGGCTGAGGCTGAGGGGCTGGGGCAGGGGCTCTGCGCCCACCGGGGACAGGCTGCCCACTGAGGGGTTCAGTGGGCAGAGCCTGCCGGGCAGTCCCGAGCCGCGACTCTAAGGGAGAATGGTCTCCCACACGAGCAGGGTGTGTGGGAGGCTGAGGGTGCCCCGCGCCCGGCCGGCGGGCGGGCACTCACCCTGTGGTTGCCCAGCACGTAGAAGATGTGGCCCAGGAGCACGAGCGAGCAGGCCGTGAGGCGGTTCAGGTCCTCCGCATTGGACATCTTCAGAGTCTCCCGCAGAAAGCGCCTGGCGGGGAGGGGACGCGGCCACACTCAGGGAAGGGGTGGCAGGGCAGCGGGGACGGGAGCACCGAGTCGCAGCCCTGGGCCAGGCACACCCCCGCCCCCCTGCCCTCCCCCGCCCCCCGCCCGTGAGCACGAGCACCCACACTCACTTGGCCTCGTTGTAGCGGCCCTGGAAGAAGGAGAAGAGGCCGCGCACGTAGAAGGCAGCCGCGCGCAGGCAGTGGGAGCTGGCGACAGAAGAGCGACGTGGGACAGCGTCCCACAGAGCCGCAGGGCCCAGGCGGCGGCTGGCACAGGGGCGGGGGGGGGGGTCCCCTCCGCAGAAGTGGGGGCCCAGGGCTGCTCACCTCACAGGAAAGCTGTGGTCAGGGTTTATCCTCTCCAGCAGGCTGTACAGCTAAGGGTGGAAAGTGCGAGTCAGAGCAGCCGCCTTTCGCGGGAGGCGAGTGTGCCCCGCACGGGCTGCCGCGGGTGCAGGGCCCCTGGCCGGATGTGTGCGTCCCTCAGATCCGGGTGGCAGAGAACAGGCGCACTGCCCCGATGCCCTACCGGCCGACCCAAGTCCTGGCATCTGGGGAGTCGCCATTTCTACGGGCCAGAGGAGGCGAGGGCGCGGGGTGCACGAGCTGGCCGGCGTAGGCGCAGCCTCGGGGCCAGGCCAAGGGAAGAAGGCAGACACGAAGCGTGGCACCTACTACCTCTTGGTGTCTGTTTCCTTCCCGGATGTACACGCTGGCCAGGTTGGTCACAATGAAGGCCCACAGCTCCTGGTGGTTGGTGAGCTGGAACGCATAAAGGGGATGGATGTGGGGGATCCGGGGGGAGGATAGTAGCCCAGTCTCTCCAGATGCTCTTTCCAACCCCCCCCCCCAGCACCTGGTGCAGGGCTGGACACCTAGGGGAAGCCGAGGTACAGCGCCCACCCCCCAGGGCTGGGGGCACTGTCAGCCTAAAAGGGCCAAAAGCCACAGGCGTCACCCAACGGGGCGGGCAGACATGAGGCCCTGCCAGTGGCCTCTGGGGTTTCTCTTCTTCATCTGCAGTGGCAGGAATGGAACTCAGGGCCACCTGCATGCCTGGCTGCACCCCAGGCCCTCTTCTTTTTTATTTTTTGTCAGGCCTGGAGCCTGAACTCGGCCTGGGCGCTGTCCCTCAGCTCTTCAGCTCAAGGCTAGTGCTCTACCACTTGAGCCATGGCGCCACTTCCAGCTTTTTTCCTGCTTATGCGGTCCTGAGGAGTTGAACCCAGGGCCTCATGCATGCAAGACAAGTGCTCTACCACTGAGCCACCTTCCCAGCCCCCCCAGTCCTTCTTGAGGAACAAGATAGACGGAGGAGCCAGTGCCGGTGGCTTACACCTGTCACCCTAGCTACTCAGAAGGCTCAGATCTGAGGATCACGGTTCAAAGACAGCCCGGGCAGGAAAGCCCATGAGACTCATCTCCAACAAACTACCAGAAAACCGGAAGTGGTGGTGCTGTGGCTCAAGTGGTAGAGCGCTCACCTTGAGCTGAAGAGCTGAGGGACAGCGCCCAGGCCCAGAGCTCAGGCCCCATGACCGACCCAAAAAAAAAAAAAAAAAAGACGGAGGAGCAGACCTAAATGAGCAAGCACTCCCTGCAGGGCCCTGTGCGTGGGGAGCCCGTGTGTCCTCAGGACCGGAGACGCTCAACACCAGAGACCTGTCCTGGGGCACAGGGACCACCTGTCCCGGTAGGCGCTCAGGGCACTGGCTTTGGGCTCTGATGATGGACCACCTGCTCCTACAGCGGCCAAATTTGGGAAGTACAGTGAGAGGGAAGGGTGTAGTGGGCAGGAAGCAAGGGGCAGGGGTTGGGGCGATGCCAGGGGCTGGAGGTGTATCTGGAAGGGAGCCTAGCCCTCACCCAAATGCCAATCTGTCAGGAGCAAGGTGTCCACAGCCTCCCGTCCCGAGGGGGACACAGGGTGCCGAGACGCCCAGGCCCCTCCTCCCCGAGCTCCTCCCACCCTCGCCCTGCACGTGGGGGCTGGAAGACCTTGGCCAAGGTCTGTCCTCATGCTACCAATGGCACCGTGGGCCGAGTCCCGCCACTGCCCCAGCCCAGCCCGGTGGCCTCACCCGCAGCGCCGTGGTGAACTGGGCCTCCGCATTGTCCATGCAGTTCACAGAGACGCAGTACAGGCCCTGCGAAGACAGGGCGCCGTCAGGGGCCCACGCTCAGGGACGCGGGGACCGGCTCCGAGAGCCCCCCCCCCCACGCCCCTGCACAAGGCCCACTGCAGACCCCTTCCCACCCCAGCGCTCACCAGCAGCGTGTGCAGCTGTGCCGCGTGGTTGGAGAAGAGCCGGGGTGACTGCTGGCACAGCTGGCAGACCTGGGAGATCTGGGGGGAGGGGCAGGCAGTCAGGGCCCTGGCTGGGAGCCCCACCCCACGGCAGAAGCCTCCTGCGCCCAACACCTCCCTGTGGACGGCGACCCTCGCCCAGGCCCGACTTGCCTCCTCCCCTCCGCGCGCCTGCCCTACTCGGCCCCTCCAAGGAAGGGGGGCGGGGGCGGGACACCTGAGAACAGGGCCTGGCCAGCTGGGGACTTGGGGAGGGACGAGAGCCCCCACCCCAGCCAGGCTCACCTCCTGCAGCGCCGTGGCCTTGTGACCTGTGACGAGCCGGCACATGATGATGTGCTCCAGCAGGATCACTTGGAACGAGGACAGGATGGGGCTGCAGTCCAGCACTGGGGGGCGAGTTGGGAGTGAGCACAGGGCAGGGGGAGGACGGAGCTCAAGCATGGGTGGCTAAGGGGAGACTCTTGGTGGGGTGCTCAGGGGAGGAACACGCACTTGGCACACACAGACACTGGGCTGGAGCTCCAGTAGCAAGAGAAAGACAAAGTGGCAACTTTGAGCCGCGCTTCCTTTCCACCTGCTTATAGTCCTGGCTGCACAGGAGGCGGGGGTGGGAGGAGGGGGAACAGTTACCTGCTGGGCACAAGTGGCTCACCCCTGTAACCTCCCAGATACTCAGGAGACTGAAATCTGAGGAAGGAGGCTGGGAGTCAGCCTGGGCAGAAAAATCCCTGAGACTCTCAAACCCAGTTAACCAACAAAAAGCTGGAAGAAGCTGGGCACCAGTGGCTCACACCTGGAATCCTGGCCACTCAGGAGGCTGAAATCTGAGGATGGCAGCTGGAAGCCACTGAGGCAAAAAAGTCCCAGGGAGACTCTTATCTCCACTTAAGCACTACAAAGCTGAAAATTAAGCCGTCAAAGTATAGAGCAGTAAGTAGCCTTGAGAAAAACTGGTCAGGGACAGGCTCCAGGCTATGAGTTCCAGTCTCAGGACTAGCACCAAAAGAAAAAAAAAAAGGACCCGCTGCAGGCGGCCAGCATTCCCCCGCGCTTGCACACGCACACGCGCCTGCACACGCGGTCGCAGGAGCACGGCCCGTGCACAGCCCTGCGGCCACGGGGCGGTGGAGGCGCGGCCACACTCACTCTTGAGCTTCTCCAGCTGCATGAGCGCCTTGTCCGTGTACTTCTGTGCCTTCTCCAGGTAGCCGGCCTGCATGGAGTGCATCACTGTCACCTGGCGGGAGACAGGCAAGGTCAGCGGCCGCTCCCTCAGGCCGGGCCTGGGGCTGCCTCACGGGACTCACCAGGTAGACCAGCACACACATGTGCTCCTTGGGCAGCCAGTGGAAGAGGTCGGCGGGGTTGCTGGGCAAGATCTCGTCGTCATGCAGCGTGGAGATGGTCTGGATGCACTGCTGCAGCTGCTTCAGGCATGGCTTCACACTCTTCACCTGCCGGAGGGAGAAGAGGCGCCTGAGCAAGAGACCAGGGCGCCTGGCCCCGCCCCTCACACAGACCACGCCCATCTCATTAGGCCCCACCCATCTCCAGGCACCTCCTGCTGGCACCTGGGAAAGGCCAGGGGACACTGGCTGAGAACTACTTGGCCTCCCCCCAAGTCTGAGCGGGCAGCTGTCCTGAGGGCAGGGTGGGCACAACACGGGGAAGGCACGGCCACGCACCTGCCCGGCGTCCAGGTAGTGGGTGACCTGTAGCACCAGGAAGAAGACACGCAGTGACTCCTTCTGGATGGGGTTTCCCTGCCAGGTTTCCACGATCTGCCCGCACAGCGTCAGCAGCGGGTGCACCTCCTGCAGCTTGCGCTCCATCAGCAGCAGCTGGGGAGGGGGGAGGAGGGGGCAGACAGACTTGAGACTCTCCTCCCGGCCCCCGCACCCCAGCACCCCCAGCCCAGTTTCACTTACCATCCCCTTGCTGAGCAGGAACAGAGCCCTGCAACAGAGAGAGAGAGGGGAATCAGGCCTGTGGGGCCCGCAGGCGGCCCGAGCACAGGCGGGCAGGTGACACGCGAGTCCCTGTCTGACTTCTGGTGCTGCTGCATCCTGTCCTGTCGTGCTGTTGTTTTGAGACCAGGCCTTGCTGTGCAAGTCAGGCTAGCCTAGAACTCACAGGGCTCCTGTCTTCTGAGCACTGGGTCCCAGCACACGTCATCTTGGCGCCCTTGGCCGAGGGCCTGGGGTCAGGGGACGCGGCAAGGGGCAGGTGTGGGCGCCCTGTCTGTGAGCTGGGCCCTGTCCCCCAGGATCCACGGAGGGACAGACAGCTGCGCCCCTCTGTGCCACACTATTTGGGCAAGTCTGGTTTTGGCCTCCCGCGGCCCACACTCCTGCCAGGACCCCAGCTCGGCCACGGCATCAGGAAGCGCGCGCAGCCCCTCGAGGAGGCCCGGATCTGCGCCCTGTGCTAAGCTACCATCGCTGTCAAGGTGTGCGCGTGCGCACTCGGGCACAGGTACACACCGTGTATACTCGGATCCCACCACGCGGGCATACTCAGCCCCCACGCCCAGGAGGTCACAGGCCGACACCAGGTCCTTCTCAAGCGTATGCAGTTGCTGAAAAGGAAGCAATGAAGTGGCCCCAAACCCATGCACCCCAGGGCCCGCCCTCCCTGCCCCACGGCTACTCTGCCGCCTCTGTGCTGTCTGGGGGGAAGGCATGCCCAGCAGCGCCCGCAGACGATTCTGAAGGCTTCCTGAACTCCCAAGTGGTGGCTTTAGGGGTGCAGCCAGCCCTTGAGGGCCTTGGGACACTTTCCCACCCGCTCCCCAGAGCAAAGCTCCAACTAGGGCTGCTGCTGGGGCAGGGGCTGCAGGCCCACTGCCCGTGGCGGCCTGAGGGGCCCCGGGGGCCCCCAGTACTCACAGCAAGCTGGAAGAGCAGACGGCAATGCCAGTAGGGAGTCTGCTGCGAGATCTGGATTGCTTTCCTCAGCAGTGGTTTCGCCGCATCCACAGAATTCTGGAAGGAACCATCACATTCAAGGAAGAACAAGCAGCCAGTCATCAAGTTCCCTGCCTGAACACCGCCCCTGCCACCACAGGTGGTTTGTCACATGCCACTTATTTAGAAAGGAAAATAAAGGCGGCTGAGATCCAAAGGATAGCCGTGCCCCAGCCAGATCACCTAGAAGACCACCTAGAGCATGTTGGCACGTGCCTCCCACTGCAGCGTGGTGGGAAGCGTGGATGGGAGGGCAGAGGGCAAGCAGCCCAACAAAAAGCTGACTCCTAGCCGGGCGCTGGTGGCTCACGCCTATAATCCTAGCTACTCGGGAGGCTGAGATCTGAGGATCACGGTTCAAAGCCAGCCTGGGCAGGAACATCCGTGAGACTCTTATCTCCAATAAACCACTAGAAAACCAGAAGTGGCGCAGTGGCTCAAGCTGTAGAGCACTCGCCTTGAGCTGAAGAGCACAGGGACAGCGCCCAGGCCCAGAGTTCAAGCCCCACGACCAACAAAACGTTGACTCCCAGCCGGGCACCAATGCCTCACCAATAGCTACTCAGAAGATTGAACTTCTGAGGATCACAGTTCAAAGCCAACCTGGGCAGCAAAGTCCCCATGAGATTCTTTTTTTTTGATGTTTGTGGGGCCTGAACTCTGGGCCTGGGCGCTGTCCCTCAGCTCTTCAGCTCAAGGCGAGCGCTCTACCACTTGAGCCACAGTGCTACTTCCAACTTTTTCTGCTTATGTGGTGCTGAGGAATCAAACCCAGGACTTCATGCATACAAAGCAAGCACTCTATCACTGAGCCACTTTCCCAGCCCCTCCACGAGATTCTTTTTTTTTTTTTGGTCGGCCGTGGGGCTTGAACTCTGGGCCTGGGCGCTGTCCCTCAGCTCTTCAGCTCAAGGCGAGCGCTCTACCACTTGAGCTACAGTGCCACTTCTGGTTTTCTGGTGGTTTATTGGAGATAGGAGTCTCACGGTCTCTCCTGCCCGGGCTGGCTTTGAACCGTGATCCTCAGATCTCAGCCTCCTGAGTAGCTAGGATTACAGGCGTGAGCCACCAGCGCCCGGCCCTCCACGAGATTCTTATCTCCAATGAACCACCAGAAAAAGCTGGAAGTGGCGATGTTGCTCAAGTGGTAGAGTGCTTGCCTTGTGCTGAAGAGCTGAGGGACAGTGTCCAGGCCCAGAGTTCAAGTCCCAGGACTGACCAAAAAAAAAAAAAGAGCAAAAAACAAAAATAAAAACAAAAGCTGAGGATACATCTCAAACAGTAAAGCACCTGCACAGCAAACACACGGCCCCAAGTTCAAACTCCAGTATGAGCCGAAAGAGAGAAAAAAGAGAGGGGAAGAGAAAGAACTAAGTGATTTATTGGGCTCACTGCCGGGAAACTATTTCTTATTTTTATTTTGTTGTCGATCGTGGGGTTTGAACTCTGGGCCTGGGAGCTGTTCCTGAGCTCTTCAGCTCAAGGCTCACGCTCTACCACTTGAGCCACAGTGCCACTTCTGGTTCATTGGAGACAAAGAGTCTCACAGACTTTCCGGCCTGGCCTGGCTTTGAACGGCAATCCTCAGATCTCAGCCTCTTGAGTAGCTAGAATGACAGGCTTGAGCCACTAGTGCTCAGCTGGGAAACTTTTGAATCACTTAAAATAATTTCCATAGCCAGGCACCCGTGGCTCATACCTGTATCCCAGCACCTACAAGGCTGCCATCTAGAGAACCGAGGTTTGAAGCCAGCTCAGGCACAACTCTCCCAGGCTCGGCTGCTAGGGCGCTGCAGGCAAGCCTGCCGAGTGCCGGGGGGGCCCCGGGCTGACGCGAGCCCTGCTCCGCAACACAAAGCCAACTCCTCATTCAAGCGACCCAAAGCAGCTTCACGCTCCCGAAGGTGTTAAGATGGCAGCGCTGGGGGGGGGGGGGGGGGCGCAGGGGTGCAGAGTCCGGGGTGCCTTCCCCTGTCTTGTTCCCTTTCCTTTTTTTGGGAGGGGGACAGGTTCTTACTGTGCCACCCCAGGCTGGCCTGCAACCGCCTCCTCCCGCTCGCTCCTGCTGCCAGCCCGGGGCTCTCAGGCTGGCTCCACCCTGGGATGAGATTATTCTCGAAAGCCGTGGGTGGGAGGCAGTCAGCTCCCAGGCAAACCCTGGGGCTGGGCTGGGGGCGCAGTGCAGAGGCCCTAGGCTCCACCCTGGGCACCTCAAAAGTGCTGAAAGTGTAAACAAAGGAGGAGGCTGCAATGCTTGGTAAGAAATGTACGCATTATCCTGCCCATGTAACTGTAACTCCTCTGTACAGTATGTTCACAAATAAAATTAATTAAAAAAAAAAAAAAAAAAGTGCTGAAAGGAAAATCGCATCTGTGCTGGGTGCCCCCTGCCCCGCTCCCTACATAAGTAAACCATGCCCGGGGCCCCGCCGCCATGCCCAGACCACACATTTCCCAGCAGGCTTGGGCACCTGCAGGCCTGGCTGGGGGGTCCAGAGCCTCTGGGCCCCTCCCGGCTCCAGCGGCTCCGGTGTGCCTGGCCAGCTGCCAGGGGCTGGCTGCACTTACCTCCTGACAGTACAGCTCCGACAGCAGACTTGCTGCCTCGAACTTGACGTCTTCGAACTGTGGGATCTGGGGCAGTGGTTAAGGAGACCGAGCTGTGACCCTCGGAGCCAGGGGACGGGGCAGGACAGGCGCAGGGGAGGGCAGGAGGGGTGGCCTGGAGGGGCAGGCGGCAGACGGTGGGAAGCAGCAAGTTCCAAACACATCCTTTGTAGTCAAATAGGAAACAATAGAACAGGACTGGGGTGTGCTTGGGAAGGGGGGGCATTGGGAAGGTGGTTCAGGGGTAGAGTGCTCGCCTCATATGCTTGAGCCTGGGTTCGATTCCTCAGCACCACATAAGCAGATAAAGCTGGAAGTGGCGCTGTGGCTCAAGTGGTAGAGCGCTAGCCTTGAGCTGAAGAGCTGAGGGACAGCGCCCAGGCCCAGAGTTCAGTCCCACGACCCACAAACAAACAAATAAACAAAGAGTGAGGGCCCGGCACCTGGGACTTGGAAAGGATACCTGCTGGGATATCAGCCACTGCAAGAGAAGGAAAGGAAGGGGTTAACGCTGGCGGCTGGCCCAGTGGCACACGCGCATCCTGCCCAGGTGGCTCCACAGGTAAGTGAGGGGCTGACAAGAGGGGAGGACCAGGAAAGGCGCCCAGAGGCCACGGGGAGCTCAGAGGCCCACACTTCCAGCTAGAGGGCGGCTGCACCCGGGAGGGAGGGAGGGAGGGAGGGAGGGAGGGAGGGAGGGAACAAACTAGGGAGGCTGGCCAGGACAGCAAGCCCAGCCCGCCACACCCCCCTGCAGAAGGCCCCCAGCAGCCGATCCAGTGACACCTGGCCTGCAGCTGGTAGCACTGTCTGGGAGGTTCTGGAAACCAGGAGAGCATGGAGCGAGGGGCATGTCCCTTGGGGCTCCTTTCCACCCCTATGCTCCCCAGCCACACCCCCGGCTGCCGCCCGGCCTCCTCAGGCTGCAGTTCTGTACTCATGGCCCCTGCAGGCCGCATGCCACAGGCCCCACTGCTTGGGAAGGGGGGGGGGTGTCAGGCCAAGCAGGAGGTGTCCACGGTGGAGAAAGCTGGCAAGCATGACACCACAGGAGTGGTGTCCTATGGGCTATGTCCACCAGAGGGACACTCAGAATTGTAATCCCAGCGATGTGAAGATCAGGATGATGGAGATTTGAGGCCAAGACAAAGATAGAGCCCTCCTTTTCAATGAACCAGTCAGGCCCCGTGGTGTGCCCAGGGCCCAGCTAGGAGAAGGGTCATGGCTGAGGCCGTCCCCAGACACACAGTAGACCCGACCGGAAAGTGGCAGAGTACCTAGCAAGCAAGCTCAAGTTCAAGTGATGAAAAATACCGCAAACCAGGTTGCAGAGGGAGGAGACAGTGAGTCTGCCCCCTGGTGCTGGAAATGACTCTGGACCGAGGGTTAACAGTGAGGAATGGCTGGGGATGTCACAGAGGGACTGGGCCGCCCAGATGCAGGACAACCTAAGTTCCAGGCCAGCCTGGAGACCCATCTCAAAAACTCCAAACCAGCCTGGCACTGGTGGCTCAGACTTACATCACTACTTACACCTAAATGCTATGTACGCAGCAGCCTGGGATCCGAGGGCCACAGCCTGAAGGGAGTGAGACTCTGATCTCCAACTAACTCTCAAAAAGCCAAAACTGGGCCAGGCACCGATGCTCATGCCTGTAATCCTAGCTACTCAGGAGGCTGAGATCTGAGGGTCACAGTTAAAGCCAGCTCAGACAGAAAAGTCCATAAGGCTCTTACCTCCAATAAACTAACTCAGAAAAAGCAAGATGTTGTGCTGTGGCTCAAGTGGTAGAGCACAAGCTTTGAGCACAAAGAGCGACAGTGCCCAGGCCCTGAGTTCAAGCCCCAAGCGCACACGCGCGTGCACGGTGCGTACACACACACACACAGATACACACACAGCTAGCACTGGAGATATGCATGGCTCCAGGGGTGAAGTACCAGCCATGAGCAAGAAACCCAATTGAGAGGACAAGGTTCAGAGTTCAAGTCCCAATAACAGCACAAAATAACAAACCAAATAAACCTAACCAAAATAAAGCAGGGAGAACAGAAGCTTCCTGAGACCAGTATCTGAAAGACGCAAGCATGCCAGGAGGGGGCGCTGTAGGACAGCGAGCTGAAGCTGAGTGCAGGGGAAGGGGACGATGGAAAGGCAGCCAGCTGGGCCTGTGCCTTCCTGGTGCCCTGCTCAGGGCTCGCAGGCAGGGACAGTGGCCTGCTCGTGGCAGGAGGGGCTGAGGCGTGTCGGGGCGGGGGGGGGACGGGGAAGACTGCACAGAAGCCACCCCAGTCAAACAGTAGGCCAGGCAGAAAAGCTAAAGATGGCACCAATTGGGAGCTGGCCAGTCACAGGGGAAAGGGCTCACGGGAGGGAGAAGATGGGGGTAAAAAGCAGCTAGTGCCAAGTGGGGCCCACCCAGGGCTGAGGCGTGTGACTCAGTGCCCACGCGGATGGAGGGAGTTAGCTGGCGTCCTGTGATGCACCTCACCGCTGTCCCCGCCGCGGCTGACACACGCGCCCTGTCACAAGATCGGGAGCGCTGCCAATTCCATCCCAAGCGCCTTTCACGCATGACCCCTGCCCGTCACACACAGGCCCCCGTCTCCCGGCGGCATTCGCCTCCTGGAGGACACATCTGCCCAGTAGCACCCGGCGGTGCCCTGCACCAACGGAGCCCTCGAGTTGCATCTTCGTAAGATTTTGCAAGTGAGCCAGTCCTAGGGCTGGAACTCAGTGCCTGGGCACTGCCAGGGGCCTGGGCACGGCTTTTGTGCTCAAGGCTGGCGCTCTGCCACTTGGGCCACAGCGCCACTTCTGGTTTTCTGGTGGCTCACTGGAGGTAGTCTCATGGACTTTCCTACCTGGGCTGGCTTTGAACCACAATTCTCTGCTCTCAGACTCCTGAATAGCTAAGATTTTAACACAAATTTGGATCTGCAGGGTCCCACAAAGACTCACACCGCTAGAGGGAGGTGCGGGGCCTGCGGGAGGTGAGGCCTCGCGGACGGGAAGTGGTCACGGCCTCTGAAGAGGTCCTGGGACCCAGGCCTCTTCCCGGCCACGGCTGAGGCGAGCGGCCTTGAAAGGAACTGTGATCTTGGCCAGAAATCTCTACAGCCCCGAGCCCAATACACTTTCCTTCCGAGTAAGTGACCATCTCAGGTGTGATGCGAAGCTAACTGACACGCAGTGCCCGCCACGTCAGGCCTGCAGGAGGTCCTGGTGGAGACCGCTGCCTCACCTATGACGTGCTTTACTCTGTGGTCCTGCAAAGTCTACGGGAGAGAGAGTGGCAGGAAAAGCCTAGTGCTCCTGGGACTCGGGTCAGCACAGCTGAGCACAAGCCGAAGGGAAGGCAGGTACGGCGGGGCTCACACGCCAGGCACAAGTTCAATCCCTGCCAGCGGGCAGGGATCCAGCGCCCCCCACACGGCCACGCTCAGAAGCCTGGCTCACGGAGCCCTATCGGGCCACAAAGTAGACAGTTGTCCAGCTTTCAGGAAATGAAAGCGGAGACTCTCAGGCTGCCGCCCCTCAGTGAAGAATGGACAAGCATCCAAGCGGGGTGCAGTGGCTGTGTCTAATCCTGGTGCTGGAGGCTGAGGCAGGAGGAGCTCAAGTTCCAGGCCTGCCTGGGCTGCACAGCAAGTTCAAGACTAGCCTGAGATACACTGAGATATTAAGCATCTGACGGGCAGCATGTGGCGGTGCTTTCTAAACCATCTTGATCAAACAGCTGACCCTTGAAGCCATGGAGAAGCAAGCACTATGCACCGCAAGGTCAGGACACTAGCTGGGAATGTGGCTTAGCCGTAGTGCTTGACTAGCATCACAAAGCCCTGGGTTCAATTCCTCAGCACCATAGAAACAGAAAAAGCTGGAAGTGGTGCTGTGGCTCAAGTGGTGGAGCTAACCTTGAGCAAAAAGCAGCTGAGGGACAGCGTCCAGGCCCTGACTTCAAGCCCTAGAACCTGGAAGAGAGAGACAGAGAGACAGACAGAGACAGAGAGAATAGAACACTGGTTGCTAATACAGATGTCTACCTGTACTGAAGTACATTTCCTTCTGTAGAAGAAGCATTTACTCTTCTGTAGCTTTTTTTTTTTGAGTGTGATCCTGGGGTTCAAACTCGGCCTGAGCACTGTCCCTGAGCTTTTTCATTCAAGGCTAGCGCTCTACCACTTGAACCACAGCGCCACTTCCAGTTTTCTGGTGGCTAGTTGGAAATAAGAGTCTCAGGGGCTTTCCTGCCTGGGCTGGTTTTGAACTGTGATCCTAGATCTCAACCTCCTGAGTAGTTAGGATGACAGGCGTGGGCCATCAGCACCTGGCCTAAGAGACTCAGAGCTAAACAACAAAAATTTAAAGGTATGGGTAAAATGATAGAGCACCAGCTATGAAACCAGGAAAGTTGAGTAAATTCTTGAGTTTAAGCCCTAGTACTGCCACAACCAACCAACCAAGTTGGGGTTGGGAACAAGGCGTGTGCTTAGCATGCGTAAGGCCTGAGGTTCACACAAGGAAGTGTGCTTGAGAAGGCGAAGCAGGAGGTGTGCACACACATACTCGGCACACCCACACTCAGTGACTGATGTGGGAAAGGAGAGCAAAGCCAGGGAGCCTGAAAGACAAGAGATGACTGCAAGTGTGCTCAGAAAGGGGTGCCAGAAGAAATGGGGTAGTTAAGGAAAACTGGCTGACAGGCAGCAGAAATGGGCCTGCACATCCTCTAGCCGTAGGATTCCTGTGTGAGGGGAAAACCAGAATCACTCCACCAACCCAACCCAACGGCTTTGGTACATTGTGCAGGGCGGCTCAGGATCTGCAGAGACGGGACACGCCAGGCCAGTGCCCGGGATGGCAAATACCCTGGAGGACTCTGACAGGACCTCTTCCTGGGTGGGTGAGAGCGGGCCGACTCGAAGCAGCAGCACATTCATCCCTTCTAAACGGCTTCCAAGAGAAACTAGGCAGGACAAACTGCTGGGTTCAGATTAGAGAGAAGACTCAAACCGTTGGCCTGATCCAGGGGTTCTCGTTGCCAGCCCCAAACCCCACAGATCATGCTTTTTCCTGTTCACAGGCTCTGAGTTACAATCCTACAAAGGCTGGTGCTCTACCATGCGAGCCACAGTTCCATTTCTGGCTTTTTTTTCTTTTGGTATTTAACAGGAGATAAGAATCTTATGGATTTTGCTGCCTGGGCTAGCTCTGAACCACAATCCTCAGATCGATCCTCAGATCTCAGCCTCCTGAGTAGCTAGGATTACAGGCGTGAGCCTCCGGCACCCAGCCTACAAAGGCACTTTTCAAGGCGCTTCGTTATAAGGGCTGAGATTACAGGTACAAAGGCTCCCAGAGCAATTTCAGGTACACTGATCCTTTGACAGGCCGAGAAGAGGAAAGACAACAAAACTGGACACAATGACTAGCAGCACTGTTAGAATGCCAAGGAGGGGACTGGGAAGGTGGCTCAGTGGTAGAGTGTTTCCCTTCATGCATGAGGCCCTGGGTTCAATTCCTCAGTACCAAGCACACAGAAAAAGCCAGAAGTGGCGCTGTGGCTCCAGTAAAGAGCTAGCCTTGAGCAAAAGAAGCTCATGCCCCATGGTTTTTTTTTTTTGTCAGTCGTGGAGTTTGAACTCTGGTCCTGGGCGCTGTCCCTTGGCTGTTCAGCTCAAAGCTAGTACTCTACCACTGAGCCACCCTACCAGGCCCCCAGGATAGGTTTTGTTTTTGTTTTTTGGTCGTGGGGCTGAACAACCTGGGTGCTCTCCCTCAGCTCTTCAGCTTAACGCTAGGGCTCTACCATGTGAGCCACAGTGCCACTTCCGGGTTTTTCTGCTTAAGTGGTGCTGAGAAATCAAACCCAGGGCCTCATGCATGCAAGGCAAGCACTCTACCGCTAAGCCACCTTCCCAGCCCGGGTTGGTTAGTTGGTTGGTTTTTAAAAAGAATGCCAAGGAGGAAGGGGAGGAGGAGGGATCCATCAAGCGGCAGCCTGGCACTGCCCTGCATCCCAGCCTCAACTACACTTTGGAGAGACTGCAAAAACTGCTGGTCCCGCAGTTGGGGCTTTCTCTGCCGCTGACCCTGTGCCCTGGATGAGTCTCACCACCCCACCCATTCAGGCCTGCCCAAGTGTCAGTCCTACAAACCGAGCCCCCTTGCAGCTGCTGCCCGAAAGGGCTATGTACCAGCGCCAGCCCCGCTCTCAGGTCTCACTCCAGTTCTTACGTCAAGGCCACCGCATTTATCGTCCGTCTGTCTCTCTCACCCAAACCTCAACACCCAGTGGGCAGGGAGTGTTTAGTCATCACTAATCCCCAGAGCTCAAAGGAGGCCTGGCACAAATACCTGCTGGACAAATGAAAGGAAAACTTCCCCGAAATTGTAAGGGTGCATTGTTCTGACATAGGACCTGGTGACTGGTGTGTGTGTGGCTTTGAGCCCAGGTGGCAGGGTCTCACTATATAGCAGAGGTTTGGCCTTGAACTGGCAATCCGGATGCCTTAGGCTCCCCAATGCCAGCATCCCAGGAGTGCAGCCCCTCACCAGGCTCTAGTCCAGTTTTGTTAGAATTCACTATGTGAGGGGCTGGGAAGGTGGCTCAGTGGTAGAGTGCTTGCCTAGCATGCATGAAGTCCTGGGTTCGATTCCTTAGTACCATATACACAGAAAAAGCTGGAAGTGGCACTGTGGCTCAAGTGGTAAAGTGCTAGCCTTGAGCAAAAGAAGCTCAGGGACAGCACCCAGGCCCTGAATTCAAGCCTTAGGACTGGCCAAAAAAAAAAAGACTCTCAAAGATTTTCTATCCAGGCTGGCTTGGAACCATGTTCCTCTTGCGTAGCTAGAGTTACATGCATGAGCCATAGGTGCCTGGACAAAGATTTTTAACTGTTCTTTCTTTTATGGGGGGGAGGAATAATGGTTAATGGTTGTTTTTTGGAACCCAGGGTTTCATTATTGCAGACAGATGGTCTACCACTTGAGCCATGACTCTAATCCTTTTTGCTTTATTTTCCAGATAGGGCCTTGCTTTCCTTGTTTGGGCTGACTTAGACCAAGACCCTTTTATTCACATTTTCCTCCTGGCTGGGAAGATGGAATACAACACCCCCACACATAAGCACTGCTCCTTGAGATGAGGTCTTGCTAACTTTTTGCCAAGACTGGCCTGGTCCTCCAACCCTCCAGAAATCTGCTTCTAGGGATTCCACCTGTGAGCCACTACACCCAGCCCAAACTTCATCTGGTTACTGACAACTCTGCTGTGAGACAGCACACACTGACCTCAGACAACACATTCAAAGACCCAGACTAAGTCTTTTCACGAAGTTTCTTCTTAATCAGCCATTGTGGGTAATGCTTGTAATTCCAGCTACTCAGAAGGCAAGAGAGACGAGAACTGCTAGGGTGCCCAGGTCTGGATGAGGTTTTATTGAAAACTTGCTTCGTTAAGGGAGAATCATGGTGGACTAACTCCAGCAGCTGAGGTGCTGAGCTTCCCCCCCCCCCCCGCCCCCCAAAAAACAAAACAAAACAGTTGTTTATCCTTTAATCAGAACCACGGGGAGGTGGGGGCCTGAGGGGGCGGGGCTCAGCGGCAGAATGACAGGCGCTGGCAGGCGTCCTCGGGAGCGGGCGGCGGCGGCGCCAGCCCCCACGCTGGGGGAGTCGGAGCCGGAGGAGGGGAGGGAAGCCGCCGAGGACCAGGCAGAAGGAAAGCAGGGTGTGGGGAGACGGCAGCCTGCCCGTCCCGTCCAGCCCCCCTCAGCCATAGAGTCCCCACTCGGCCTCCTGAGGCACCTCGGATGACCCCCACCCGCCCCGGGCTCCGATGGGGGGGCCGGGCCGCGGGGGCCCTCCGGACACCCGCCTTCCGCCCTCCCCGGCGCCCGAGCGCTCGCGGCGGCCGGACAGCCGCAGCCCCACCTCCCCGTCCGCGAGTCCGCGATGCGGGGCGTCCCGAAAGAGCGAGGGATGCGGGGCGGGGGGGAGGGGGTCCAGCCACGGAGCCCAGCGCTCGGCGGCCTGGCTGCGCTCAGGGAGAGGCCGCGTCCCGGAGGGCCTTCCCGAGGAGGGACGTGCGGGGCCCGCGCAGCGCCCCGCGGCCCCCGGCCCCAGACCCCGGCCCCGGCCCCGCGCAGCGCCCCGCCCGGCCCCGGCCCCGGCTCCGGCCCCGGCCCCCGGCCCCGACCCCGCGCAGCGCCCCGCCCGGCCCCGGCCCCGGCCCCGGCCCCGACCCCGCCAGCGCCCCGCCCGGCCCCGGCCCCCGACCCCGGCCCCGGCCCCGCGCAGCGCCCCGCCCCGCCCGGCCCCGGCCCCGAACCCGGCCCCGCGCAGCGCCCCGCCCCGCCCGGCCCCGGCCCCGCGCAGCACCCCGCGGCCCGCGGCCCCGGCCCCAGACCCAGGCCCCGGCCCCGGCCCCGGCCCCGGCCCCGCGCAGCGCCCCGCCCGGCCCCGGCCCCCGATCCCGGCCCCGGCCCCGGCCCCGCGCAGCGCCCCGCCCGGCCCCGCGCAGCGCCCCGCCCGGCCCCCGACCCCCGACCCCGGCCCCGGCCCCGCGCAGCGCCCCGCCCGGCCCCGGCCCCGCGCAGCGCCCCGCCCGGCCCCGGCCCCCGACCCCGGCCCCGGCCCCGGCCCCCGACCCCGCGCAGCGCCCCGCCCGGCCCCGGCCCCCGACCCCGGCCCCGACCCCGGCCCCGGCCCCGCGCAGCGCCCCGCCCGGCCCCGGCCCCGACCCCGCTCACCGCCTTCTCCAGGTGGCTGCGCGCCTGCTCGCTGTTCTTGGTGTGGTGGTACAGCACCGAGCCCAGCTGCAGGTGCGTGCGGGCCTCGATGCGCTGCGGCGGCTTGAAGGGGAACACGGCCTGCAGGCAGTGCACGCACAGCCGGATCTTGGGCGGACTGGAAGTACGAAAGTGCTCGGCGAAGCCCAGCAGAGCCAGGTACCACGACTCGGCCGCCTCGGCCTGCGCTGCCTGGGCCGCCGCCGCCTGGGCCGCGGCCGCCGCCTGCGCCGCCATTTTGGCCTCCACAACAACAAGCCGCCGCCACAGGGAGACGGAAGCCGGCGCGCGGGGCGGGGCGAGAGGCTCCCTGCGGATCTCGCGACGGCTGGCCGCCCGCGCGCGCGCGCGCGCGCGCGCCGCGCGCAAGGCATCCTGGGACATGTAGTTTGCTCTGGGGATGGCTGCGGCACCCGGAAAATACGTGAGGAAAAGGTGACGTACACGGGGGTCACCGGGACGGAGAGACTTTGCCGCGCCCCCTTCCAACCCCGTAGGGCTGATGCTTGCTTGTGTTCTTCTAGGGGAGACGCTCGGTGTGCCCACAGTGGCGGCTGGGCGTGGCTGACCGACGAAGACTACATCTCCCATGAGGCAGCGCGCACCATAACAGCCCTCCAACCCCCCCCCCCCACCCACCCAGCGGGCGCCGGAGCATTGTGGGATTGGATGAGTCTCAAGATGGACAACCGGGATGTTGCAGGTAACAGCCCCCGCCTCCCCACCCCCGGGCGTCCGCCGGGCTCGGCGGGGCTGCGCGGCGCGGGTCGCCCGCCCGGCGGGGCCGGCCAGCCCGGGGACCCCGGCACCCGCCGCCGGGCGGCTGCGTGCCCCTCTCTGCCCCCCCGGCCCCCCGGCCGCTGGCCGCCCCGCCCGGCTCCGGTTTACCTCAGGACGCCCCGGGTTTTTTTCCGGAAAGATCGCTCAGCCGCGATTGTCCGGCGCCTGTTTTCAAATCATTAGCTCGCGCGGCCTCGGCGAGCTCGGTTCTCGAGGGAAGCAGAGCCGCCGAGCGGCCGCCTCGCCCCTCTGGAGGCGGAGAGAGCCCGGCGTGACCGGCTCGCCCCACCCCGGCGCACGCCGCCGGGCTCCCCCAGCCCGCTCCCGGACGGTTTGCCCCTCCCAGCCTCCCCCCGCAGCGGGTGGGTCGTGCACCCTGCCTGCCGCCCCGGGCACCCGGGGCGGGCGCCCCACGCAGCCCTGCCCTCCGCGCGCGCGGCCCCGCCGGCTCAGGTCAGCGGGGAACAAATGGACGTCCAGACTGTGAAGTGAGGGGGGTTGCAGGCTGCAGGCTGTGCTTCGGGGTGCTCAGAGAGTGTTCCCGCCCCCCAAAGGGCCTGAGACAGGAATCAGGCTTGTACAAATGAAAATAGAACTATGTGGTTGGTGTTGGCTCACCAACTACTCCCTACTCACCTGGCTACTCAGGAGGCTGAGCGTTTATGGTTCGAAGCCAGCCCTGGGCAGGAACATCCATGACCTTTTTTTTGGTCCAATTAACCACCAAAAATCTGGAAATAGAGCTGCTGCTCAAGGGATAGAGTGCCAGTATTGAGCAAAAGCAGCCTGAGGGACAGCACCCAGGTCCCGCCATTGGGATGAGCGCTTTGCACAAACGCGCAGACACGCTGAGTGAAATGGAGCTAGGGTGGCGTCTTGGGAGGAACTGGGGAGCAAAGCCTGGAAAATCAGCTTTTAGAATTTGGAATTTAGCCTGTGTCCCACTGGGAGCCTTTGGGGTGTCTTCTGTCTCGCCTGCCCTCATCTTTTTGCTCTTTGCTTGCAATGCTCACTGCCTCTGGTCACTTGTCAGCATCCCAAACTTTTTCGTGTAAAATGCAGGTTCCTGCCATGCTCTGCCTTGGCTGGTTGCTTCATCCACACTGGTGCTTGGTGGTCCTCAGACGCCCAGGCGCTGTCCCTTCTTGGCCTGTCCAGGTCCCTGTCCATCTGACTGTCCCAGTACTCCAGCTCCAGCTTAAATGTCTACCTTACTAGTGTTTTGTTTCATTTCTTTAAAAAAAACCAAAAATTCTTAGGTGGTACTGGGTTCAAACTCAGGGCCTTGTGCTTGCTTGGTGGGCAGTCTTACCCCTTGAGCCACACCTCAAGCACACTAATAATTCTTTTTCTTGGTCTGCTCTCCTGGAATAGGTATTGTTGTCTAAGTCTCCCATGTTTTTGTTTTTGTTTTTTTTGGGGGGCGGGCAGGATTTAGGTCCTGGTGTTCCCAGCCTCGTGCTCTCTTGTAGTGTTTCTGCTCAAGGCTGGTGCTTTGTCACTTAAACCGCAACTTCACTTCCAGCTTTTTGCTGGTTAATTAGAGGCAAGGGTGTGTTAGATTTATTTTTCTGAGCTACCAGTGCCCAGCTTAATCACACTTACACACACACACACACACACACACACCTTTTTTTTTAAATCTTAATCTTTCGTTGTTATTATAAAGATCATGATGTTCAGCGCGGTTCCAGTAATCCCACCTCATTTCCAGCAAAGCTCTTGTTTATCAATCTTCCTTTTTGTTGTTGTTGGGCCATCCAGTTTCCCCCTGGTGGACGGGCTCCATTGCTGCGGGACTGTGGCCAAGTGGGGGACATCATGGGTGGGAGGATGGAGTGGCGCAGAGCTTCTGAGAGGAAGGGGAGAGGAGACCAGAGGGAGACCCAGAGGGGTTAGAGACAGGATTCACCCTTCCTAGGGCCAGCCTCCCATTGGCCTGCCTCCTCATAATCTACTCAGCCATGAACTCATTCAGGATCAACCCAAGGATGAGAGCCCATGGCTCACACCTGGCATCCTGGTATTCAGGATGCTGAGATCTGAGAGGGTGATGGTTCAAAGGCAGGCTGAGCAGGAAAGTCCATGAGACTTATCTCCAAATAACCAGCCAAAAGCAGGAAGTGGTGCTGTGGCTCACGTGCTAGCGCTGTAGCCTTGTGTGAAAAAGCTCAGGCACAGGGCCTCAGTCTTGACGGCAGGCCCCAGGACCGGCGTGCGCACACACTGCTGCACACGATCAGCTCTCTGTTGTCCCCCTTCTAGCCGGGGAACCCAGTCTTCAACACAGGAGCTGTTCTGACCTGTTTCTTTCCATCCCCAGGAAAGGCCAACCGCTGGTTCGGGGTTGCGCCCCCAAAGTCTGGAAAGATGGGCTTGAACGTCCTTTATCAGGAGGAGCTCATCGCTCAGAAGAAGCGAGAAATTGAAGCCAAAATGGAGCAGAAAGCCAAACAGGATCAGATGGCCAGCCCGCCACCCCCCCATCCTGGAGAGTGAGTGCCCCTGGGCCTGGGTTCTTAGCTGGGCACCGGCAAAGGGGGGGGCTTGTGACCAGGGTCTGCCACTGCCTCCACCTGGCCCCGGCCTGAGGCTGTGTGGTGGGTGAGGAGTAGGAGCCCAGATGTAGGGCTGCCTGCTCTTGTTCAATTATTCACTGCTTTCAGCCGTGCTTCACCCCAGGCCTGTGCCCTAAGGCTGCAATCTCACCATCTGCTCCGCAGAGGGATGGCCCCTTCCTCCGAGTCTGAAGTGTCACTGTGTTGTTTTTTGTCTGTGGTGTTGGAGATGGAATGGAGGACCTTTCTAGTGTTAAGCATGTGCTCTACCACTGAGTTACAGATTCCACCTCTGTATGTGCGTGTGTTGGTCCCAGGACTTGAACTCAGGGCCTGGGTGCTGTCCTTGAGCTCTTTGTACGCAAGGCTGGGACTCTACCACTTGAGCCATAGCTCCGGGTTTTTGAATGGTTAATTGGAGATAAGAGTCTCACAAGGACTTTTCTGCCTGGGCTGGCTTTGAACTGTGACCCTCAGTTTTCAGTCTCCTGAGTAGCTAGGATTACAGGCGTGAGCCACCAGCGCTTGGCTTTGTTTGTTTGTTTTTTAGAAGTAGAATCTTACTGTATCTACTGGGACTTCTGGACTCCAGCAGTCCCCTGGCCTCAGGTCCCCACATCGCTGTAAATACAAGAGCCAGAAGTACAACCTGCAAACAACATAAAGTTGTTTTAACCAAACACATTGACTCATGCCTGTAATCCCATCTACTTGGGAAGCTGATCTCGAGGATTGTAATTGGAGGCCAGGTAGGAGAAAAACATTTGGGAAACCCTATCTCAAGCATTAAAAAAGGCAAGTGGTAGTATGGGTATGTGGGAAGCATAAATCAGAGGAATGAGGTCTAGGCTGGGCCAAGCATAAAGGAGGCTCAATTCAAAAACTACCTAAAAAAAAAACAACTAAAAAAGGGCCTGGGAATATGGCTCAAGTGGTTTCGTTTAGCACCTGCCCAACAAGTCCAAGGCCCCAAATCCAAATGAAACATTCTTTGCAAATAAAAAGGCAGAGAGAATAAAGGTAATAATAATAATAGTAGTAAACACCCCAGTTTCCTGTAGTTACCCCAAGAGATTGTTTAGGAAGCATTTGATGGAATTACAGTCACACATAGATAAAGATACTCCCAGGCCAGGCCTGGTGGCCACACCTGTAATCCCAGCCCTCAGTGAGTTTGAGGCCAGCCTGGACTGCATCTGCAGGACTCTGGATCAAAAACCAGGAAGACACGCAGGTTCTGCCCGAGAGGAGGATCGGGCACCCGGCAGGCAGGACGAAGCCGGGCCGTTGGTGAAGTGGCGGCGGGAGGACAGGCACCGATGTGTGGGAGGAGAAGGGAGCCATCTTGGGGGCTGATGTTCAGGAGGTTGGGGTTCCGACGTCCACGCGCCGGTCGAGGCTGTCCCCTCAAGTGGGGACCACATGCGCAGCTGGCTCACCCTCTTCCCATCTTGTTCTAGAATGGCAAAGGCACACCATTCTTCCTGCATTTCCAACAAGTTTGCCAACGACGGCAGCTTCCTGCAGCAGTTTCTGAAGCTGCAGAAGGCCCAGACAAGCCCCGGTGAGCGCACCCCGCCCTCCCCGCCCGCGCTGGGCCCAAGCCACCGTCCCGGGGCGCCTGTGTTTATATGTGGGCAGGGACTGGGGACAGAGGGTCCTGTGGGCTCTGCTCAGTCTCCCTCTGAAAGACGTGTCAAAGCACATGGTATAGGGGCTGGGAAGGTGGCTTAGTGGTGGCGTGCTTACCTAGCATGTGTGAAGCCCCGGGTTCCATTCCTCAGCACCACTTGTATAGAAAAGGCTGGAAGTGGTGCTGTGGCTCAAAGTGGTAGAGTGTTAGTCTTGAGCACAAGAAGCTCAGGGACAGTGCCCAGGTCCTGAATTCAAGCACACACACACATGCGCGCGCGCGCGCGCGCCCTGCACACCCACCCCTGCAAGGCGGCTCTGGCTCTGGGCAGGGCCACGAGGTGGCAGCACAGGCTCACACACGGCTTGCCCGCTCCTATCCTGCGTGCTCTGGCTACCGGGGCTGGTGGGGCTGGCAGGGACCCTCACCATCCTCGGGGCTCCCCGCTGCTAGGGGCGGGCGGCCTTGGGGTGGAGACTGAGTCACAGTAAAATCTGCCCAGGAAAGGCAGGCACCGTGGCCTTTACCCATGGGCTGGAAACGGATGGTTGGGGGCCGCCCCACCCCCAGGAGCCCACAGCGCAGGGGAGCAGACGTACTGAAGGGGATCCCTCTTTATTCCGTCCCAAGACCCACCCCCCAGCGCGCCCCGCAGTGCTCCCCCGCCCAGCACGGCGCGGCGGCCTCTGCTGCTCAGCAAGCGGCCCAGCCTGGGGCTGGGCACCCCGGGCCCCACCAGGAGCTACTCGCACGCCAAGCAGCTGCCCGTGGCCCAGCGCCCAAGCATCTTCCAGTCCCCCGATGATGACGACGACGACGATGATGAGGAGCAGTGGCTGGAGATCAAAGGTAAGGGACAGCGCCGCCCTCCCCCCTCCCGCCCCGCCAGCCAGGGGGCGGGCGCCGGGGGCGGACTTGGCGCGGTGGGAACCCCCCTCCGCAGCCAGACCCTTGCCTGGCACATCCTGACAGCGGGACGGGGGCTCGAGGCCTTCCGGTGACTGAGGTGGGGTTCTCCCAAAGCATGTGGAAGAAGTGGGGGGGACGGGGAGGGGAGGAAAGCAAGGCGTAGAACACCGCTTCCGCCCTGTGCTTCCTGGCAGCCCAGACAAGAGAATAACAGTCGTTAGGCCAGGCACCAGTTGACAGGAATTTCTCCCTTGAGGCTCATCAGCGCATGGTCCCTGTGGCAGCTGACACGAGCCACCTTGGAACCAGGCCAGTGAGGTGTGCCCAAGTAGCTTCCGTGTGGCTCCAACCACTCAGGAAAACACACTGCCCAGGGGCTGTGCTCGTGCAAAGGCCCTGGGGCGCCCAGCGCGCCACCGCCAAAGGGCACCACCAGATGGCGGCAGAAGCACATGCTGTCACTCGTGGACCCTAGGACTCCTGGAGGTGGGGCTGGCCGGGGACCCCAGATGCCTGGTCCTGGCAGCTAGTGAGGGGGAGCCCCGACCCCCAGGGCACTGCTGCAGTAAGCCCCACGTCAGTTCAGAGCCATGTTTTCAGAGAACTTGCCATCTCTGAAGGCTCCAGCACACTGAAAGCTGCGAAGTAGGAGGGGTTTCTGCCCCCCCCATAGTACTGGGGAACCCCTGTGTGTCAGTGCAGTGTCTCCTCAAGACGCTGCCACCCGCGCCCTGTGCGTGGGGGGCGGCGGCCGGCACGTCTCACGCTCTTCTCCCCACCCCTCTGTCGTTGTGGTCCGTAGAGAGAGTGCCTGTATCTGTGGGGTATGTGAGTTGAGCCCCAGTACTGACAGCCTCCTTAAAGTTTCACCCCCAGAGGGAGCCGAGACTCGGAAAGTGATAGAGAAATTGGCCCGCTTTGTGGCGGAAGGAGGCCCCGAGTTAGAGAAAGTAGCTATGGAGGACTACAAGGAGAACCCCGCATTTGCGTAAGTACTGGGGGGACGTGCGTGTGTCCCACGGCTGGGCCTGGGGCGCTGTACCCCCAGCCACGCTGCGCCCCAGTGTGGCCCGCCTCTGCCCGGCCACCCCACCAGCACTTGCTGAGGTTTAGCTCCGGGGCTCAGACCGGCCTCGAACTCGAGGTCCTCAGACAGGTGCCTTTAGCACATTGGTGTCCCACCAGGGGTCCCGGGGACACCCTGAGGCCCGCGCGCTTGTGCGTGGCTGGGGCCCCCTCAGGCCGTCCCGCAGCTCATCTCTCCGCACCTGTTTCTTCTCTCCGTGCCCCCCCCCCACCCCCCGCACAGGTTTTTGCACGATAAGAACAGCAGGGAATTCCTGTACTACAGGAAGAAGGTGGCCGAGATTAGAAAGGAGGCGCAGAAGCCACAGGCCGCCTTGCAGAGAGGTGAGCGGCAGGGGTGGTTCTGGGAGGGCAGCTCCGAAGCGGAGTTGGGGTCCCTGGAGCGTCTCCACAAGCATGATGGATGCCCCCACCTCAGCTCTGGGTGGGGAGGGATGGGCGTGGTCCTCGATCCAGGCGGGCGGGTGGGAGGTGGCACCATGGTGTCCGCGGACTCAGGGGCGGGACAGGTCTCAGTGGGCCCCGTGGGGAGCCTTTAAGCCATGGCTGGTAGGGATGGCCAGGCCCCAGCCACGTGGTGTGGGCAGCGGGGGCCTGAGGCTGGGGCCTGCCACCCCCTCCTCGGCACAGGAGGCCAAGCCCCCGCCCCATGTGGCCTATCCCCATGTCCTGCCCCCAGCCAGCTGGGGGGCCCGGCCCCTGCGGGGGGTAGGGGTGGCGGCGTGGTGGCGCGCAGTTCCATGCAGTAACCAGATTCCCGTTTGCCTGTTTCTCTTTGTATTCTCCTAATCGGCCCGCTCACTCGTGCGTGGGGCTCTTAGCAGGCGTTAGGCTGTGGGGTGTGGTGAGTTGCGCTCAGTACTGACAGCCTGCTTAAAGTTTCACCCCCAGAGGACGAAGAGACCAAGAACCTTGCAGAAAAACTGGCCAGGTTCATAGCAGATGGGGGTCCCGAGGTCGAGACCATCGCCCTCCAGAACAACCGTGACAACCAGGCCTTCAGGTGAGCGGGGTGACCCCGCCGCCACCCGAGGACGGGCCCCAGTCCCCGTGCCAGCCAGGCCTGCTCCAACGGGCTCCCATCGGGTGTGTCCGGGGGTCCCCCCATGCACTAGGAGGACAGAGAGTGTGGACGGCACAGGAAGGACGGCACCAGGGAGGGGGGTGGCCAGGGACCCCAGCTTGAGGACCGCAGCCGCGTTCCCCTGCTTGTTTGCCCGTCGCACAGCTCAGCTTCTGGGTGCCAGGGATGGGTGCTGCCCCAGGCCGGTGGGGGCTGCAGCCAGGCGGGGTGCCAGGGCCCTGGCCCCGAGAGACGCAGGTTGCTGCTCCTGGAGCACAGAGCAGGGCTAGGCCCGCGCCCGCCAGGCGGCGGTGGGGACGACTGGGAATCCCAGCGCACTGGCGCTGCCTAGCCGAGACCCCGTCTGGGGGAAACAGGGCTGGGGCTGCTGGGCTGTGGAGACACTCAGTCCTGGGTTCCATTCCCGACTCCACACACCGTCCTCCTGACTCAGTCTCCCCGATAGCCAGGCAGCACATGGGTTCTGCAGCCACCTTCCAAGATTCGCAACACAACTTGGTAGTTTTTTGTTTTTTGTTTTCTTTTTTTTTTTTTGGCCGGTCGTGGGGCCTGAACTCTGGGCCTGGGCGCTGTCTCTCAGCTCTTCAGCTCAAGGCCAGCGCTCTACCACTTGAGCCACAGCACCACTTCCAGCTTTTTTGTTTTTGCTTATGTGATGCTGAGGAATGGAACCCAGGGCCTCAGGTATGCAAGGCAAGCGCTCTACCACTGAGCCACCTTCCCAGCCCTAATTTTGTTTTTTTTTTGCTGTTGTCTTTTTTCCATTCCTGGGATTTAACTCAGGGCCTGTATGCTGTTCCTGAGCCACTTTGTGCTCAAGGCTAGTGCTTTACCACTCGAGCCATGGTGCCACTTCCCTTTGATAGTTTCTTTATAGATCATTTTTTTTCCCCTGTGTGTGTGCATACACTAGGGCTTATACTCAGGGCCTAGACAACGTCCCTGAGCTTTTTCACTCAAGGTTGGAGCTCTGCCTCCTGGACCAAAGCTCCACTCTCAGCCTTTTGATGGTTAATGGAAAACAAGAATCTCATGGACTTCACTGTCTAAACTGGCTTCAAACCAACATCATCAGACGCATCCGCTTTGCTGGTCGCTGGGGTTACAGCTGAGCTGTCACCATTTTCCTTTTTTCTTTTTTCGCCAGTCCTGGGCCTTGAACGCAGCCTGGTGCTGGCGCTGAGCTGCTTTCCACTCGAGGCTAGCACTCTACCACTTGAGCCACAGCGCCCTTTCTGGCTTTTTCTGTGTATGTGGTGCTGAGGAATCAAACCCAGGGCTTCATACATGCTGAGCCACCTTCCCTACCCCCCCCCCCCAAAGCAAAGCGGAGCCAGCCGCCCGAGGCCTGTGCCCAGCCTGTGCCCGACTGACCGCCTGCTGCCGCTCTCCTCCACAGCTTCCTTTATGAACCCAACAGCCAGGCGCACAAATACTACCGGCAAAAGCTGGAGGAGTTCCGCAAAGCCAAGGCGGGCCCCGCAGGCGCCCCCGACCCCAGCCTCAAGCGCAAGTCCCCCCCCAAGGCCTCCTTGGGGCCTTCGCCGCTGGCCATCACCTGCCCCGCCTCGTCGGCCCCCTCGCCCGCCGTCACCCCCACAGCCGCCCTCCCCGGGAAGCCCGCCCCCACCCCCACGGTGAAGAGGAGGCGGAAGAGCCGCTGGGGGCCCGCGGAGGACAAGGTGGAGCTGCCGCCCGCAGAGCTGGCGCAGCGGGACGCGGACGCCTCCCCCTCCCCCCTGTCAGGTGGGCCCACCCCCGCCCCGCGTGTCTGTCTGTCCTTCCCCGCCTCGGCTCCCCCGGGACTGTCCCTTCCAGGGCATTCGGTAGGGCAGCCCTGAGGTCCAGGCTCCTGACCAGAGCGGGCTGCAGGCCCCGCCTGGGGTCCTCACTGCAGGGAGGCTGGGATTGGGAGGTTGGAGGCGAGTCCAGGCAGACCAGCTCTGAGCCCGCCTCCATCGAGAGAGGTCCTGAGATGCAGCCCTCGGCCCCAGTCCCCAAGTGAGGACAGGAGACTCACCCCCCTCCAGAAAGTGCCCCGGGAGGAGCTCATTTAGTCTAGGTTTTGTTAGGTTTTACAAGTAGCAGGGTTTGAACTCTGGGGTTTGCTTTTGGTAGGCAGGTGTTATACTGCTTGAGCCACGCCTCCAGTCCTTTTTGCTCTGGCTATTCAGGTAGGGTCTCAGATTTCCCCTTGGAGGCCTCCTCCTCAGGCCTCCCCTGTGGCTAGGGTGAACAGCGCCTCAGGCTGGCCCTGCACCTGGCCACGCGGCCATGCTGGTGACCATCCCTCACAGCTAATGATGTCGTGCCTTATAGCTCGCAGCAGTGCCGAGGTTTGAGCTCAGGCCCCATGCCCGCTCAGCGGGCGCGCTTGTCACGTCGCCGTCGCCCAGCTTGGCTCTTCGCTGGTTGCCTCCAGTACCACTGGGAAAGATGGGTCTCTCTCTTCTCTTTTCTCCCCGGCTTCCTGGGGTGCACCCCTGGCCTCATGCATGCAGGTGCTTTGCCCGCGCACCAACCTCGAGCCTCTGGGTTTGCATGGAGGCAGCGCCCACCCACGGGCTCCCTGTGGAGGGGCCGGCCCAGCGCCAGTTCCCTCACACCCTGCGCCTTCCCCTGGGACCCCGAGAAGCAACCATGGGACGTGTGTCTTTCATTTGTATGTTTATCTGGTGCCAGCCCTCGGGCTTGGACTCGGGGCCTGGCGCTGTCCCTGAGCGCTTCTGCCCAAGGCGGTCACTCTCCCACTTGAACCACAGCTCCACTTCCCATTTTCTGGTAGTTTATTGGAGATAAGAGTCTCATGGACTTTCCTGCCCGGGCTGGCTTTGAACCTCAAACCTCAGATCTCAGCCTCCTGAGTAGCTAGGACAGGCGTGAGGCACGGGTGCCGGCCCCTGCAGCTGATTTTGAAGCTGCCCCACCCGCAGTAAGCTGGAGGACTGTTCCTTCCCATCCCGCAGGGCCCGCTGCTCCCCGCCAGCCGCTCCCCTGGTGGGGAGACCACCCCCTGGGGGTGCTTGTTTGCTTCCTTCCGACACCCAGATGGGGCGGATTCACGCGGCTCGCGCCAGACGAGTTCCCGAGCTGATGCCAAATTAAATGTCAGCAGCTCTGCGTGCGTCTGGCTCGTGTGGGGAGCCCACGCCGCGCCCCGCCCCGGAGCGTTGTGTGCAATGTGCAATCTGTTGGCGACAGCCTCCTCCTGGGACGCGGTGTGCTTGAACACCGTCAGGCCCCTCACGACCACCTAGCCGCTGCCGTGGGCTCTGTGTGTGCCCCCAGCCACTCCCACGGTGGGGCACGGCAGACGGGCGCATGCGCAGGGTGCCTGCGCAGGTCCCAGCCCGAGACCCCCAGAACGGGCCGGGCTGAGCGGGCGCCACGCTCACCCCGTCTCCTCACTCTGCAGTGCAGGACCTCAAGGGGCTCGGCTACGAGAAGGGGAAGCCGGTGGGGCTGGTGGGCGTCACCGAGCTCTCAGACGCCCAGAAGAAGCAGCTGAAGGAGCAGCAGGAGGTGCCGCCACGGCCCGGCCCTGGCCCCAGCCCGCCCCATCCCTAATCCGGGTCCCCTGTCAGCCACACGCCTCTCCGCAGCCTCCAGCAGGGCTGGGGCCAGGGGCCTTGGGGTGGTCACTGCCCGGTACCCGCTCCCGTAGGGTGGACCCTGTGAGACAGAGTCCCTGAGGGTTTTCTCTGAGGGTTGGGGGCCGGGGTTGGGTGAGGCCGCACCGCCATGGCTCAGGTGTCCGGCCCACGCCCCCAGATGCAGCAGATGTACGACATGATCATGCAGCACAAGCGCGCCATGCAGGACATGCAGCTGCTGTGGGAGCGCGCGCTGCAGCAGCACCAGCACGGCTACGACAGCGACGAGGAGGTGGACAGCGAGCTGGGCACCTGGGAGCACCAACTGCGGCGCATGGAGATGGACAAGACCCGCGGTGCGGGGGTGGGGGGGAGAGGGGGAGGGGAGGGGGAGGGGCGGGGAGACGGGGGAGGGGGAGGAGGGCGGGGAGAGCCCCCAGCTCCTCCTCCCCGGCCTTGGCGCTCACCTCACCCTCCCTCTGGCAGAGTGGGCTGAGCAGCTGACCAAGATGGGCCGTGGCAAGCACTTCATCGGGGACTTCCTGCCGCCCGACGAGCTGGAAAAGTTCATGGAGACCTTCAAGGCCCTGAAGGTGAGCGGAGGCCCCGTGCCCCTCGGCCTCGGCCACCCGCCCAGCCAGGGTGCTGGTGGCAGACGCCGTCTGTACCAGGAACCGGCAGCTGGCAGCGAGCTGCTGTGGTTTGGAGCCAGTTCCCCGGGGCAGGCCGGGGCCGGGCAAGCACTGCCTGGACTCTGCAGGGGCAGGGGCGTCACACCCCAGCCGCCTTCTGAGGGGCATAGAAGCCAGTACCCCTGCACCCTCCCAGTGTGGCCCCTGACCAGGCCTGGTGCTCTACACTCTCCAGTCTCCCGGCTACTCTGGAGGCTGAGGCTGGGAGCTCACTTGAACCCAGGAGTTCAAGGCCAGCCTGGGCCACACGCATCTCATCTCAAAAACAAAGCCAGGGCTGGGAAGGTGGCTCAGTGGTAGAGCGCTTGCCTAGCCTGCATGAGGCCCTGGGTTCCATTCCTCCATACCACACACACAGAAAAAGCCAAAAGTGGTGCTGTGGCTCAAGTGGTAGAGTGCTAGCCTTGAGCAAAAGCAGCTCGGGGTCAGTGCCAGGCCTGGGTTCAAGCCCCAGGACTGGCAAACAAACAAAAGCAAAACAAAAAAAAATCGCCATCACACAGGACAGGCCTGCCCCTCTTACCCTGCCCACTAGGGCGCTCAGCCCCCGGGCCCCAGAGGACAAAGAACTGGGTCCACCCTGAGGACCCTGGCCTCGGGGGAGCGGGGCACGTGCCCCGCTGGTGCCTCATGGAGCGGCCAGGGGCAGGGGGGTAGGTCTGGGCTGGGGTTGGCAGCCCCTGAGACCCCCCCACGTCCATCCGTCCCCCCGCAGGAGGGCCGAGAGCCGGACTACTCAGAGTACAAGGAGTTCAAGCTGACCGTGGAGAACATCGGCTACCAGATGCTGATGAGGATGGGCTGGAAGGAGGGCGAGGGGCTGGGCTCCGAGGGCCAGGGCGTCAAGAACCCCGTCAGCAAGTGAGCGCGCGCCGCCCCGGCTCTGGGGTGCCACACCCCGCGGCAGCCCGCGCCCCTCCTGCGCGCCCCCGCGTGCTGTCCTCGCGTTGTGCCCCCCCCCCCCCCCCGCGGCCCCCGGGGCGCATGCGCTCACGCCCCTCCTGCGCGCCCCCCGCGTGCTGTCCTCGCGTTGTGTTCCCCCCCCCCCCCCGCGGGCCCCCGGGGCGCATGCGCTCACGCCCCTCCTGCGCGCCCCCGCGTGCTGTCCTCGCGTTGCCCCCCCCCCCCCCCCCCGGGCTCCCGGGGCGCATGCGCTCACGCCCCTCCTGCGCGCCCCCCGCGTGCTGTCCTCGCGTTGCCCCCCCCCTGGGCCCCCGGGGCGCATGCGCTCACGCCCCTCCTGCGCGCCCCCCGCGTGCTGTCCTCGCGTTGTGTTCCCCCCCCCCCCCCCCGGGCTCCCGGGGCGCATGCGCTCACGCCCCTCCTGCGCGCCCCCGCGTGCTGTCCTCGCGTTGCCCCCCCCCCGGGCTCCCGGGGCGCATGCGCTCACGCCGTTCCCTCCGCAGAGGGACCACCGCCGTGGACGGCGCGGGCTTCGGCATCGACCGGCCGGCCGAGCTGTCCAAGGAGGACGACGAGTACGAGGCCTTCCGCAAGCGCATGATGCTGGCCTACCGCTTCCGGCCCAACCCGCTGGTGCGTGCGCCCGCCCCGCGTGCCCCCCCCCCCCGCGCCCGCCCCGCGCGCCCCCCCCGCGCCCGCCCCGCGCGCCCCCCCCCGCGCGCCCGCCCCGCGCGCCCCCCCCCGCGCCCGCCCCGCGCCCGCCCCGCGCGCCCCCCCCGCCGCGCCCGCCCCCCGCGCCCGCCCCGCGCCCGCCCCGCGCCCGCCCCGCGCGCCCCCCCCCCGCGCCCGCCCCGCGCGCCCCCCCCCCGCGCCCGCCCCGCGCCCGCCCCGCGCGCCCCCCCCCCCGCGCCCGCCCCGCGCGCCCCCCCCCGCGCCCGCCCCGCGCGCCCCCCCCGCGCCCGCCCCGCGCCCGCCCCGCGCGCCCCCCCCCCCGCGCCCGCCCCGCGCGCCCCCCCCCGCGCCCGCCCCGCGCGCCCCCCCGTGCCCGCCCCGCGCGCCCCCCCCCCGCGCCCGCCCCGCGCGCCCCCCCCCGCGCCCGCCCCGCGCGTCCCCCCCCGCGCCCGCCCCCCGCGCCCGCCCCGCGCGCCCCCCCCCCCCCCCCCCCGCGCGTCCCCACTGACACTCCTCCCTCCCACAGAACAACCCCCGGCGGCCGTACTACTGAGCGTGGCGTCCCCGTGCGTGGAACTGTCCTGCATCTCCACGCGCCATTCCAAGCATTAAAGTCCCAGTGCTCACCGCCCCGCGTCCGCGTGTCCCGTGGTCACTGCGCTGGACAGCGCCTTGAGGGCGGGGGGGGGGGGGGGCGGGGAGGGTCCCGGCTCAGCCTGGGGAGTGGACAGCCTTTCCTCGGGGTCCTGGGCCCCCAGGCAGGGCCAGCATGGGTTTCTGGGCATCTTCCTGTGGGCGCTCTGCCGTCGTCGTCGGGGGGCGGGGCGGGGCAGGGCGGCCATGTCCTCCCGCTGCCGGGCCCTCGGCAAGTGGGGTGCGCATGAGGTGGCCCGTGCCAGGTGCCCTTACCCGAAGCCCGGGGCCCCACCGGAGTTTGCAGCTCAGAAAATGGGACCGGGCCAGGTGCCAGCCCGGCGTCCTCTCCACCGAGGCCCTGGAGCCGCGCCAGGCCAGCCGCGGGACTTTACCCGGGAGGGGGAGGGGCGCAGGCCGTGCCAGCGCCCCGCCCACAGCCCCGGCCAGAAGTGGGGGCACAGACAGCGGGCGCCAGGGGGCGCGGGCTGAGCCCAGCGCCTGAGACCCAGTGTCCCAGGGGGCTGTGGAGGGAGCCCGGGGACCCTTGCAGCCCTGGCCAGCCACACCTGCACCCCAGGAGTCAGCTAGGATATCCCAATCAGCGCTGCGCACCCTGGGTGGGCCTCGAGCCCGCGCAGGACCAACCTGGGGAAGCCACGAGTCCCCCATCCACCAGGGCTCACCCCCGAGGCTGCTGGAGCGAGGGAGGAGCTCCCCCACACTCAACCCAAGACCCCCACGGCCTTCGCCCGGGGCTGCTGGGGCGGGGGCTCCCCCACACTCAACCCAAGACCCCCACGGCCTTCACCTGGACTTCCACCCAGCAACGTGTCTGTTACCCTGACCTGGCTCCCTGCTGCCTGCACGTGCCCCCCCCCCCCCCCCCCGTCCCCCTCCCAGCCCTGCACCGTCCCCTGTGGTCCCAGCCCCCCCCCCGTCCCCCTCCCAGCCCTGCACCGTCCCCTGTGGGTCCAGCCCCCCCCCCGTGCCCCTCCCAGCCCCCCCCCGTCCCCTGTGGTCCCAGCCCCCCCCCCGTCCCCTGTGGTCCCAGCCCCCCCCGTCCCCTGTGGTCCCAGCCCCCCCCGTCCCCTGTGGTCCCAGCCCCCCCCCCCCCGTCCCCTGTGGTCCCAGCCCCCCCCCGTCCCCCTCCCAGCCCCCCCCCCGTCCCCTGTGGTCCCAGCCCCGCCCCGTCCCCTGTGGTCCCAGCCCCCCCCCCCGTCCCCTGTGGTCCCAGCCCCCCCCGTCCCCTGTGGTCCCAGCCCCCCCCCCGTCCCCTGTGGTCCCAGGCCCCCCCCCCCGTCCCCTGTGGTCCCAGCCCCCCCCCCGTCCCCTGTGGTCCCAGTCCCCACCGTGTCCCCACCAGCTGCCTGGCCCAGATCCCATGTACCCCCATTGTTGCCCTGAGGCCTGGGTGGAGGGAGGGCGAAGGCCACGGTGCAGAGGCCTGGGGGCCGCCGATTCCAGACTCCCTGTGTGTCATTGCCCATCCGGCATTCGACAAAAAGGGAAACCGAGGCCGGGCAGCCAGGTGCTCCATGGTGGCTGAGGCGGGGCCTCCCTGGGCGTGAGGATGACCTTTGTGCGGGGCGGGCCCGCGGCATGCACCCAGGTCTGCCACGGGGCCGGAGCCCCAGCTGCAGCCCGCGCGGGCCGAGCCATCCTGGTCTGCTCCCGGCCCCCTCCCGGCCCCGCCATGGAGGTGGACGCCCCGCTGGCCGGCAGGATTGGGGCGCTGTCGTTTGCTGCCATCCCGGTAGCGTACGTGCTCAGCTGTGTCTCCGAGATCTCGCAGTGCGTGTGGGGAGGGGGGGCAGGGGGAGGCCGGGCAGGGACAGGGGCACCAGCCCCATGGGAGCCCCATCTCCTCCAACCAGAAGTCCCCCTGCTGTGGGGGTGGGGAGGGGCTCGTGGGTGGAAGGCTGGGGACCAGGACAGGATGTCCACACCCCACACCAGGCAGGGAGTTGGGGTACCATCAGGGATGCACCCTGCCGGCCTGGGTTCCAAAGTCACCAGGAGGTCAAAGTATTGCCCCAGATAAGGCCTGCTGACCCAGCCCTGCTGTTCCCCACACGCCCTGCTTCAGGCCTGGGGTTTCTTCTTTGCACTGTCCCCAGACTCCATTTCCACACCCTGGCTTCGATCTCCAGGTCCCAGCCAGGTGAATCCACAAAGTGCCCCATGCTGGGGGTCACCAGGCCCTTCTGGAAAGGTTTTGTTGTTGTTTTCTTCATACCAATCTTGGAGCTTGAACTCAGAGCCTGGGTGCTGTCCCTTAGCTTTTTTGCTTAAGACTGGTGCTCTACCCTTTAAGCCACAGCTCCTCTTCAGCTTTTTGGTGGTCACTTGGAGATAAGAGTCTCTCACAGACTCTCCTGCCAGCGCTGGCTTTAAACTGAGCCTCAGCTCCCAGCCTCCTGAGCAGCCGGAACCACCGGCAGCCCCAGCACCCCACTTGCCTCTGAGAGTTTACTATGTTGAGTAGTTTGCACACCGTCTTGACATATGAATATACTGATGCATAGAAAAGCCCAACCTGAACCCCAAGAGACAGACAAGTTCCTGAGCAGACAGGCTTAGAGAGTAGGGAGTTGATTGACAGAGTTGCTGTGTGACCCTGGGCAAGTCTCTTACCCTCTCTGGGCCAGGTCTACATACCATGTTGGGGGTCACCCAGAGACCTGGCTTCGATATCTACGCCTCTGGCTGACCTGTCTTACTGGGTAGTGGTAGATGTGTAGGGACAAGGTAGCATGGATGAGAGGCATGTGGACTTTAGCTGGGAAAGGCTGGGAGACCCCAACAGAGGTGTGCAGAGTTGACTAGAACTTCTGCCAGAGTCTGGCTACAGAGGGACACGGAGAGAAAAGAGGACAGAGGGAGGGAGGGGGAGGGAGGAGCCCCCTCCTGGAAGCGGCTCTGAGTAGGAGCCAACTGATAGGAAAAAGTCTTGTGGTGTTTAACTGAGCTTCAGCCCAGTTAGCTGGCACTTTCTGGAATCTTCTCTTTCCCTGTGTGGGAGTGGGGCCTAGCCTTGGGCCTGGCCCCCCTGACTTGGTTTCCCTCCCCTCAGCCCCGCATGGGTGGCACTGATGAGCGCCCTGGTCCTGGGGCTGCTCTTCCTGGCCATCTACCACGTGGCCGGTGGGGAGGTGGCCCGGGACCCCCTCTACGCTGGTGAGTCACCCGGAGGTGGGGGAGGGCTGACCTCGGGGCCAACCTCCACCCTCAGACTTGGGGATCCAGAAAGGTCTTCTCCATTACTTTGGGGTCTTGTGGATGGTTCTCGTGAGATTGGGGACCCCCAGGTGTAGAACACCCCCATTCGATTGGGGGAACCCCCCAAGAGCCTCATCTTAAGACCGGGAGCCCCTGGAAGGCCTCCCCTCCATCAGCTAGGTCCTCCAAGGACAGGGCAATATCATGGCTCTTCCAGGAGAATGGGGAGTTATCCCCACCCCCAGAAAAGGCCTGCAGGGGCTCAGCCTCCGCTGTCTCCTCCATCACTCATGCTGAATGAGACAGGGTCCCCGAACCTGGCTGAGCCTGGGCCACGCCCATCCCCAAGGCCCCGCCCACAGTGGCCTGCCCAACAAGACCACACCCCCTCAGAAGCCCCACCCAGACACAGACTACAGTCCAATCCACGCCCCACCCATCCCATAGCTCCGCCCACATTGCCCCGCCCACTTCCCCTCAGTGTGTGCCCTATTGGCCTTCACCTCGGTGGTGGACCTGGTCATCGCGCTGCAGGAGGACGGCTACGTGGTGGGCTTCCTGGAGTTCTACACCAAGGAGGTGCGTGGAGGGCCGGCCGGGGGCTCCTCTGCCCCAGCCCTGGCCTGAGCCTCGCCCCTGCACCCCCAGGCCGAACCCTACCTGCGCACGGCCCACGGGATCTTCATCTGCTACTGGGACGGCACTGTCCACTACCTGCTCTACCTTGCTATGGCCGGCGCCATCCGCAGGAGGTACGGCACCCAGGACATGGGGGGCCTGGGGTCATGGGGGCCCCACAGCCAGGGCTGGCCAGAGGGGAGCCCGGAGCTCTTACCAGGCAGGGCTGGCCATCCTGTGTCCCTGTCTAGGGGACTGGGGGATGGGGTTGGAGGGGGTGGCGGCTGGCTAAGCAGGGGTGAGCAAGCTCCGGGCCTGGAAACAGTTTTCAATGACAAAAACAGAGGGCCCAGGGCGGGCTGGGGGCCCCGGCTGGACCCGCAGACCTGGTTGGGGCACAGGCTCCCCTCCCTCCCCCTCCCAGGAAAGAGTTCCGGAACCTGGGGCTGTACTGGCTCGGATCCTTCACCATGAGCCTTCTGGTGTTCATCCCGGGCAACATCCTCGGTGAGGCCTGGGCTCTGGGGACCCGCTGGGCCCCCGGGGGCCCTGCCCTGATCCCCTCCCCCTCTCTCCCTCTGCTCCTTCAAGGCCTGGTGTCCTCTTGGAGGTGGAAAGCTCCACATGAGTGTCACCCCTGGCTGGGAGGGGGAACTTTCTTGCACAGAAAGGGAGGTCTAAGGGTGGAGGCTGAGGACAGAATAAACTGGGGTCCAGCCTTGGGGTCCAGGCAGCACGTGGAGACGGGGAGGCAGCGCTCGGCAGGGGAGACACCCCCGGGCTTTCCCGAGGGACCAGCTGTGAGAAGGTACACTGAGGCAGGCCGGGTCGAGCAGCGTGGGTTTGTAGATAGACATCTGCGGGACTGCGCTTGCCACGTTATTTAAAGCCAAGTGAATCCTCCTTCCCTCTGTGCGTGCTCGCCAGGTAAATACAGCTCGGAGATCAGACCGGCCTTCCTCCTGGCCTTCCTCTACATGCTCATCCCGTGCTGGGCTGGCATGAGGATCTTCAGCCAGCCCCGGGCACCAACCAGCTGTACCCCTAATATGGTGAGTGCCTGTCCTGCGTGCCATGATGCCAGCCCTCAGGAGGCCGAGGCAGAAGCGCGTCAGGTGCCAGGCCAGCTTGGGCTGCTGTGATAGCTGACTCAAAACACAAAAGAGCCCACACCGGTGGCTCACGCTTGTCATCCTACCTGCAGCACCACTTCCAGCCTTCTCCGTTTATGTGGTGCTGAGGAATCGAACCCAGGACCTCATGCATCTTGTTTCCAGTGAACCACCAGAAAACCAGAAGTGGCCCTGTGGCTCAAATGGTAGAGCACTCACCTTGAGGAGAAGAGCCCAGGCCTAGAGTTCAAGCCCCACAATGAACCAAAAATAAGAGTCTGATGGATTTTCCTTCCCAGGCTGGCTTCTAATTATGGCCCTCAGGTCTCAGCCTGCAGAGGAGCTAGGATTACAGGCCTGAGCCATTGGTGCCTAGCATCACATTTTTCTATCTATCTATCTGTCTGTCTGTCTATCTATCTATCTCTCTATCTATCTGTGTCAGTCATGGGACTTAAACTCAGGGCTTAGCGACTCTCCCTGAGCTTTTTCACTCAAGTGCTCTACCACTTAGAGCCACAGCACCACTTCTGGTTTTCTGAATTTACTGGAGGTAAGAGTCTCATGGACTTTCTGGGCCAGGGTGGCTTTGAACCGTGATCCTCAGATCTCAGCCTCCTGAGTAGCTAGGATGACAGGCGTGAGCCACCGGCACCTGGCCCATCTGATTCCTATCTCTAATAAGCTACTCAGAAAAAGCAAGTGTGGAGCTGTGGCTTAAATGGTATGATGCCAACCTGGCGTGAAAAACGCTAAGGGACAGCACCCTGGCCCTGGGTTCAAGCCCCAGTATTGCCTGCGCCCCCCCACCCCAATGAGGTTCTGTGTCCTCAGGACTCCCTGGTTGTCCTGAGGAAGGGAGGAGAGCTGTGCGGAGTGCCCGCGGGCTTCAGGCCTCAGGCAGCTCCGATTCTCTCCGGAGCAGGTGCAGGAATGGCAGGCCAAGCGCCTCCTGCAGCGCCCTGCAGACCTGGCTCTCGTCCTGTACCTCGTCCTGGCTGCGGTCTTCACCCTCTTCCGGGGCCTGGTGAGTGCACCAGCCCCGCCAGCGGCACGCGGGGCCGTGGGGGAAGTTCTTGTTCAAATCTGGCCTGAGTTTCGTGACCAGGCCCTATTTCCTGTCCTGTTTCCTCAGTTCCTGGCTGTGTGGATCCCAAGGCAAGGGAATAAGGCTGGGAGAGGCCCAGAGATGGCAAGCCCTACTTGGGGGGTCTGGGAGGCCTGAGGTAGGGATTGACTGTTGCGTCTGCCCTAGGTGGCGCTGGACTGCAGCACGGACACTTGCTTTGTCTACATCTACCAGTATGAGCCGTACCTGCGGGACCCCGTGGTCTACCCAAAGGTGCAGGTGAGATGTGCCGTGGAGGGAGGTTTGCGCCGGTGGTGCACACCTGGCATCCCAGCCACTCAGGAGATCTGAGGATCGCGGTTCAAAGCCAGCCCGGGCAGGAAAGTCTGTGAGACCCTTATCTCCAATAAACCATTAGAAAACTGGAAGTGGCGCTGTGGCTCAAGTGGTAGAGCACTCGCCTTGAGCTGAAGAGCTGAGGGACAGCGCCCAGGCCCAGAGTTCAAGCCCCACGACCAACCAAAAAAAAAAAAAATTTGGGCTTCAGGTATGGCCAGAGCCAGGCGCTCAACCTACTGGTCTTTGGGCTCCACTTTCCTGGCATGGCTCCCTTCTGCAGGGCGGCAGAGACGGCCCCAGGCTTCCGTCCACCCCCACTCAGTCTCTTCAGAAAAATAGGAGCCCAGCCCATGTCTCAGGCCCATCCCTTGTCAATCACTACAGTCTTGTGACCGGAGTGCGCTGACTGGCCAGCTCAGGGTCACAGGCCACTCCTGGAGAATGGTGGGTGGGCTCAGTGTATGTTAGGGAGGTTGGGACAAAGGAGGGGGGTCCCTCAGGGACCCTTGTACAGGGCTGGGCTGTGCAGGGAGCCCCATCCTGGGTGAGGTCCAGGTCCTTCAGCTCTTCCAGGGTCCTCAGGAGGGCGCAAGGCCGAGCTGAGGTCACTGCTCCCTCCCAGATGCTGGTGTACCTGTTCTATTTCCTGCCCTTCTGCGGCCTGGCGGCCTACGCCCTGGTTGTCCCGGGCTGTGTCTGGCTGCCCGACTGGGCCTTGGTGTTTGCTGGAGCCGTTGGCCAGGTGAGGTGGGTGGGGAAACATGCATCCAAGAGGTCCAAGCCCAGACTTCCCTAGTCTGGGGCCAAATGCTGGCCCGGGTCTGGAGGAAGGACAGGTTTCCTAGAAGCAGGCGTAGGACTGGAGCTTTCACGTGTGAGGATGAGCTCTCCTGGAATGGGCCAGCATTAGGAAAGGCCCTGGGGTCAGTGGTTTAGCGGGGCTGTGGCAGAAAGGCAGAGGCGAGAGCAGCTGGCGGCTGACGCAGGAGACTGAACGGCGCAGATGTGCTTAGGACTTTAGAGAGCCAGGAAAGGTTTTTTTTTTTTTTTTTGGTCAGTTGTGGGGCCTGAACTCTGGGCCTGGGCGCTGTCCCTCAGCTCTTCAGCTCAAGGCGAGTGCTCTACCACTTGAGCTACAGCACCACTTCCGGCTTTTTCTGCTTATGTGGTGCTGAGGAATCGAACCCAGGGCTTCATGCATGCAAGGCAAGCGCTCTACCACTGAGCCACCTTCCCAGCCCCCAGGAAAGGTTTTTGAGGGGTACACAACTCAAGCCCCAGCAGAGCTAGGAGCCTGTGCGTGGGTTACTGATGGGGAGAGCGAGCCTGGGCCCAGGCTGGGAGAGGGGGCCCAGGAACGTGTCTGTGGCGGAAACACAGCCAGATTGATGCCAGCACCGCTGGGAGGAGGAGAAGGGTCAGAAGTGAGAATATTAGGATTCAGGGACCAGCTGAGGGCTGGGGATGGAGGTCCTTCAGCTCTGCCTGTTAAAAAACGCCCCAGGATGGTAAGTCAGACACTCCCGTAACCTCAGCTACTAGGAGGAGGTGGAGATTTGGAGGATTACACTTTAAGACCAGCCCAAACAGACAAAACCTTAAGACCCCATCTCAACCAAATAAGCCAGTGAGGGTTCACCACGGCAATCCCTGCTACGCAAGAGGCCCGGATAAGTAGGAGGATTGCTATCCAGGCTGGACCAGCCCCGCCCCCACAGTAATTAGTGGTAGTCATAATTAATAACTAAAGCAGAAAGGGCTGGGTGTGTGGCTCAGGTGGTGGAGCGCAGACACCCCCTCCGTCCCTCCCCCACTCCCTGTCCCCTCCCCCTCCCCCCTCCACCCCTCCCCACCCCCTCCATCCCCCCACTCCCTCCGTCCCTCCCCCCTCGGTCCCCTCCCCCCTCGTCCCCTCCCCCACTCCCTCCGTCCCCTCCCCCCAGGCACAGTTCTCCCACGTGGGCGCCTCCCTGCACCCGCGGACGCCCTTCACATACCGCGTGCCCGAGGACGCTTGGGGCTGCTTCCTCCTCTGCAACCTCCTGCTGGCCCTGGGCCCGCACCTGCTGGCCTGGCGCTGCCTGCGCCGGCCCTCCTTCTTCCTGCCCACACCGCGGAGCCCCGCACCACCAGCCCCGCAGCCGGGCCGCCTCACAGTGCGGTGCCAGGCCTGCGCTGACACGGATGCCCACAGAGAGCTCAGCAGCCACGCACACTCCTGAGCTCACCCTGCCCCACAGAGCCTTTCAATAAAAGAGAAGCCTTTTTGGTATCTTGGCCGTCACTGTGTGAGCGCTGGCGGTGAGGCCTCTCCTTCGCCCCGACGCCCAGCCACCATCGCAGTGGGGGGAAACTGAGGCTCAGAGGCCTCAGCCCTGCCTCAAGTCCCAGGGGAACCAGTGTGTGCACCGTGCTCACACCTGTCATCCAAGCTACCTTGGCAGGCTGAGATCAGGCAGATGGACACAGGAGGCCCCGTCTCCACCCATGTCTCCACCCGTGACCCGGCGCACTGGCAAGCGACTGTCCACCCGGGCCAGGTGGGGGCTGCGGGCCACAGCCGGGCGCTGCTGCTCCGCCTGTCACCCCAGCGACTCAGGAGGCTGAGATCTGAGGATCGCGGTTCAAAGCCAGCCCGGGCAGGAAAGTCCCTGAGACTCTGATCTCCAACGAACCACTAGAAAGCCGGAAGTGGCGCTGTGGCTCCAGGGGTAGAGCGCCGGCCGTGAGCTGGAGAGCTGAGGGACAGTGCCCGGCCCGGACGGAGTTCAGGCCCACGACCGACTGACAAGGGAAAGAAATGGGGTGGAACTGAGGGCAGGCGCGGGACTCCTGTGACCCGGCCGGGCGCCCGGTGCCCGCATCCTCCAGCCTCAGCCCCGCGCCCCGCACAGCGCCCCGCACCCGTGGCCGCCCCTGCGCGCGGGGCGCGCTCCCTCCTCCCCTCCCGGCCAGGCCTCGGCGGACCGCGGGCCGCGGCCCCTTTAAGGCCCCGCCCCCGCCGCTCCTCCCCTTGCAGGCAGACGCCGGGATTGCGCCACCGCCGCGCTGCCCAGAGCCGCTGCGGGCCGGCGCGGTGCGGCCGGCGTGCGGGCCGGGACCAGCAGCATGGTGAGTGCGGCGCCGGCGGGTCCTCCCGCTCCCGCGGCGGCGCCCCGACGCCCCTGTTCCCCTCCCGCACCCCGGGCTCCGCGGGGGCACCGCCGCCCGCAGCCCGCAGCCCGCACCCCGCCGCAAGTTTGTCCCTCCCGCCCCTGCCCGCCCGTGCGTCCTCTGCCCGACGCCCCCGCGCCTGTCCCCCGGCCCCTCGCCGTTCCCGCACTGCCCCTCCCGCCGTCCCCTGCCCCCTCCCGCCCCCCGCCCGCCCCCCCAGCCCGCTTGCTCCCCCCGCACCCCTCCTGTTCCCCGCACCCTCCTCGGCCACGCGCCGCGCTCTGCTGCAGTCTCCTGGCGCGGTAACCTTGCGCAGCGCCTCCCATCCCCCCCCCCCCCCCGCCAGGGGGCCGCGGGCCGAGTCCCGCGTGGGGCGGGACGGCGGGGGGGGGCGCCGAGGCCCGCGTGGGGTGGGGGCGCCGGGGAGGGGGCGCCGAGTCCCGCGCGGGCCAGACGGCGGGGGGGGGGGGCGCCGAGGCCCGCGTGGGGCGGGACGGCGGGGGGGGGGCCGAGGCCCGCGCGGACCAGACGGCGGGGGGGGGGGGGGGGCCGAGTCCCGCGCGGGCCAGACGGCGGGGGGGGGGGACGCCGAGGCCCGCGTGGGGTGGGACGGCGGGGGGGACGCCGAGGCCCGCGTGGGGAAGGGGACGGCGGGGGGGGGACGCCGAGGCCCGCGTGGGGAAGGGGACGCGGGAAGCGGACGGGGACGGGGCTCTGGTCTCCAGGTGGGACTTAAAGTGCAAACGGGGGCAGAGCTGGGGGCGTGGCCTCTGGGGCGGAGCTTCTCTGGGGGCGTGGTCTCCAGGAGCTTCCACCTGAGTGGGGCATAATCTCCAGGAGGCGGGGCTTGGCTCTGAAGGCGTGGCATCCAGGGGCGAGGCTTCCACCTGAGTGGGGCATAATCTTCAGGAGGCGGGGCTTCGCTCTGAGGGCGTGGCATCCAGGGGCGAGGCTTCCACCTGAGTGGGGCATAATCTCCAGGAGGCGGGGCTTCGCTCTGAGGGCGTGGCACCCGAGGTCCTGCTCGGAGCATCTCCTCCCCCCACCCCGTTCGGAAGGGGCGGAGACAGGTCGGTGGGCGGGCCGGCCAGGGGTCGGTGTCCCCTGGAGCCCTGTGCCCTGTGCCCGCAGGTGTGCGCTCGCGGCGCGCCGGGCCCCGGCGCGCTCTGGACCGCGGCGTGGGGCCTCCTTTTGCTCACAGCCCCAGCGGGGGCACAGCGAGGCCGGAAGAAGGTGGTGCACGTGCTCGGTGAGTGGCCTGCGCGTGGGGAGGCGGCGCAGTGACCGCCCTGCCCTCCGGTGGCCGCCGCCTCCCCAGTCCCTGCCCCCCTGCCCCTGCCCCGGCCCGAGTCCTCCCGCGCCCCTCCCCGGGACTCGCCCGCCCTCCGGGCCCCTCTGAGCTCGGCTTGGTTCGCCCCGCAGAGGGCGAGTCGGGCTCCGTGGTGGTGCAGACAGCGCCCGGAGAGGTGGTGAGCCACCGGGGTGGCACCATCGTCCTGCCCTGTCGCTACCACTACGAGGCCGCCGCGGACGACCAGGACGGCGTGCGCCTCAAGTGGACCAAGGTGGTGGACCCGCTGGCCTTCGCCGACGTCTTCGTGGCGCTGGGTCCGCAGCACCGGGCATTCGGCAGCTACCGCGGGCGCGCGGAGCTGCAGAACGACGGGCCCGGCGACGCGTCCCTGGTCCTGCGCAATGTCACCCTGCAGGACTACGGGCGCTACGAGTGCGAGGTCACCAACGAGCTGGAGGATGACGCGGGCATGGTCAAGCTGGACCTGGAAGGTGACCAGGCGTGGGGTTCACGTGGCAGGGAGGAAGCGGGGGCCGGGGGGAACGGATCGAGTTGGCTGTAGAAGTGTTGCAGAAGTGTCAGTAGGGCAGGGATTCAGGGGCGGCGCGGTCCCGACGCGTGGACCGTGCCGGGAAGGTGGACTCCATCTCCGCTTCCCGGCGGGGCTACGGCCGACCTCACCCCGCCCCGCCCCGCTTAGCCTGGCGCCGGCGAAGCCCGCCCCGTCTACCATCGAGGCCCAGGGCTGTCTATCATTGGGCCAGCTCCAATCACGTGCCCGCGAGTGAGCCAATCACAGTGGCTGCGCGATGGGCCTCGCTGATTGGCTGGGCGCGAGGCTGGGGCGGGGTTTGCAGCGAAGGTCTCCCTCTCTCGGGGCCGGCCCCAGCCTCCAGCCCTCCCCAGCCTCAGGGAGGACGGCTGGGCCAGCCGACCGCCCAGGGGCTCGGGCAGAGCCAGGGACTCGCTGGCCCCGCGTGCCTCCTTCCCGGGCCTGCGGAGAACATCCAAACCCTCCCTGCTCCTTAAAACGCAATGACCTCTCGGCTCCTGGACGGACCGAGTCCAGGGAGGGACGACTTCCGCCCTGAGAACTAAAGGTGGACAGAGAAACCAGCGGGCACCGCCTTGAACAAGGCGTCTGTGCCCTGCGGCCAACCTTCCGGAACCTTCCGGGCCATCGGGGGTGTGTGTGGGGGGAGTCCTGTTCTGGGCAGACAGTCCAGCGGGAGGGACTGTTGCACGTGCGGTGTCAGGGACAAGCAGGGCTGAGCGGAGCAGAGGAGTTGGGTTGTGAAGGACGAACAGGAGTTCGGCGGGTGGGAAAGAGCAGAAAGACCATGTGCAGAGGTGTCCACCGGCGGGAGAAGGGCAGACAGGATTGCGTTTAAAGGGGACCTCGAGCTGAAGGCCAAAGAAGCCTCACGGGGTGTGAGACGCACGGCCGGGGAGAGGGATGGGCCGAACGTCCAGTCTGGACGGAGGTCAGACGCCCGCATCCCCCGCCAGGCGTGGTCTTCCCCTACCACCCCCGGGGAGGCCGCTACAAGCTGACCTTCGCCGAGGCGCAGCGCGCGTGCGCCGAGCAGGACGGCATCCTGGCGTCGGCGGAGCAGCTGCACGCGGCCTGGCGCGACGGCCTGGACTGGTGCAACGCGGGCTGGCTGCGTGACGGCTCGGTGCAGTACCCGGTGAGCCGGCCGCGAGAGCCCTGCGGAGGCCTGGGCGGGGGCAGCCCCGGAGCCGCAGGCGGCGCTAACGGAGGCGTTCGCAACTACGGATACCGCCACAACGCGGAGGAGCGCTACGACGCCTTCTGCTTCACCTCCAACCTCCCGGGTAGGTTGGCCCCGCCCCCAACGGCGTAGGTCCCGCCCTCAGGGGAAGGAGGCTCCGCCTCTGAACGCGCAGACCCCGCCTCCTATTGGGATGTTTCCGGGAGAGTAGCTCACCCCAGTGCGCATGCCCAAATGCAAACCCCACCCCTGGCGGAAGGCCCACCTATGGGAGGAAAGCCCGCCTCCCCGATACTCAGCCCCCGCCCACAGGAGGGAGGCCACGCCCCCTCCCCGCCCTCAGCTGTCCGGGACCTCAGGGCCGTGGACCGGCTCTGCTCTCTCCCGACCGGGCTCCTGGAGGCCCGGGGTGGGAGCGCTCCTGGACCCTGACACCGAGAGTCCTGGGCCGTGGGGCGGCAGGGGCAGAGGGGTCCGGAGGCCGGGCTCCCGGCCACGTCCTGACCCCGATCCCGACGCCACCCCGCAGGCCGCGTGTTCTTCCTGAAGCCGCTGCGGCCCGTGCCCTTCGCGGGGGCGGCGCGCGCGTGCGCGGCGCGGGGCGCGGCGGTGGCCAAGGTCGGGCAGCTGTTCGCCGCGTGGAAGCTGCAGCTGCTGGACCGCTGCACGGCGGGCTGGCTGGCCGACGGCAGCGCGCGCTACCCCATCGTGAACCCGCGCGCGCGCTGCGGGGGCCTCCGGCCCGGCGTGCGCAGCCTCGGCTTCCCGGACGCCTCCCGACGCCTCTTCGGCATCTACTGCTACCGCGCGCCCGGCGCCCCCGACCCCGCGCCCGGCGGCTGGGGGTGGGGCTGGGCCGGCGGCGGCGGCTGGGCCGGCGGCGCGCGCGACCCCGCGGCCTGGACCCCGCTGCGCGTCTAGGATCCAGCGGCAGGACCGGCTGGGGAGATGGGCCACGCTCCCCATGGGTGGTCGGACACTGGACACGCCCCAGGCCTCAGTGGTCGCTGGGCTCACGCCCCTCCTCCCCTGGAGACTGCCCACGCCCCTGATGCATCCTAGAGAATGCCCACGCCCCACGTCCTATCCTGGAGAATGGCCGCGCCCCTGAGGCCTTCTGGAGGATGACCACGCCCCCTGAGGTCTCCGGGAGATTCACTCCGCCCCGAGACCTCCTGGGAGTGGCCACGCCCCCTGATGGATCCTGGAGTCTGGCCACACCTCTTGAAGCCTTCTGGATGTTGACTCCGCCCCTGGCGTCCCCTGGAGCCTGGCCACGCCCCACGAAGCCTTCTGGAGGGTGGCCACGCCCCACGAAGCCTTCTGGAGGGTGGCCACGCCCCACGAAGCCTTCTGGAGGGTGGCCACGCCCCACGAAGCCTTCCGGAGGGTGGTCACGTCCGAACGCACCCTACAGACTGCCCTTGCAGTCTGCCCCAGAAGTCTTCTGGAGACTGAGCACGCACCCTACGGTCTCCTGGAGTTCACCCCGCCCCCGAGACCTCCTGCGACTGGCCACGCCCCCGAGGTATCTTGGAACCTGGCCACGCCTCCTGAAGCCTGCTGGAGGGTGGCCACGCCCCCTGCGGATCTCCCCGGAGTCCGCACCGCCCCTAAGACCCCGCCCCTGAGCTGCCTGGAGCTAGGCCACGCCCACCCCTGGGTCTTGGAATTCCAAGCTTCTAGGAGAGCCAGGACCCCACAGGAAGCCAGGAGACCCCCGAAGGTCTCCCCAAGACTAGCCACCCACCTCAGCCTCCCGAAAACACCGGCCGCGCCCCTCGGTCCCTGGAGGCCGGACCCCCGGCCGCGCACTCACGCACCCTTAGGTTTCCCCGGAGATGGGAACTGGTCCCTTTGGGTCACCTGCCCACCAGACCCTCCTCCCCATCACCTGGCGACAAAACTAACCTCAGGGTCCCCCAGCGACCACGCTCCGCGGGCGCGTGGAGCCCGGGCTCAGGGCTTCGTCCCCTACGTGGTTTCCAGGGTAACGGGCTGCGTCCCCAAGGGGGGGGAGGAAGGACCCTCCCCCGCCCTCCCCTACGGGCTGCCACCAAAGAGCTCCGGGCCTGGCCCTGCGGCCCCGCTGACCCCGGCCCGCCCGCCCCCCCCCGGGTCCCCCCCCTGGCCCCCGCCCGCCCCCCCCGGGTCCCCCCCCCCCGCTGACCCCGGCCCCCCCCCGCCCCCCCGGGTCCCCCCCCTGGCCCCCGCCCGCCCGCCCCCCCCGGGTCCCCCCCCTGACCCCCCCGGGTCCCCCCCCCGCTGACCCCCGCCCGCCCCACCCGGGTCCCCCGCTGACCCGCACCGGGGCCGCAGGACCACGCCTCCCCGCATCTCTGAACCTTCACCCAGACACGGCCGCTGCCGTGGGCTGTCCCCTCCCCCCGCAGACGGCCCTCCCCCTACTTGTACCCCGGATGTCCCAACTCGGGGTGCAAACTGGGCCGCCGCGCCCGCCAGCCGGCGGCCCGCCCCCCCAGGCTGTCGCCATGGAGACCACGCTGGCGTCCTCCGCCCCGCCGGGGGTCGCCGTGGAGACGACCGGTGTGGTTCCCAGGACAACCGACCTCCGCGCGCTCCGGGACGTCTCGCGGGGGGCCCCTCCCCGCCGCGGCCGCCCCGCGACAGCCCTTCATCCGATGGGCCCGCCGCGCCGCACCGCCCCGCCCCGCGCCGCGCCGCGCCCCTCCCCAGGAAGCGGAGGGCTGCGCGCCTGGGGCCCCCTCCCTTCTGCAAGCGCTCGGCTCCGCTTTGCCTTCTGAGACCCGCACCCCACTCCCGCCAAGCCCCGCGTGCGCCCGCCCCCCCCCGCGCTGCCCCCCCCCGCGCTGCCCCCCCCCGCGCTGCCCCCCCGCGCTGCCCCCCCCCCGCTGCCCCCCCCGCGCTGCCCGCCCCCCCCGCTGCCCCCCCCCCGCGCTGCCCCCCCGCGCTGCCCGCCCCCGCGCTGCCCCCCCCGCTGCCCCCCCCCGCTGCCTCCCCCCCCGCTGCCCCCCCCCGCGCTGCCCCCCCCCGCGCTGCCCGCCCCCCGCGCTGCCCCCCCGCGCTGCCCCCCCCGCTGCCCCCCCCGCGCTGCCCCCCCGCGCTGCCCGCCCCCCCCGCTGCCCCCCCCCGCGCTGCCCCCCCGCGCTGCCCGCCCCCGCGCTGCCCGCCCCCCGCGCTGCCCCCCCCCGCGCTGCCCCCCCCGCGCTGCCCCCCCGCGCTGCCCACCCCCGCGGTGCCCCCCCCGCTGCCCCCCCCCCGCGCTGCCCCCCCCGCGCTGCCCGCCCCCGCTACCCCCCCCCGCGCTGCCCCCCCCCGCTGCCCCCCCCCGCGCTGCCCGCCCCCGCTACCCACCCCGCGCTGCCCCCCCCGCTGCCCCCCCCCGCGCTGCCCGCCCCCGCGCTGCCCGCCCCCGCGCTGCCCCCCCCGCTGCCCCCCTCAGCGCTGCCCGCCCCCGCGCTGCCCCCTCCGCGCTGCCCCCCCCCCCCCCGCTGCCTCCCCTCAGCGCTGCCCCCCCCCCGCTGCCTCCCCCCGCTGCCTCCCCCCGCGCTGCCCCCCCCCCGCTGCCTCCCCCCCGCTGCCCCCCCCCCGCGCTGCCCCTCCCCCGCTGCCTCCCCCCGCGCTGCCTCCCCCCCGCTGCCCCCCCCCCGCGCCGCCCCCCTCAGCGCTGCCCGGGCCCCTTCCTCCCTGCCCCGCCCCCCCAGGCCCCGAGGGGTCCAGAGGCCGTTTGAGCCGCGCGGGCAAGCCCCGGAGAGCCCCCCAGAGTGGAGAGCCGGCCCCTGGACGCGTCTGGCCTGAGGCCCGGCCCGGATCTTCCCGGAGCGCTCCTCCCCGCCACCTCCCCAGCTCCGAGCTCCGGAACCCGGTGTGGACGTGGGTTCGAATCCCAGCCCTGGTTCTTGGTTCACCAAGCATCCAAAGCCCCGATGCACCCCTTTTCTCCCCTGTCAAGGGGCAGATCCCAGAGGTTCCCCCCCCCCCCGCAGTGTCAACAGCCAGGGTTCAATAAACCTTGTTTTCATGAGTGAGAAATGGAGGCGCCCGCGGCGGCTCCTGCGGGTCCCTGGCGGGCAGGACCGGGCTGGGGGCTGCTTGGGCTGGGCGGCCGGGACCCCGCGCAGGCCTCCCCTCCTTCCCGCCCCCAGCCCCCTCCCCCTGAGGTTTCCTGGGGACCGGAAATGAGGCTCCCAGCTCTGCTCCCTGGGACCCACTTCCGGGTTCACCTGGCATATGTAAATTTCAGAAGGGTTGACTCCGCCCCCTTTGAGTTCAGCCAATGAGTGCTAGGCTCCATCTCGCTAGGCAACCGCAATTGGTCCATGCGTGAGGGTGTGGCCTCACGCCGACCAATGAGGCCGCGCCGCTGGTGGGGAAGGAGAACTTCCTTAGGTTAGGTGCAGGTCCCTGAAGCCCAGAAAATGCTAGGCCTTGGCGCCAAGCTGCTGGCCTGCACCCCTGCCTTCCCGCGCACTCCCCACAACACAAGCAGCGATGCTCACAGTTAGCAAGCCTCCACGGAAAGACACCAGGGGCCACAGTTCAAACCCCAGAACGACGCCCCCCACACACACCAAGCCCGAACTGAGAGGTCGTTCTCTTACAGCGCTGTTCAACCAGCTCTAGTCAAAAGATAGTTTCATCCCCCCCCCCGTGCCCCCCAAAGAAAAGCGGACTCCATACCCCCGGGTGAGACTGCCCCTTCCCAGGGCTGTGCTGATACCTTTGAGAGGCGGAGCCTAGGGAGAGGAATTGGGGTCTCTGGGGTGTGGCCCCGAGGGGCATCGCAGGGACCCTGGCCCCTTTCCTGCCCCTCTTTGCTGCTCCTGGCTGATGCTCTGCCACTTGAGCCACATCCACTTCCTGAGTCGGAGGTGGAGTCAGTCACTTCTGTCCCAGCTGGCTCTGACCCACCAAGAAGCCTGAACTGGAGCTGTGTCTCGGGTAGCGTAGCGTGCTTGAACGAGAACAACAAAAAGCTCAGGGGGCTGGGAAGGCGGCTCAGTGGTAGAGCGCGAGGCTCCATGCCTGAGGCCCTGGGCTCCATTCCTCAGCACCACATAAAGGAAAAAAGCCGGAAGTGGCACTGTGGCTCAAGTGGTAGAGCGCCAGCCTTGAGCTGAAGAGCCGAGGGACAGTGCCCAGGCCCAGAGTTCAAGCCCCACGACTGACCAAAACAAAAACAAATCACTAATTGAAAGAAATGTGCCCTTTGCTCTCCTCTGCCTGCATTGTCCTTCCCGCTCTCCCCCCTCCCCCTCTCCCCCTCCCACTTCTCCCAGCTCCCCCCTCTCCCTCTCTCCCAGTTCTCCCCCTCCCACCTCTCCCAGCTCTCCCCCTTGCCCCCTCCCCATCTCCCAGCTCTCCTCCTCCCCTCTCCCAGCTCCCCCCTCCCCCTCCCAGCTCTCCCTCCTCCCCCTCCCCCCTCTCCCAGCTCTCCCCCTCCCAGCTCTCCACCTCCCCCTATTCCCCTCCCCCTCCCCAGCTCCCCCCTCACCCCCTCTCCCAGCTCTCCTCCCTCCCAGCTCTCCCCCTCCCCCCTCCCCCCTCCCTCTCCCAGCTCTTTCGTGATCTCTGAGGGTCGCAGCTGCCCAGACCAAGCACTGTTCACACTGGTCTGCTCTTCCTTCCTTTGCAGCGTGAATGAATGAATGACATAAAAGCCACCAGAGGAGAGAGCTCGGGCAAAGCAGAACAGTTAAAAAATTTTTTATTAAAATGTCCAAGTCCATCAACCCGGCCACAGTGTCCCGGTCCGCAGGCCCGCAGTCACGCCCGGGAATCCAGGGCCGCTCACACGCACGTGCGCGCACACACACAGACACACAGAACAGAGGAGGGAGGGCCCACGCAGGCACACGCACACACCTCGGAGGAAAAGAGCAAAAGACAACCCCGCCTACTCAGGGAGCGCCCAGCAAGGCCCCGGACGGCGCCCCAGGTCCCAGCCACGGGCAGAGTCGTGGCCCGTGTTCCTCTAGAAGCGCTGCGCCTACATCCAGAGCCTCCTGAGCACCGGGGTGAGGTGAGGCCCGGGCTGCCAAGGGCTTGTTGGGCACCAGGGCCAAGTATGCTGTTAGCACCGGTCAGCTAGGGCCAAGTCTGCGTGAGGGACGCTGGTGGTATGGTGATATGTTTGGTCTCTACCTGAAGTACTGAGCTGGACACAGGGGAGGAGGGGGGGTGGGGAGGACTCAATCCTTTCTCTGCTCTTAGCCATGAAATAATTGGGGGAGACAATGGAGGATGGAATGGGCCATGAGTCGCAGGGCTGCTAAGACTCGGGCATGGTGAGTGTCTAGCTTGATTCTCACTGTGATTTTCTTTTTCTGTTTGGTCACACATGACTTTGACTTCTCATCAGGGATCTAGGCTCAGTTAACATTTCTATGCATACTGATCCAGCCATGCGTTGACTTGTGTTGCCTTCCTATACAGGACCTTTCATCACTGTTTTGTTTAAATTTGTTGTTTGCTTGTGGTTCTGGGATGAACGCGGGGCCTTGCGTGGGCTTCTGGGTCAGCACCCACCACTGGGCAACCTATCCTTCTCAGATGTGGCCAAAACCTCAGATGGTACACAGTGTGGAAGGAGTGGGAGCAGACAGCAGACCTGAAGGGACACGGGGCGTCCCCGCCAGGGATCACAGAGGCGGGCTGGAGTCTGGCTTGGCGATGGGAAAGTTCTTTCCCATTGAAAAACAAAACGCAGAACTGTAAAACTATTAGAAAAAAAGCATTGTGCATGTGTGTGTGTGCACACGTGTGTTAGTTCTAACTCCTCACATCTCCCTACACCATGATACTGGGCGGTTTCTAGGCCCCCCAGGCGGTGGCTGGAGACTGGGCTGGGGGGGAGGGGGAGGGGGCAGGGCACAGGGTAGTGGGTTAGAAAACTTGGTACCCCCTTGAAAGTTTAGGAAAGAGGTTCTCCGTTTCCCTGAGAGATGGAGGGGGAGGAGTCTGACTCGTGGAACCCGAAACTGGCCCCACTTGCGTGTACGAGGTCTGCCACACAGGTGGGGAGGTGGGAGGCACACCAAATCTCAGGGCTGGGTACATCAACTCCACACGACACGCCCAAGGAATCGCCGCCGCCCAACCCAAACACATGGGATTCCCATGCCATCTTCCAGTCCAGGGAGAAGCAAAGGCTTCATCCTGGATGGAGGACAGCAAAGTGTTTACTGAGCCTGAATCCCTGCGGTACAAAGTGATCCCTTCGCATGAACCCAAATGCAGACTTAATCAAAGTGTTAGTTTAACCCCAGGGCGTTTGGCCATCAGAGGCAGAGCCAGGAGAGGCCGGGGTCCAGCTGGGCCTCCTCCAGGAACAGAGGCCTCAGGGTCGCGGCCTTGGTGGAGGGGACTTGGCAGACACAAGGCTAAGAAGACCTGGGGGGGGGGGGGGGGAGAGAAGGAAGGAGCTTTTTACAAAGGATCATGAGGGGGGTTGGGGGTGCTGGGGGGCTCGGCCCCTCCCCTGGGGCTCCAGGGCAGGGTGGGGGGGTGGGGGTGGGGGGTGAGGGGGCTGTGCTTCTGGTTCTGCTTCCGTCCTGCCCCTGCTCCTCAGCAGAAATTCCCTCCCTCCTGGTCCCAGTCCTCAGCCGGGTGGAGCCTGTGTTTCCTCCGCTCCTTGTGTGATCTGTGGTGGCGGCGCTGGTGGTGGTGCGGGTGGTGGCGCCGGTGCCGGCGAATCCGGTGTGACCTTCGGGCTGCTGGGAAGGGAGGGGGCAGAGGCAGGGCGGTGAGGAGCCGGGCTGGGGGCGGCGGGGTAAACCGCGAGGCTGCGAGGCTGTGTGAGCAGGCGGGAGCCGGGGAGCATGGGCGCAGGGAGAGGGTGTTGCGGTCTGTCCATCACTCGGGGCCTGTGGCCCCAGCTCCGCGGGGGGGGGGGGGGGGGGGGGGGGCGGCTGAGACGTGGAGACTGCGGCTGGAAGCCAGCCCAGCAGACACATCCAAGGGATTCTGATTTCCAGTTAACCAGGGAAGAAGCTGGAGGTGGAGGTGGCTCAGGTGGTAGAGCACCAGAGCAATGGTCTCCAGTGGAAAAGCCAAGCCAGAGTGGCAAGGCCCTGAGTTCCAGCCCCAGGCCTGGCGCCAACAAACCGGAAGAAGGAAGGGAGGGAGGGAGGGGTGGAGGGCAAAAACATCCTGCCAGGCGCCGGTGGCTCCCGCCTGGCTTCCCAGCTACTCAGGAGGAGGCTGAGATCTGAGGATTGTGGTTCAAAGCCAGCCTGGGCAGGAAAGTCTGTGAGACTCTGATGTCCAATAAACCACTCAGAAAACCGTAAGTGGCGCTGTGGCTCAGGCGGGTAGCGCGCTCGCCTTGAGCTGAAGAGCTGAGGGGCAGCGCCCAGGCCCAGAGTTCAGGCCCCGCGACCGACAAAAAACAACAACAAAAGCAGCGGTCCTCCGCCTTGCCGGGCGGGCGGCGGGCGTTTGGGGGCTGTGGGGACTCACGTCTGACGCAGAGGATGCGCGGCGGGTCCCAGGTGCCCGAGGCCCGGCAGCGGATGGCGTCGGCGCGCTGCTGGGAGAAGCCCTCGTGGCACTGGTAGCGGACGGTGGCGTGGACGCTGTACTTGGCCCTGCGCGCGCCGACCACGGAGGCGTTCTCCAGGACCGGAGGGGGCCCGCACCGCGCTGGGGGCACGGCACGGTCAGGGGCGGCCGGGCGGCGCCCGAGGCCCCTGAGGCCGGGGCGTCGGCTGGCCTTGAACTCAGCTCGCCAGGGCTGGGATCGCGGCGTGGCCGCCCTGCTCCCCTCCTGCCCCCGCCAGGGCTTGAGCTCGGGCCTCACTCCCTCACTGCGCCTTTCCCTTCAAAGCTGGCTGTCTACTCGCGCCTTTGTCTGGCCTTTTGGAAAGGAGAGACAGACTGCAGCCGGGGCTGGCTTTGAGCTCTGACCCCAGACCCTCCTGAGCGGCTAGCACGGCTGCCCGGGTGAGGCTTGCAGTGAGGGCCCGCCTTTCCCCAGGCCAGGCCTCCACCGTCCTTAGTAAGACAGGGCGGCATCTTTCTGCCCAAAGTGGCCCAGATCCCCTTATGTACGGGCCTGGGACGGCAGGCGGGCACCGCCACAGCCAGCTCACGATTGGAGGTGAGGGTCTTGTGACAATTTTTTTGTTCAGTCCTCCTGGCCTCCTCCTCCCATCTGGCTGGGGTGGGGGTGGGGGGTAGGAGGGGACACAGACGGGGGGGGGGGACACAGACGGGGGGACACAGACGGGGGGACACAGACGGGGGAGGGGACACAGACGGGGGGGACACAGACGGGGGAGGGGACACAGACGGGGGAGGGGACACAGACGGGGGAGGGGACACAGACGGGGGAGGGACACAGACGGGGGGACACAGATGGGGGGACACAGACGGGGAGGGACACAGACGGGGGAGGGGACACAGACGGGGGACACAGACGGGGGAGGGGACACAGACGGGGGAGGGGACACAGACGGGGGAGGGACACAGACGGGGGGACACAGATGGGGGGACACAGACGGGGAGGGACACAGACGGGGGGACACAGACGGGGGAGGGGACACAGACGGGGGACACAGACGGGGAGGGACACAGACGGGGGAGGGGACACAGACGGGGGAGGGACACAGACGGGGGGACACAGACGGGGGACACAGACGGGGGAGGGGACACAGACGGAGGAGGGACACAGATGGGGGACACAGACGGGGGAGGGACACAGATGGGGGGACACAGACGGGGGAGGGACACAGATGGGGAGACACAGACGGGGGAGGGACACAGATGGGGGGACACAGACGGGGGAGGGGACACAGACGGGGGAGGGACACAGATGGGGGGACACAGACGGGGAGGGACACAGACGGGGGAGGGGACACAGACGGGGGACACAGACGGGGAGGGACACAGACGGGGGAGGGGACACAGACGGGGGAGGGACACAGACGGGGGGGACACAGACAGGGGACACAGACGGGGGAGGGGACACAGACGGGGGAGGGACACAGATGGGGGACACAGACGGGGGAGGGACACAGATGGGGGGACACAGACGTGGAGGGACACAGACGGGGGAGGGGACACAGACGGGGGACACAGACGGGGAGGGACACAGACGGGGGAGGGGACACAGACGGGGGAGGGACACAGACGGGGGGGACACAGACAGGGGACACAGACGGGGAGGGACACAGACGGGGGAGGGGACACAGACGGGGGAGGGACACAGACGGGGGGGACACAGACAGGGGACACAGACGGGGGAGGGGACACAGACGGGGGAGGGACACAGATGGGGGACACAGACGGGGGAGGGACACAGATGGGGGGACACAGACGGGGGAGGGACACAGATGGGGGGGACACAGACGGGGGAGGGACACAGACGGGGGGGACACAGACAGGGGACACAGACGGGGAGGGACACAGACGGGGGAGGGGACACAGACGGGGGAGGGACACAGACGGGGGGGACACAGACAGGGGACACAGACGGGGGAGGGGACACAGACGGGGGGGACACAGACGGGGGAGGGACACAGATGGGGGGGACACAGACGGGGGAGGGACACAGATGGGGGGGACACAGACGGGGGAGGGACACAGATGGGGGGGACACAGACGGGGGAGGGGACACAGACGGGGGACACAGACGGGGGAGGGGACACAGACGGGGGAGGGACACAGATGGGGGGAGGGACACAGACGGGGAGGGACACACCTGTGCCCTTCTTGCAGACGTAGGGCAGGTTGTAGTTGCAGGGCACGTCACTCCAGTGGCCGCTCTCGTGGGCCACCATCACCACGCAGTCCTCCCCACCCGCGAAGAAATTGTCGGGCTGGTTCTCACGCCAGTTCTCGTATTGCTGCGGGAGGAGGGAGCGGGCGGCATCCGGGAGTCTGGGTCCCGGCCCCGGGCTCCCCCCCATGCACATTCCCCATCCCCGCTGTGGCCCCGCCCAGGCCCAAGCCGGCCCCCCTCCAGCTAGGAGGCCACAGCCTCTCCGAGTGGGCCTCCTGCCTCCTGTGTGACCCCTCCCCCCAAATGGCTACTGAGAGAAAAAAAGGCGACCAGGCCTCCAGACCCGGTGGCTTCTGGGAGGCGCCATAGGAGAGTGGAGGACCGGAGGGGAAGGAGAACCAGACAGGGAACAGAGCGCCGGCAGCGGGCATGGCACGTGCAAAGGCCCAGAGGCAGGGCCCCGGCGAGACCAGGCAAGGAAGAGCAAGCTGGTGTGGATGCACAGATGCAGAAGATGGGCAGGAGAAGCCCTGGGGAAGGAGGCGGGGGCCTCCAGGGCTGCCACACGTGGGTAAACTGAGGCCAGAGTCCGCCACTCACCAGCCCAGTGTTGTCTGTCCACTGGAAGTCCCGCTCCACGATCCTGTCATTGAGTCCGATCCACATGTTTTCCTGCCCGAAGCCTGCAGGCCGGGGTGGGGGGGGGCGGTCAGGGAGGGGCTGGAGCTGGCCACATGGCCGCCACCCCCTCCCCGGGACGCCCTGCGCCAGGACGGCGCGCCCCTCGCTCCTCCCTACTGTTAATGAAGCGGTGCTCCTCGGCCGAGTGCACACTGGTCAGGTGCCCGGCGCGGCGGCGGCAGTCCCGCTCGGCGTCCTCCCAGGCCCGGCGGTGCGCAAAGTATCGGTAGCAGTGGCCCTGGAACTTGTGCCAGCCTCGGTCGCAGCCCTCGGTGTCTGGGGATGGGAGGGGAGAGCGAAGGGGCCGGGCCTGACTGGGGCGGCCGCCATGGCCCGGCTCGGTCCCCGCGCCTCCGCCTCTGCCGCGCGCCCCAGGGAGACCCATCTCCGCGGCGGCCAGCGCTGGGCAGCGGCGGAGCGCGGGCCTGTGATCGCAGCTCCCACCGGGAGGCCGAGAAGCCGGAGCCTCGTCCCCCCGCGGCGGAGCCCCCGCCCCCCGATCAAGGCCGTGAGTTCGAATCCCAGTGCCACCCGCACGGGCTCAGCCGCCGCGGCTGGGGGACCCACCCTTCTCGCACAGGCCGCCCCCGTAGCTGGGCAGGCAGAGGCAGACGAAGCCGGCGACCTCGTCGATGCAGGTGCCCCCGTTCTGGCACGGGCTGCAGGCGCAGTCATCTATGTCTGCGGAGGGAGGGAGGGAGCCAGAGGTCAGCGGAGGGCCCGGGCGCGGCCCCGCCCCGAGCAGAGGCGGAGCCACGACGCTGCCAGCCAGTGAGAGTGCAGCCCTGGGGCGGGGGCGGAGTCAGGACCGCACTAGCCAGTGAGAGTGCAGCCCTGGGGTGGGGGCGGAGTCAGGACCTGGCCAGCCATTGAGTGTGCACCCCCCCGTGGGCAGGGGGCGGAGCCACAACCCTGCCAGCCAGTGAGAGTACAGCCCTAGCAGTGGGGGGCAGAGTCAGGGCCCTGCCAGCCAGTGAGCGTACAGGGGCGGAGTCAGGGCCCTACCAGCCAGTGAGCGTACAGGGGCGGAGTCAGGGCCCTGCCAGCCAGTGAGCGTACAGGGGCGGAGTCAGGGCCCTACCAGCCAGTGAGCGTACAGGGGCGGAGTCAGGGCCCTGCCAGCCAGTGAGCGTACAGGGGCGGAGTCAGGGCCCTGCCAGCCAGTGAGCGTGCACCTCCCGTGGGAGTCAGGATTAGGACCCCCCCCCCAGCCAATGCGAGCGCAGCTCGGAGCTGTGGCACCTTGCACGGTGAGCACGCATTAGCATTCGGAGTGCTCCGTGGATGGAGCTCGGTTCCTCTTTTGAGACTCAGTTTCTCTCTCTTTTTTTCCTTGTTTGAGTCCCGGGGCTTGAACTCAGGGCCTGGGCGCTGTCCCCGGCCCTTCTGCCCAAGGCTAGCGCTCTTCCCCTTGCGCCACAGCCCCGCCCTGGCTTTGTGGCGGCTCCTTAGAGATGAATCTCGGACTCCCCTGCCTCGGGACTGCCATCCTCTGTCCTGGGACCTCAGCCTCCTGAGAAGCTGGAATTACAGGCGGGAGCCACCAGCGCCTGGCTCTGCGCTCTGAGCTATAAAGACCCCGCTACCCTTTCCTATGGAGGCTTTCTCTGCGGCCTTTCCCCACTGAGACGTGGTCTGGGTGTTTTGAAAGCGTCTTTAAACACAAAACAACCACAACAAAATGTGCAGATGAGGGGTGAGGAGGAGAGGTTTTGGGGGCTCCCCATCGCAGGCCACTCACCGATCTCACAGTTCTCCCCCGCGAAGCCCTGCGCGCAGCTGCAGCCGTAGGTGGAGCTGTTGGCGCTGCAGCTTCCGCCGTGCAGACAAGGGTTGTTCTCACAGGGGTCCGTTGGGGCTGGGGGTGAAGAGCGCAGGGCTCAGCTCATGGTTATGAGTTCTGTTGTTGTTGTTGTTGCTGTCAGACCTGGGGTTTGAACTCAGGGCCTGGGCGCTGTCCCTCAGCTCTTCAGCTCAAGGTGAGTGCTCTACCACTTGAGCCACAGCACTACTTCCAGTTTTCTGTGGGCTCCTTGGAGATAAGAGTCTCACAGATTTTCCTGCCTGGGCTGGGTTGGAACCGCCATCCACAGATCTCAGCCTCCTGAGTATCTGAGATGACAGGCGCGAGCCACCGACGCCCAGCTCCTCTGAATTTCAACTGCTTCATACATAAAATGGAGCTACAAGCATTTCACCGCGCCCTGATGGCTGGCGCCTGTCCTCCAGCTACTCAGGAGGCGGAGATCTTAGGATGGCGGTTCCAACCCAGCCCGGGTAGGAAAATCTGTGAGATCCTCATCTCCAACGAGCCAGCCTGTCCCAGCCTGTGCTGCGTGCCCCGTGCATGGCACAGGGGCCTGTGAGGGGAGAGGCACGCATGGGTGTGCTCCGGTGGTGGGGGAGAGGGGGGAGGGGCGAGGAGGGAACGCGTGAGCCCCGCCAGGAGCCCACGCTGCCGACACCTGCCCACGGACTGGCAGTGACTCAGTCGCTCCCCGGTGCCGGGTGTATTTCTGGCATCATTAGCATATCTGTTACCAGCCAGGAGGGGAGGGGAGGGGAGCACTGCATCCCCTCCCCCAGCCCCTCAGCCTCCCTCCCTCCCTCTCTCCTTCCCAGGACTACCCCAGCTGACTCAGCACGAGCTCAAGGCCAGACACATCCCCCACAGCAGAGTCAGCTCCCACCTCCTCCCCCCAGACACCCCGCACCCCATCTCTCCCCCAGTACCAACCCCTCCACGTTGTCTGCTCCCTGCCTCCGGATGCCCACACCGTCAGTGAGGCAGATGCCCTGCTTTTAGCCATCCCGTGTTCTCAAGCCTTCACTTTACCTCCTTCCCTCGCTCCCTGGAGCACTCCGTGCCTCAGTTTCCCTGTCTTAGAATTCTAGGCTCTCACTAGAAGCTGTCCCATAAAGCCATGTTAAGCACTGGATTCTAGCTGAGTACTTTTTTTCATTGTTGTCAGTCAGAGCTTGAACTCCGGGCCTGGGCGCTGTCTCTGCGCTCTTCGGCTCAAGGTGAGCGCTCTACCACTTGAGCCACAGCGCCACTTCTGGTTCACTAGTGGTTCATTAGAGATCAGAGTCTCATGAACTTGAACCTTGATCCTCAGCTCTCAGCCTCCTGAGTAGCTGGAATGACAAGCGTGAGCCATGGTTCCTGGCTGGCTAAGTACTTCAAGCTGAGCACAGGCAGTGAGTGCCCAGTACCCGGTGGGGCCTGGCTGCTCCCCCCCGCCCCCCGCCATCCAGGGATGGGAGAAACAGGGGAGCAAGTTAGCACCGGTGCCAGACAGACAGCTGTGGCTCACAAGTGAAATCCTGCCTGTTGGGGAGGCTGAGCTCTGAGGACTGCAGTTCAAAGCCATCCTGGGGGGAATGTGTGTGAGACTCTTATTTCCAATTAACCAGCAAAAAGCTCGAAGTGGAACTGGGGCTCAGGCAGTAGAACGCCAGTCTACTGGATTCCCAGAGACCTCTGTCTGTCCTCTGGGCTCCCCACTCCCACCACCCCGTCCACACTGGGCCTGCGGAATCGGATGGGGCCAGGAGGGGCGCTCACCTTCCTGTGCGTGGGACCGCGCTCCTGCCGGCTCCTCGCCGCTTGCTGCCTCCTCCCAGAAGCCCTCCAGGCCTGGGCCCCCGGCTGCCAGCTCCAGCTCGGCCTCCGCGCCGGGGGACACAGGCAGCAGGGTGCTGGACGCGCCCCACGGGCCTGCAGACTCCCCAGAGGCCGCGGAGGCAGGCTCGTCCACGGTGGCCGTCCTGGGGGGAGGCGGTGGAGGTCCCAGGGCCCCCCGAGTCAACCCCTGGGCCTCTGTCCCGGGGTGGGGCTGGACGCCGGTGGATGCTGGCGGGGGAGGGTCTGGGACGCTGACCCCGGCCCCCAGGTCCAGCGATGTGGGGGGTGTCTCCGTGTTCGTATCCACGGGGCCCCCCAGCCCCCCCAGCATGTGGGATCCAGGCTCCCATGTCCCCCCAGGTCCAATGGGGTTCGGCGTCACCAGAGACTCTAGGGAACCCCCAGGAGAGTGGCCATACAAAGCCCCCCAAGGGTCCGGGCTGGAGGGGACCCTGGTACCCCCCGAGGGTGTGGACAGGGTGCTGGTGTCCAGCTGGGCTCCAAGCTTGAGTTCCTCACTGCCCTGCAGGCCGGGAGTGCGGTGCTCTGCTGTGGGTGGGACCCCGGCCTCCACATCTGGGGTGTCCTCGGTGGAGATGAGATCCGCTGCGTTCCACGCCATGGAAGGCCTCGGGCCGGCGCTGGGGTGCTCAGCTTGGCCGGGCTGAGTAGAGCCTGGTCCCCCAACTTCGCCCAGGCCCGGCGCGGGTGGATCCGTGCTCTGGTCTTCTGCTTGGTGGTGGCTGCCTGTTGTGGCTGCGGTGCCCCCTCCGTGTCCTGCCGGGTCTGGGGGGGTGGCCGAGGCCGGGGTGGCAGGGGCAGCGCTCGCAGCCTGGCCCTGGCCCTCCACCCCAGTGGCTTCGGCGGCCTCGGAGGGGACGGCTGGAGATGAAGGCTGTGGCCACGCTTGGGGGGCCCGCAGCATGGCTGCCATGGGGAGATCCAGAGGACTGACTGCACCGGACGCCTCCCCCGGAGCTGTGCTGGAGTCCTCCGTGGGGCTGGACACCCAGGTCGTGGGCTCCGAGGGCCACCAGGACAGGCTGGGGGTGGCCGGCTCAGCCATGGGGGCCTCAGCTCCATCCAGGTTCAGGTCCGGGCTCTTGCTGGGGGTTGGAATGCTGGAGGGGGTGGAGCTCAAGGGCCAAGGCCTCTTCCCAGCAGGGGGACCTGCAACACCAAGATGATTATCCAGCCGGAGTGGTCACACACGTGTGTAATCCCGGCTACTAGAGACACAGGGTCAGGGGCATTGAAGTTTAAGGTCAGTCTGGCTGGGCTCCAGTGTCTCACACCTGTAATCCCAGCTACTCAGGAGGCTGAGGTCTGAGGATCACGGTTCAAAGCCAGCTGGGGCAGGAAAGGCCCTGAGACTCTCATCTCCAATAAACGACCAGAAAACCGGAAGTGGTGCTGTGGCTCACATGACAGAGCGCCAGCCCTGAGCTGAAGCGCTGAGGGACAGCGCACAGACACAGAGTTCAATACCCACGACTGACAAGAAAAAAGAATGATGACCAGGTGTGGCTACACACACGTGTAATCCAGCTACTAAAGAGACAGAGGTCAGGTCATAAGGATTGAAGTTAAGGTCAGTCCTGAGACCTCATCTTCACCACTAGCCGGGCAGTGACGGTGTGCACCTGTAGTCCGAGCTACTTGGTTTGTTTTTTTGGGTCCGGTCGTGGGGCCTGAACTCTGGGCCTGGGCGCTGTCCCTCAGCTCTTCAGCTCAAGGCGAGCGCTCTACCCCTTGAGCCACAGCGCCACTTCCGGCTTTTTTCTTTTTGCTTATGTGGTGCTGAGGAATCGAACCCAGGGCCTCAGGCATGCAAGGCAAGCACTCTACCACTGAGCCAACTTCCTAGCCCCATGTCCCAGCTACTTGGAAAGGGGATCCCAGTGGCGTCTCGGAGGGGCTGGGGGAGGCCATGGTGGCAGCCGGGCCTCCCGCTCCGGGCCTCGCCCTCCCCGTGGCCCCAGACGCGGGGCACACGCACCTGCCGCAGGCACCTCCACCTCATTGGTCAGAACGGCCCAGGGCCTCGGGCTCGGGGCTCCAGCCTCGGCCTCCGTGGGAGGCTCCACGCGGTTCCCGGCGCCCTCGGGGGCGCGGGGCTGGGCCGCGGCCTGGGGGTCCCCGCCAGGCTCCTGCTGCTGGAAGTGGCGCCCGTTCAGCCCCGGGAAGCGCCCCCGCCGCCTCTCCGTGGGCGCAGCCCCCGTGGGGCCCCGTCCGCGGGGCCGCGGGGCGCGCGTGGGGGCCGCGGCCGGGGGCTCCTCCTCCCCGCTGGACTCGGGGGCCGCCCCCTCCGCCGCGCGCCAGCCGGGCTCCGGCTCGCGGGCCGGGGGCCCCTCGGCCGACGGGATGTCGCCTTCGTCTCCAGAGGACGGGGCGTCCGGGTCCCCGAGCGCCGGCGTGGGGTGATGAGCTGCGGGGGAAGCGGAGGCGCTGGGGCGGGAAGCGCGGCCGCGGCCGCCCCGCGCCCCAGCAGGCGGCCTTGGCGCTGTCCCGGCCCCTCAGGGCCAAAGCCCCCGGGCGAGGCTTCGGGGGCTCCGGGCCCTCGGGGCCGCGGGAAACGCAGCTCCGGGCCTCTGTCCTTCCCCCCGCAGCTCGGGGGCGTGGCCACACCCATGGAGCCACGCCTCCGGGCCTCACGTCGGGGCGTAGCTTTGCGTCTCTAAGACCAGGGCGTGGCCTCCACCAGCCAGCGACCTGCTGTGGGCGTGGCCTTCTATAGAGGGGCTGGAAGTTCCCACGAGGTCCCCCCGCCCCCGGATGTGGGCGTGGTCTGCAAGAAGCCTAGCGCGTGGGGGCGTGTTTGGGGGGACGCCCTTTCTGGGGGCGTGGTCTCCGCGAGCGCACCTCGGAAGCAGTAGGCGTCGAAGCGGGCAGAGGGCGCGGGGAAGCCGGTGCGGTTGGCGAAGCGGTAGACGGTGCGCACGCCCGGGGCGGGGCCCCCGCAGCGCCGGCGCGGCGTCTGGATCGGGTAGCGCACGCTGCCGTCGGCCAGCCAGCCCGGGTCGCACTGGTCCAGGCCCTCGTGCCAGGCCAGGTGCAGCTGTCCCACCGAGGCCAGCACGGCGCCCTGGCGGCGGCACTGGGCCCGGGCGCCTGCCAGGGTCAGGCGGCGGGCGGGGCCCACGTAAAAGACCTCGCCTGCGGGGAGAGGGGCCGGGGAGCGGTCAGGGGGCCTCCACAGAGCCCGGGATGGAAGTCCCATCCCACAGGCCCCGGCAAAGGGGGGTCAGACAGAGAGACAGGCAGACAGGAAGTCAGACAGGCAGGCAGACAGATGGGAAGTTAGACAAACAGACAGACAGGCAGACAAACAGGCAGACAAAGAGAAGCTGACAGTCAGAGGGAGGCAGACAGACAGGCGGACGGACAGGCAGGCAGACAGGCAGTCAGACAAGTAGACAGACAGACAGACAAGCAGACAGGCGGACAGACAAAGAGGTAGGCAGACAGGAGACAGAGAAGCAGAGAGACAGTCAGACAGACAGGCAGACAGACAGACAGACAGGCAGGCAGACAACTAGGGAGGGCGGAGCGCTCAGGGCTGCGGTGCTCCGGGTCTCAGCTGCAGGCTCAGGGGAGCCGCATGGGGATTTGGGGCGAGATGGGGGCCGGGGCCGGTGGCAGAGCCTCGGGGATCCCGCTCCCGCCCCCCGATTCCCCGCCCCCCGCCCCGCTCACCCCCCAGCTCCCGGGCGAAGCAGTAGACGTCGTAGAGCTCCTGCGGGTCGCGCTTCCCGTAGCTGCGGACCCCGGGAAGGCTGCTGCGGTCACCGTAGCACCCAGGGCGCGACTGGGTGATGGGGTACCTGCCGCACACGGGGGGGTCCGGTGACAGGGCGCCCCGCGCACTCTCCGCCACCCCCGCCCGCCCGGGCCCGCCCCTCACCGCACGCTGCCGTCCGAGAGCCAGCCCGCGTCGCAGTTGTCGAAGCCGTCCTCGAAGGCGGCCTGCAGGTGCCGCGGGGCGGCCAGGGCGGCCGAGCCCAGGCGGCAGGCCTCGCGCGCCGCCTCGAAGCTCAGCGCGTAGCGGCCTCGCGCGGCCCGGTAGTGGAACACCACACCTGCGGGGCGGGACGGGGCTCAGGCCCGGCCCCCGCGGGCCCCGCCCTCGACCGGCCCCGCCCCGAGGCCCCGCCCCCGAGGCCCCGCCCCCGAGGCCCCGCCCCCTAGCGGTCCCGCCCAGCCCGATACCCTGCCCCGCCGGGCCACGTCCCTGCCAGATGCCACGCCTGCGCCCAGCCACGCAGCAGGCCCAGCCCCGTCCTCACCCCCACCCCGCCCTGACACCCTGATCGCCCACAAACCCCCAGAAAACCAGAAGTGGTGCTGTGGGTCAAGTGGTAGAGCGCCAGCCTGGAGCAAAAATGTCCAAGAACGGCGCACTGGGCCCGAGTTCCAGCCCCAGGCCCCGCACACGTGCAGTAACACAAAAGCCACAGCAGGGTGTCTGCTGGCCGGGTTCCACGGGGGAGCCCGACCTCCCAAGGGACGCGCGGCCCAAGCCAGGCAGCTGCCTGGCACCCCAGTCCAACCGTCACATGGCGTGTGCACCCCAGAATCGTGGACAAGTCTTATGTAAATTCAGAACTAAAAATGGGCTGGCGGCCGGGCTCGCCCGTCCGCACCTGCCTTCCAAGTGTGAGACAACACAGGATTGCTAAAAAAAAAAAATTAAAATTAGAAATAAGAAGGAAGGGAAAAAAGGCTGAGAACGAGTCGGGCATGATGGCTGTGCGGGTGAGCTCAGTTATCAGGAGGCTGAGGCCGGAAGATGGAGATTTCCAGGCCTCTCCGGGCTGCACAGTAAGTCTGGTCCATCAACCCGGGCCACAGTGGCTCACAGCTGTAATCCTCGCCACTCAGGACGCTGAGATCTGAGAATGCGGCTTGAAGCCAGCTTGGGCAGAACAGTCCAGGAGACTCTTATCTCCAATTCAAACGAATCAAAAGCGGGTTATGAGACAAAGGGCAGAGTTCTAGCCTTGAGCTCGAAAGCTCAGGGATGGCGCCCGGGCCTGAGTTCAACCCTCCAGCGCAAATCAAAACAAGAGAACATTCATTGCATGATGAGAAATTATTGTGCTCTGACTTTACAGCAGACCTTGTTCTAGACTTTGCTGTAGTCATTTTTTTCTTCCCTAATCAGGAAGAAAAATAAACTCCACTGGAGATTTCAACAGAAAAAAATTTAATAAAGGGATTGGTTAAGCAGATATTTTAGAATTGTTATTTGCTCTATATTTTTAATCAACTGGCTTTTTTGAAATAGCCTCAGTGTTTTTCTTTTATTGAAACAGGGATTTATGCGTAGCCCAGGCTGGCCTCAGATTCTCAGTTCTCCTACCTCAATCTACAGAGATGGCCACCGGGCTCAGTTGCCCCCATTTCTAGTTTCAAAATATTTTAAAGGCCCTGAGTTCAAATTCTAGTATAATTTTTTTTTAAGTCTCAAGCAAAAACAGGATTTAGAGACAGACCTTGGTTAAAAAATTCGTGTTAAGGGGCTGGGAATGTGGCATACTGGCAGAGTGCCTAGCATGCATGAGGCCCTGTGTTTGATTCCTTAGTACCACATAAACAAAAAAATTAAATTAAAAAGGTGTTAAACACAGGCTAGCACCTAGGAGACATCCCTCATCAGAATTTAAATGAATTGCCTGTAGCTTAGCCTGCGTCCCACCCTTCCCGACCCCAGTCCCACTCCATGCCTTAACTCCTCCCACAAAGTGGGTGGGGTTACGGTTGAACCACACCTCTCCTGGCTCCAGCTCCTCCCACCGGGTGGGTGGAGCCTAGACTGTGCCAAAGGCTTCCTGACTTCAGGCCCTCCTATTGAGTGGGCAGGCCCAAGATTCAGCTCCTCCCTCTGAGTGGGTGGAGTTCAGGGCACGCCCCGCACCTATCCATCTGAGCTCCTCTCATTGATTGGGTGGAGTCTGGTTATGCCACGCCCCTCCCGACTCCTCTCCTCCCACCGAGTGGGTGGGGACAGGGCATGTCCCACCCACAAGCAGCTCCTCCCTCCGATTGGGTGGAGTTAGGATATCCCCGCCCAGCCTCCAAATCAGCTCTTGGTCTCCATTGAGTGAAATTCACATATTCCCGGCCTCATAACCGGCTCTTGCTCCCCATTGGTCGGAGCACCAATCTCCCCCGCGCTGCTCCATAATCCTCCCTCGAGTTGGGCGGAGCTCAGATGCGCCCCGCCCGGGCCCAGCCGTGGGCTGGGGCTCCGCACCTCCCCCTCCGCCGCGGCCTCCCGGCGCCCCACTGACCGGTCACCTCCAGCGGCACCAGGTCCTGCTCGTCGTCGATGCCCCGCACCACCTGGCATCGGTAGAGCCCGGAGTCGCTGGCCCGCAGCGGGCCCAGCAGCAGCGTGGCGTTGGTCCGGTGCCCGGGGTAAGCGGGCAGCGACACGCGGCCCTGCCAGCCCTTGGCCACGCGCACCACGTTGTCCTTGGCCACCAGGATGGGCGCGTCCTGGCGCTGGCCCGACGCCGTGCGCACCTTGGTCCACTTGATGCGGGGCGCGTCCCGGGCGGCGCCGGGCCGCGGCTGCAGCGTGAAGAGGCAGGGCAGGGCGGCCAGCTCGGCCAGCGCGGCCCGCAGCGGCCCGGGCCCGGCCTTGCGCATGCGCAGCCCCTTCTCCGGGCCGGCGGAGGCCGGCGCGCCCGGGGTGCCTGGCGGGGAGGACAGGGACAGGGCCCGGCTCAGGCGGGGCCCAGGCCGGGGGTGGGGGAGGCAAGGGGTCCCATCCCTTCTGGGCTCTGCCACCCCCCCCCCCCCGTTCAAAATGGAGATGGCTGAGTCTCATCTACCGGGAGCATTGGGGAAACTGAGGCTCAGACAGATAGCTGCCCTTGCTTAAGGCCCAGCAAGTAGGGAGAGCAAAACCGGGAGGGATTTCTGAAGTCTGAGTCGGGGGGGGGGGGGGGGGGGGAGGGCTTTGGGGAGAAGCCTGCATGCCTTTCCTCCCCCTGCTACTCCCAGGCAGACATCACTAATCCATCCCTGCACGCGCGTGTTGTTCCTCTCTCTGTCTTCTCTTCCCCTTTTCTTTTTCAGTTCATTTCAGCAGCAGCAACAGTGAGAGGCGGGACTAAAAATAACCTCTCAGGTGTCTTGTTCTCTTTAGGCTGTTCAAAGACCTTTTTCATCTATTCTTGTGTTATTCTGTTCTACACACCAAGCCAGCCTGACGACCAGCAGGAAGAGGCTCGGGGATTAAAAAATGTCCTGACTTGTTAGTCCCTCAGACCCCAACTGTGCCTGGCTCTCCCGGCTCTCCCCGCCTCTCCCGCCTGCCAACTCACCCTGGTCTCCAGCCACCAGCAGCAGCAGCAGCAGAGGCAGGAGCAGGAGCCCGGAGGCCCAGACAGAGGAGGCTCCCATCCTGTAGGGTGGCCAGAGGGGGGAGGGGGGAAGGAGTCACAGCACCGTCCAGCCATGGAAGGACCAAATCCAGAGAAGCCAGTGGCCCACAGAGAGAGCATCCCAGGGGGCTGAGGCAGTATTCAAACCCATGTCCACCTGACCCCACCATCTAAACACTGAAACCACGTGGCCAGGGGCCAGGAGTCAGGCCTGGGAATGGCCTGCTGTATGATCTTGTGTGAGTAGCTTAATATTTCTGTGCCTTTTTTTGGGGGGGGGGTGTCAGTCATGGGACTTGAACTCTGGGCTTGGGCACTGTCCCTAAGCCCTTTAGCTCAAGGCGAGCGCTCTACCATTGAGCCACAGCACCACTTCCCATTTCCTGGTGGTTTATTGGAGATAAGAGTCTCACGGATTTTCTTGCCTGGGCTGGCTTTGAACTTTGATCCTCAGATCTCAGCCTCCTGAGTAGCTAGGATGACAGGTGTGAGCCACCAGCGCCCAGCTCTCTGTGCCTTTTTGTTTGCTTATGTGTTTCTCAATTTTTTCTTTTCAGTACTGGGGTTTGAACTCAGGACAAATGTGCTTCCATTTGAACCATGCCCCCAAGTCCTGTGCCTGTGCTCTCTTTGTAGGTCAGCTAAGGATAAAACCAGAGAGTGGGAAGTGTGTGTGTGTGTGTGTGTGTGTGTGTGTGTGTGTGTGTGTGCGCGCGCACGCGCGCTTGCGTGTGTGTGTGTGTGTGTGTGAGGCTTGGAACCCATCAGCTGTGGAAGACTGGGTGCTGGAGGGCGCAGGCTGGTACTGGCTCTCCTGGGTAGGGAGGGAGGGAGGAAGGGAGGGAGGGTCTCCCTTCCAGACAGAGGCCAGCCTCCACACAGCCTCCCACAGCTGTCTTTGGCTTTTTCTCTTTCTTGAGTGATACATTCCCGCTCAGCTCCAGCATTTGGTCATGACCTCGCCGCTATTCTTGGTTCCTGAGGTTTTTAAGGTCAGCTGAGCCCAGCCCGCCCTGTCCTCCCGGACTCCAAGCTGCCCGCCCTGTCCTCCCGGACTCCAAGCTGCCCGCCCTGTCCTCCCGGACTCCAAGCTGCCCGCCCTGTCCTCCCGGACTCCAAGCTGCCCGGTCTGTGGAGGCTGTGGCCCGCGGGCTTAAAGTGGACGGTGACTGAGGGCCCCCTGCGAGCGGTGTCCACCCGCGTCTGGGAACACAGCGGGGACCTCCTGTCCTCCTAGCGGCCGTATCTCCTGGGCGGGCAGCCCCGACCCAGACCCACGGCTCAGAGGGGGGAGCAGACAGGAGCCAGCGCGGTTGAACCAGGCGGCAGACGGGTGGTCTGCGGGGTGTGGACGAGCCCTCCCTCCCCTGCCCACGCTGGCGGGCCGAGGCGGGCCGCGGCGGGGTGTGGACGAGCCCTCCCTCCCCTGCCCACGCTGGCGGGCCGCGGCGGGGTGTGGACGAGCCCTCCTGCCGCTGTCCCTGGTGCTGAAGCCTGGGCGGACTCACTGGGAGTCTCAGGGCACCGCGGCGCCGAGCCCCGCGGGCCCCGGGCCGGGTCCCCAGCCGCCCACTCGGGAGCCCCTGCCAGCGGGGCCCCCGGCTCTCGGGATTTCTGCGAATTGTGCCAGTGGCTGGGCGAAGGCAGACAGCACCGTCCGTCCGTCCGTCTGACACACGCACACCCCGCCCGACCCGCCTGGCTCTAAGCCCTGCCCCACTCCATCCACGCTCGCTCTGCGACCCTGGACCACAGCTGTGTCGCTGGCCCTGCCTCAGTTTCCCCTCTGAGAACCACCCGGGTCGTTACCCGGGAGCCTGCGGAGAGGGCGCGGCGTGCGGGGACCTGAGTCCTCCACGCGGTGCATCGCCAGAAAAACAACCGCCCTTTGTACACTCGGCCTCGTGTCCCCCCCCCCCCGCAGGCGCGGGCCTCCCCCACGCACCCCTCCCCCGTGCGGGCCTCCCCCACGCACCCCTCCCCCCGCACCCCTCCCCACGCACCCCTCCCCCGTGCGGGCCTCCCCCACGCACCCCTCCCCACGCACCCCTCCCCACGCATCCCTCCCCACGCATCCCTCCCCCGTGCGGGCCTCCCCCACGCACCCCTCCCCCCGCACCCCTCCCCCGTGCGGGCCTCCCCCACGCACCCCTCCCCACGCACCCCTCCTCCCGCACCCCTCCCCCCGTGCGGGCCTCCCCCACGCACCCCTCCCCCGTGCGGGCCTCCCCCACGCACCCCTCCCCCGTGCGGGCCTCCCCCACGCACCCCTCCCCCCGTGCGGGCCTCCCCCCCGCACCCCTCCCCACGCACCCCATCCCCCGTGCGGGCCTCCCCCCCCACACCCCTGCCACACGCACCCCTCCCCACGCACCCCTCCTCCGGTGCGGGCCCGCGACTCTGCGCCCCCTCCCCCCCGGCCCAGAGGTGGCGTGGACTGGGCTGCCTGGGGCCGCCCCCTCATGAATGATGCATGAGGCTCATGCATATGCAAATCGCGGCCTGGCGGGGGCGGGGCGTCTGGGCCGGCGCGCGGTGTCCCCTCCGCCACCTCCCGTCGTGGGAGGCACTGGGGTGCCCGGGGCGTCCCCGAGACTCGGGGTGCTCGCTGCAGGCGGGGGGTGCGCGGCGGGGGAGGGCCGGCCGGGCCCGTGGGGTGATGTCGGGTGCGGGGTCCGAGCCCCGCGCGGCCCCTGCGGGGCCCCGGCCCGGGCTCCGTGAGTGCGGGCCCCGGGGGGCGGGGGCGGGGCTCCATCCGGCGGATCCCCGAGTCCGGGCGTCCCCGCAGGGCGGACCCCGCCCCGCCCCGCGCCCGCGGGGCCCGGCCGCGGCCCGCAGGCCGGAGAGACCCGCGAACAAAGAGGCGGCGGCGGACGCGCCGCGCACAAAGACCCGCGCGGGGCCGGGCCCCGCATCGCCGTGAGCCCCGCGGAGCCCCGCCGCCCCGCACCCCCGCCGCCCGCACCCCCGCCGCCCGCACCCCCGCCGCCCCGCACCCCCCGCCGCCCGCACCCCCGCCGCCCGCACCCCCGCCGCCCGCACCCCCCGCCGCCCGCACCCCCCGCCGCCCCGCACCCCCCGCCGCCCGCACCCCCGCCGCCCGCACCCCCGCCGCTGGCCCCGCCCACCCCGGGCGCAAGTTTGGTGACAAAGCCGGGGACCCTGCCCCCCGCGCGCGGCGTCCACGCGGGGCCCGGCCCGGGTCCCGCACCGCGCGCGGGGGAACAAAGCGGTGCGCGGGGCCGGACGCCCGCCCTCCCCGGTCCCGCCGCTGTCCGCGGCCCCCGAGGCGGCGGCGCCCGCTCCGGCCTGCGGGGCCGCGGGCGCCCGGGGTCCCCGCGCTGGGGGGGGGCTTCAGGGCCCGGGCCCCACCGGAAATCCCGGGGTGTCTCAGCCGGGACGCGGGGCGCCCCGCTCCGGAGTCCCCGCCCGGCCGCTGTCCTATCCTCCCCGAACCCCGGTTCCCAGCGCCCCCTCCCGAGACCCCCGGGCGGGTCACGCCGCGCCCGCCCCGCCCGCGCCCCGCACCTGGCTCCTAGCGGGGTCGCATCCCGGGCGGGCGGCACAAAGGACGGACGCGGGGCTCCGGCCCGGCCCGCGCTGCCTCCTCCGCCGCCCGCCGCCGCCGCCTCGCCCGCCTTATAAAGGGGCCGGGCCACTCTGCGCATGCGCCTCGCTGCCGCGAGGGGGAGGGGAGGGAGCCCCCCTAAAACTCCCATCGCCCTTACCGCCCCCCACGGCGGGGGGCAGAGACCCCGCTGCACCTGACCCCCACGGAGGGAGCCCCCCCAGACTCCCCTGCACCTGACCCCCACTGTCCCCCCAGAGACCCCCCTGCACCTGATCTCCACGGAGGGAGCCCCCCCACCCCCCTGCACCTGACCTCCACGGAGGGAGCCCCCCCAGACCCCCCCTGCACCTGACCCCCACTGTCCCCCCAGAGACCCCCCTGCACCTGGCCCCCACTGTCCCCCCAGAGACCCCCCCTGCACCTGACCCCCCACGGAGGGAGCCCCCCCAGACGCCCCTGCACCTGACCCCCACTGTCCCCCCAGAGACCCCCCTGCACCTGACCCCCACGGAGGGAGCCCCCCCACCCCCCTGGACCTACAACCCCCCATGGGAGCCCCCACCGCCCCCACTGCGCCTGACCCCCCCATCGTCATTCTCTTTATTCCAGAAACCCCCCCTCAATGCCCCCAGCCCCATTTTACAAGTGGAGAGACTGAGCCCCAGGGAAGCAAAGTTCAAGGTGACTCAGGGCCCAGAGGGGACAGGGGCCTGTGCCCACAGGGTCCCTGGAGCCCCATGGCCGGCCCCAGCCTCCCTTCCTGCAGGAACACTCATTCACTCCACCTGGGAGCGAGCTGCACCCCCGGTGCTGCCACGGGGCCCACGGGGCCGTGGAAATGCAGCGGACACACGTCCCCCGCTGGAGACTCCATCTCTTGAGGCCTCAGTCTGAGCTGGTGAGGTGACACAGCTAGAATCCCAGCAGCAGAATCGTAGGATCACAAGTTCAAGGCCAGCCAAGACCCTGTGTGTGTGTACGGGGTGGTGGGAGGCCGGGCACGGGTCTCACTCCTGAGATTCCAGCTACTCGGGAGGCTGAGATCTGAGGATCCTGTTTCAAGTCAGCTAGAGAAAAAAAAAAAGCCACAGACTCCATCTCCAATTTACCAGCAAATTGCTGAACTGGAGGCATGGCTCAAGTGGGGGAAATCCTGGCTCCACCAATAGAAAGCCAGGCATGGAGGCTCAGGCTCAGGCTTGCAATTCCAGTTCTGCAGGCCATGAAGATGCGAGGGGAGGGGGACTGAGGCCGGAGCGGGACCTCATCTGAGAACCATGAAGGCCCTGGCCCCGGCTCCATGGTGACAGGGCCTGCCTAGCATCGGCCTTGAGTTCGAGCCCCAGCATGGCCCCCCAACAAGTGGCCCCCCTGCCCCCAGACAAAAAGAGAATGGCAATTGAACATCTGACTCTCGGGATCCTAGGAGCGGGAATGGAATGTAAGCTCGGGAGCAGGAGCCGCCGGCGTCCCTGCTGCTCCCTGAAGAGGTGGTTGGGGAAACTGAGGCTGGGGTGGACGGAGGTCCTGCCTGAGGTGGCCTGGCATGGATGGGGGTTGCAGGGAGGAGGGGGGAGACAAACCCCATGTGGGAGCCCAAGTCTGCGGTCACAGGGCTGAGCGGGTGGGGCCTGTGCTCCCCCTTCTCCCCGGCCAGGCCTGGCCCTGGGCCCGGGGCGCTGTTGCCTGGGGGCTTAAGGGAGGCCTGGGAATCAGAGGGGCTCAAAGGGCCGTTCACACGGGGACTCGGCCACCCCCCTCCTCTCTTCAGGCCTTCTTCTGTCTCTGTTCCCAAATGGGGGCCTGGCCAGGCAGCTGCCAGGGCAGATGGGAGGGGTGGAGGGGGGCGGGCCTCAGCGGTCCAGAGACCCCAGAGGGGCTCAGAACACAGCCACAGAGACACAGGGACAAGTGCCATGTGGTGCCACCAACCACCCGGACACAGCACAGCCCTGTCAGGCCCTGGGGCCCTGTGGAGGCTCAGGGAGGAAGAGCAGGAGTTCAAGGCCAGCTCGGGCCGGCCTGTGTGGAAGGACCTTGTAATCCAGAAAATTCAAAGAAAAGCCAGGCTGCCGGTGGCTCCCGCCTGTCATCCCAGTGACTCAGGAGGCTGAGATCTGAGCATCACAGTCCAAAGCCAGCCTGGGCTGGAAAGTCCATAACACTCTCATCTCCAATGAGCCACCAAAAAAGCTGGAAGTGGTGCTGTGGCTCAGGTGGTAGAGCTCCAGCCTTGAGTGAGAAAGCTCAGCGACAGCGCCCGGGCCCTGAGTTCAAGCCCCAGGACAGGCGCCCAGAACAAGACTGCTGTGAGTCTGCTGCACCTGAAACCCTCTCACCCCACCCCGTGTACCCCACATTAGTCACAGCCGTGGTCTCCCCACCAATCAACTATGATGGCCCTGGAGTGGGACCCCCTAACTGGTCCAGCCCCCCAGGTGCTGTGCGAGCAGGACTCATCCCTCACCCTCTCTGATCTTCCCATTCCTCACCCGGAAAACTGGGCCTCGGAGCTCAGTGGTGGCAGTGTGGGGAACTCCAGGGTTGGATTAGATCTCCACTAAGTGACTTTGGCTTCTTTGTGACTCAGTTTCCCTTAGGCAATCAGAATGGTGGCTTCTGAGGATTCTCCTCCCTCCCTGCCTCCCCCCCCCCCAGGAGGCGGGGAGAAGGGAGGAGGGGGAGCAGGGAGGCTCCTGGCCTCCCTCCTGGGGATGAATGGACCACTTTTGTCTGGGAACTCAGGGGCCAATTCCCTGGAGAAAGAGGAAGTTCTTTTCATGCCCAGGCGCCAGCAGGGTGAGGAGGCGGGAAGCGGGTGAGGCGCTGGCGCCCGCCCAGTGGGCACCGCTGTCCCCCGCTGTCCCCCACCTCGGCCAGGAGCCTGCACAAGGGGCCCTGGAGACCCGGGCCAAGTTGCCATTTCCTTCTCAATAAAAGAGGGGGGTGGACTGGCCGGCTGTGGCCAGCGCGGAGGGGCCGGCGTCCAGCAGACCCTGAACCTCACCCAGGCGCACCTACTGTCACTAAGAGCCCCCCACTTCCGGGGGTGAGAGGAGAGGCAAGAGAGGTCAAGGGGGAGCCTGAGGGCACACAGCATTCCCCAGCTTACAACCCAGGCCAAGGCCAGGATCTTCCCCTCTCTCCCTCTCCGCGTCTGTCTCTGTCTGTCTCTGTCTCTGTCTCTCTGTTTGTCTCTTCCTCTCTCTCTGTCTCTCTGTCCCTCCCACTTGAGCCACAACTCTGTTTCTAGCTCTTGGGTAGTTCCTTGGAGATAAGAGTCTCACCCACTTTATTGCCCAAGCTGACTTTGAACTGTGATCCTGGACCTCAGCCTCCGGAGCAGCTGGATGACAGGTGTAAACCCATAGCTTGTCATGGGGTGAGGACACCCAGCTTCCGCTCCCAGACTAGCAAAGCTGGGGCTGCCCGGCGCTGGCCAGTCCCCCAAAGGAGGAGATGTGGGCGGGAAGGCCCGGCAGGCACGGGCTGATGGAAAACGCCGTGGCTGTGACCCACTTTCCCTGCCAGCGGCTTGGGTTTGGCCTGGGGCAGACCCCCGTGGGCGGCCAGGGGTGCGTCCCCAGCCCTGGGAGGAAGGGGCAGACCCGGCCGTTCAGAGCCAGCCAGGACGTCTCCGGCCCCGACGGCCGGCCCATCTGCGGGGCCACTATTCAAACAGACAGATGGCAGCCAGCCCTCTCCCACAGGCTGCTCCAGCTCCCACGGGACAGGGCTCCAGAGGCTCAGCGGGGCGCCAGGGGCTCTCGCCTGCAGAAGCTGAGATCTTAGGACCGAGGTTCAAATCCAGCCTGAGCGGGAAAACTAGTGAGACTCTAGTCTCCAAGGAGCCAAGGGAAAAAATAAAAAACAAAAGTGGAGCTGTGGTGCAAATGGTGGACCTCCAGCCTTGACTGCCAAGCTAAGGGATAGCACCCAGGCCCTGAGTTCAAGCCCCAGGACTGACTTAATAAAACAAAATGAAACAGACAAACAAACAAGTTCTTTCACCAACTGGGCCTTTGCATTTGCTGTTTCCTGAGGTGGGGAGGGGGGTGGGGGGAGGAATTAGTTAACATCCCTGTCTCTGTGCTACATGGATCTCTATTCTGAGCCTTTTTACTTATTTTTATTTTATTATTTATTTATTTATTTATATTTTTTTGGGTCCAGTCATGGGACCTGAACTCTGGGCCTGGGCACTGTCCCTCAGTTCTTCAGCTCAAGGCTAGCACTCTACCACTTGAGCCACAGCATCACTTCTGGCTTTTTTCTTTTTGCTTATGTGGTGCTGAGGAATCGAACCCAGGGCCTCAGGCATGCGAGGCAAGCACTCTACCACTGAGCCACCTTCCCAGCCCCTTAGTTTTTTATTAGAATTTTTTTTATTATTGTGAAGATACTGTACAGAGGGGTCTGAGCCTTTTAAAAACCAATTGGAGCCAGGTGCTGGTGGCTGATGTTTGTAATCCCATCTACTCAGTAGGCTGAGATCTGAGGATCTTGGTTCAAAGCCTGTCTGCCCAGGAAAGTCCGTAGACTCTTATTTCCAATAAACCACTACAAAACCAGAAGTGGCGCTGTGGCTCAAGTGGTAGAGTGCTAGCCTTGAGCTGAAGAGCTGAGGGACAGCATCCAGGCCCAGAGTTCAAGCCCCACGACTGACCAAAACAAAACAAAAAAACCCAATTGGTTTTGTTGCAGGTTCTGGGGCTTGAACTCAGGGCCCCGGTACTGTCCCTGAACTTTGTTGTTCAAGACTGGTGCACTAGCACTTGAGCCATAGCTCTACTTCTGGGTTTTTGGTGGTTCATTGGAGATAAGAGTCTTGGGGCTGGGAGGGTGGCTCAGTGGTAGAGTGCTCGCCTCCCATGCATGAGATCCTGGGTTTGATTCCTCAGCACCACATAAGCAGAAAAGGCCAGAGGTGGTGCTGTGGCTCAAGTGGTAGAGTGCTGGCCTTGAGCTGAAGAGCTGAGGGACAGCGCCCAGGCCGAGTTCAGGCCCCATGACTGGACCCAAGAAAAAACCAAAAAAAGCAGTGTTAGTTTCTAGTCTTTTTAAAATGCTTCTGTCTTCTTTACCTTATGTATGGTGCATTCCCCACTTGTGGGTGGAGACAGGAGGAAGGGACTGGGAGAGAACGAGGGAACAGAAGACACTGGATGAAAGGAAATGTACTCGTTACCTGGCTTGTGCAAGTACATCCCCTCTATCATAGCCAGGCAGTAAGTGAGTTACAGTTTGCGAGTCTGGCTCTCCTGCCCGGCGGGCTTCCAGCCTGGTCCTCAGCTCTCAGTAGCGGGGATCACAGGTGTGAGAGCCGGCTGTATGCAGGCCTTCTGATATCTGCCCCATCCTGGCCTCTCCCCCAGCTCTTCTTTTCTTTTCTCTTGATCCTGGGGCCTGCACTCAGGGCCTGGGCGCTGTCCCTGGGCCTCAGGCTCAAGGCTGGGGCTCTACCACTTGAGCCGCAGCACCACTTCCTGCTTTTTCGGTGTCTGTGGTGCTGAGGAATGGAACCCAGGGCCTCAGGCATGCTAGGCGAGCGCTCTACCACGGAGCCACCTTCCCAGCCCCCCTAGTGGTTTTTAATCGCGAGCCTGGTGCCGCAGAACTAGCCTCCTCCTTCCCTAACTCGCCCGACGCGGGCCCTTTAAGAGGCGGGCACGGAGGGAGGGAGGTTAGTCAAGCGCCGCCCCCAGGGGTGCGGTCACAGTGCGCACGCGCCGGCGGCCGCGCCCACGTGCTTCCGGGATGCGTCCGCGGTCCCGGTCTGTCGGCGGGAGCGCTGCGGCTCGCTCTGCGCCGCCTCGGGCTCTGCAGCGAGGGCCTGGCGCGGGCCAGGGCGTGACTTTTCCTCCTCCTTCCCGGAGAGGAAGGCTAGGCCGCGCCGCCCGTGACCGCGGTGGCGAGCCGGCCGAGCCCGCGCCGATCCGACCCGACCCTGAGCTTCTGGAGACCTCGAGACCGAGATGACACAGTCTTTGGTTTGTCCGCACACTGTGAGCCGGTAGGCGGAGGGGCGGGGCCAGCGGGAGGCCTCGCTGATAGGCCCAGGCACTGCCTCCTTGGGGAGGTGTTTGGCCACGGGTAGTTTTAGCTCATTGGTGGAGGGGAGGGGGCGTGGCTAGCGGAAGGGGAGAGCCAGCCCAGTCCTCGCTGATAGGCTGAGGTGGAGCCTCAGCGATGAGTGGGCGTGGCAAGGGCCGCTTAAGCGGATAGGTGGAAGCCGGAGGGGGCGTGGCTAGTGACCGTCCGAGCTGATAGGCCTGTGTGGAGCCTCAGCCAGGAGGGGTGGTGGCTACTGGTGCTTCTAGGTGGAAGGCGGGGTTGTGGCCAGCGGGACTACTAGCTGATAGGTGGAAGGAGAAGGGGGTGTGGTTAGTGGGAGCCCTAGCTGGGTGGGGGAAGGAGGGGGCGTGTCCATCTGAGGGGCGGGGCCTTGAACCGGTGGGCCGTGGGGCAGACCCGCGGTGAGCCTGCTCAGCTGTTCCTTGCCCAGAGCTGGCCCTGACCCTGACCCCTCAGGGTGAGCTCGGTGCTGAATCGCAACACTCGGCAGTTTGGCAAGAAGCACCTTTTTGACCAGGAGGAGGAGACATGCTGGAACTCAGACCAGGTGAGGGGTGCCCCCGACCCCAGTCCCCGGGGTGAATGACAGCCAGAGGACAGGCCACCCTCCAGGGCCTCGGGGAGCCCCGCTGGGCGCTGTCGGGGTGGTGGAGATGAGCGCTGTGTGTGAGTGACGGAGATGGGTCCCCTCTGCTCGCAGGGACCTTCCCAGTGGGTGTGGCTGGAGTTTCCGCAGCGCATCCTCGTCTCTCAGCTGCAGATCCAGTTCCAGGGAGGCTTCTCCTGTCGCCGGGGCCTCCTGGAAGGTACTGGAAGGCCCGGCCGGGAGGTGGGACGCCAGGGCCCCCACACTTGAACTGGCCTGACCCTTTGTTGCTGCAGGGTCACAGCGGGGTGCCTCCCTCCACAAGATTCTGAACTTCTATCCTGAGGACAACAACTCACTCCAGATATCCCGCCCCGCCTGCCCAATGGGTCATGGCATCGCTGCCCTGTGGGGAGGCTTTGGGTCCGCCTAGACTTCAGTGGGGCCCAGGGCAGGGGGCCCTGGAACAAGAGGTCACCCAGGCTCCCCCTGTGCAGGGAGGCGAGGATCACCTGGTCTGACTGACTGTCTGTGGGGGAAGGGGAGGGCTGGTGGGCAACACTCAGAGAACCACCTGTCTCCCTTAACTGCTTGTGCTCACACCTTCCCCGTGCCCACGGCTGAGGTGGACCAGCTGAAGGTGACCTTTGAGGACACCAGTGACCTTTTTGGCCGTGTGGTCATCTATCACCTGCGGGTGCTGGGGGAGAAGAAGGCATCTTAATGCGGGCACCGCCCCCCTCCCATGCCCCACTCGGCCTCCAGGAAGCCCTCGGGGGACGCAGAGGACTCCTTTCAGTTCTGCACAGAAGATTTATTGGTTCCACCTGAGAGGATCCCAGGCCACCGCCTGTCCAGGAGCTGCCTTGGAAGCGCTAGGTGCCCCCACCCCTCCGCTCTGGGCCGCCCCTCTGTTCCCTGAGTGTCTTGAGTGCCTGGGAGCGGAGCGGCCTTCACTCAGGGTCGTCAGGCCGCAGGCTGCTCTGGAAGAGTTTGAGGATATGGTTCTCGATCACCTGTTGCACTGGGCGAGGCGGGGGGAGGGGGGGACCAGAGTGAGGCCGAGGGGAGGCTGGAACCCCAGGTCTCCACCTCAGCCGGGGGCGGCAGAGCCTTTGTGCGGGTCCCCACCTCCTCACCGCGCGAGCAGGTGGTTTTGAAAGCAAGGCTGCATCACCAAAGATAAAACCTCTTTTCTCTCTAAACCATGCAGCCTGGCTGTTATTATGAAAGAAGACTTCTGCCTGTCCCAGGACAGGGCTGAGTCTGCTAACAAGGACCCTCCATGGGCCTCTGGGGGTCCCCTGCCCCCCTCTGTGGGCGCCCATCGTGGCCCTGGCTTTGGGGCCCACCTTTCCGGTATCCCAGGGCAACGGCCAGGTCCATGGGGGTGTAGCCGGAGTCAGCCTCGGTGGTCAGGTCTGCACCGCGGGCTGTCAATCAGGGCAGGCGCTGGGGTGGGGCCGCCTGACTCTCCCAGCCCATCTCTTCCCCACCCTTCGGCTACAGGCAGGGGGGTTGAGGGGCTCCAAGTGGCTGTCCTGACCCCCCACACCCCCAAGCCCACCCTCTCCGTCCGCGCTCACCCAGCAAGGCCTCCACGCACTTGACATGATTGCCACGCACGGCGTACAGCAGCGGCGTCCCTCCGTTCTGTGGGGAGTGGGGCACAGGGACCAGGCTCGATCTCTCCCCTCACCGGCCCATGCTCCAGAATGACACTTCAGCCAGGCGCTGGGGGCTCACACCTGCCATCCCAGCAACTCAGGAGGCTGAGATCTGAGGATCATGGTTCAAGAAGCCAACCCAGTAGGAAAGGCCCTGAGACTCTTATCTCCAATGAACCATCCCCCAAAACAGCCAGGAGTGAGTTGTGGCTCAAAGGGTAGAGCGCTAGCCTTGAGCAAAAAAAGCTCAGGGACAGCGCCCAGGCCCTGAGTTCAAACCCCAAGACTCATGCAGACACACACTTCTGAGTAGAGACTTCATTTACCAACTTGTCATGTGTGCCTTGGCTTCCAAACCTTTTTCTCCAGGAAACTCTCTCCTGACTTCTCTTGGTGACCTCTGGGCTCCTGCAGCTGCACATGTGCCTACCATCATAGCACCAGTCACTGCCTCTGAGTTACCTGTTTGTGGGTCTATCTGCAGCACACTGGGAGCTCCCCGGATCAGGTGCGAGGGCAAGTCTATCTTGAGTTCACACTGGACCTCACACAGGCCCGGGAGCACTCTGTGTGTGTGTGTGTGTGTGTGTGTGTGTGTGTGAACACTGGACCTCACACAGGCCCGGGAGCACTGTGTGTGTGTGTGTGTGTGTGTGTGTGTGTGTGTGTGTGTGTGTGAACACTGGACCTCACACAGGCCCGGGAGCACTCTAGCCCCTCACCCAGTCAAAGATGTTGATGTCCACGTCGCAGTCGAGCAGCAATGCCACGATGTCGGTGTAGCCGCCCATGCTGGCCAGGGACAGGGCGCTCTCCCGTTCCTTGGCAAGGATGTGGGGGTCGGCACCCTGGGGGTTCACAGCAGGCGGTTGGCGAAGCCTGGGGCATCCGGCCCCACATAGGCAGCTCAGCGAGCTGAGACCCCGGCCCGCCCGCCCTTGTCCCCCTCAGAATCCCCAGGGGGGGCCGTGACGCACCCACTCCAGCAAGAACCTCACGGTCTCGATCTCCCCGAAGGCGGAGGCCCAGATGAGGGGCGTGAAGCCCCGCTCGTCCGGCTTGTTGACGAGGTTGTCCCCTGGCAGGAGGAAGGGTCCCCTGACTGACTGCACCCGTCCTGCTCCCTGCGCCCCTCCCAGGCCCTCCCCCAGGACAGGGCGGGTGGGCCAGGGCCCCAGGTATGTTAAGGGTGTGCTCACACCTTTCCTCAGGTGTTCCTTCAGCTGGCTCAGCTCCCCCTGCGCCGCCAGCTGGTGGATGGACAGCGCTGGAGGCCAGAGAGAGGCAGTGTCCTCACCCACGCCACCCCCACTCCCCGCCTCAGTTTACCCCACTGCTCCTCTCAGCCCCTCCCACCTGGCTCCGGCCCCACTCACAGTCCAGTGTGGCGGGCAGGGCTGAGACCTCGTTGCCTCTCTGGCGATTGGTGAGGGTGGTGGAGTGCTTCAGGGAGCTGCCTGCGGGAAGCCAGAGGCCACAGTTCCCCTGGGGCCGAGTCTCCACTCGGTACTGGGGCTTGGATGCTGTCCCTGAGCTCTTTCAGTCAAGGCTAGCACGCTACCCATGGAGCCACGGCTCTCTACTGTGTCTGGCTTTTTGGTGGTTCACTGGAGATAAGAGTCTCACAGAATTCCTTGCCCGGGCTGGCTTTGAACCGTGATCCTCAGATCTCAGCCTCCTGCATGGCTGGGGGGACAGGCGTGCTTTTGTCCCCTTCCCTTCATTTCTTCTGTGCACTCATTTCCTCCCATCCAGAGTCCTGAGCCATAAGGACAGAGCTGACCCTAGGTCAGGACTTCCTACCCTGCAGGGAGGAGGTGCTGGCATCGGCTTCCGGATTTCCAGGCTCTGGGGTGCAGGGGAAGAGACTGAGGACCACAGTGTCAGAGCCATCATCAGCTTCATCGCCCGGGACCTCGGGGTGCCCCTGTCCCGGGGACTGCTGGGTCAGGAGGTGGTCTGCGGGCGTGGTGGGCTCCATGGGGCGCTGATGGAACCAGGGGGAGGCAGGGGAGTGGCTCTTATTAGGAAGGCACCTCTGGCACACCTGGCCTTGCACCGGAGGGAGGGGAACCCATGTCTGGGTGTCCGAAGTGGAAATTGGGGTGCCAGGCACCTGTAACACGCAATGCTTCAGAGCCCCGGTGTGAGTCTGTTGCCTGGGTTCAGATCTCCTCCGTGCAGCCTGTGAGAGCCTGGACAGGGACTCAACCTCGCTGTGCCTCAACCTCCACCTAAGTAAAATGAAGAAAAGGAGACCAGAGCAATTCCGTGGTTGTTTCTTTCCCCAGTCCAGGGGCCGGAACTCGGCCTCGGCGCCGCCGAGCTGCTTCTGCTCAAGGCTGGTGCTATACCACTCGAGCCACAGCTCCACTTCTGACTTTTTCTGTGTGTGTGGTGCCGAGGACTCGAACCCGGGGCTTCCTGCGTGCGAGGCCAGAACTGCCGCCGGGCCTCCTTCCCAGCCAGGAAATCAGTTCTGCTGCCAGCACCGCAGGCGCCCTAGGTGCCTGGGGTCCCCGAAACACGTCAGCAGCGCTCACCAAAGATGCGCTGCACCCCCCACCCCAAATCGTTCCAGAGCTCCCCTCACCGCCCACGAGCCTCCTCTGTCCCCCCACGCCGCCAGCCCGGCTCCCACAAAACTTAGGGGCGCCCAATTCACAGACTTTTCTTCTGCAATGGACAGAGTAGAGAGGTGGCAGGAGAAGGAGCCCGCCGCGCCGAGGCTTCCCCTGCCGGGACGGACAGCAACTTGATACCCAACCGCTACTTCCCACCCCGAGCTCCCACACTGCGCCTGCGCATCCCCACTCTAAACATCCTGAGCTGCCGCGGTCCCTTTAAGAGTTGGGGAAGGGGCGTGGCTTCCGCTGGGTCCCCCAACCCGCACGCTTGCGCCTGCGCAGTGGCCTCCCCTTTGGCTGTCGGGGGGAGTGGGCGGGCCGCCGGAAGTGCTGTGGACTGCACGGCTTCCGCGTGCGCCGCTCCGGCTCCGCCCACAGGGCTTTCCAGGGCAACCAGTCGGCTTCCTTACTACGGCTCCGCCCACAGGGATATCCAATGGAACCAATCAGCTCCAGCTATGCGCGGGTGGGCGGGGCTTGGTCCGGGCTGACCGCAGGAGCAAGTAAGCAGGACGTCTGGAATTTAAAGGGATAAGGTAGCATTGCGCCCCTTCCCCAAAACGGGGTCCCGGCTGTGGTCCTGGGCTCCCCCGCCGCTCGCAGGACTTGGTGGCCACCAGGAAACCAAAGGCAGGCGCTTATCCGACCCGAAATGGACAATCCGTGGCTCTGTCCTTCAGCTGGTCTGTCCCTGGAGAAAGGGGTTCAGGAGGGCAGTCCTCGCACCTCCCCGGCCTAGGCACCCCCCGTGCCTCCGGGCGTCCCCTCCGCCGCCACGGCCCCGCCGCCCGCCGCTTGCGGGCCCCGCGCTGTCCGGGCAGCCCTGCCCGCGGCCTCCGGAACTGGGGCCGAGCGACGTCCGGTTTCCGCGGGGAAGCTTTAGGCTGCTGCCCGCCCCCGGACTTCCGGTTCCGCCAGCCGCGGTCGCTCGCCATGGAGGAGCCGGAGATGCAGCTCAAAGGGAAGAAAGGTGGGCGCCCCCCCCCCTCCGCTTCCTGCTCCGGCCTGGGGCCTGCACCCCGGCGCCGCGGCCCCCGCGTCATCCCGGCCACCCGGGAGGCGGAGCTCTGAGGATCGCGGTTCAAAGCCAGCCCGGGCCGGAACGTCCACGAGACTCCGATCTCCCATAAACCACCAGAAAACTGGAAGTGGCGCAGTGGCTCAGTGGTAGAGCGCTGGCCTTGAGCTGAAGAGCGCTGGGACAGCGCCCAGGCCCAGAGTTCATGGCCTATAACCGACCCCCGACGTGTGTCGGGCTGGCAATGTCGCCGAAGAGTTCAGCGTGCTGTCAGGCACATCTTGGTCCTGGGTTCAATCCCTGTACCATCAAGGGAAAAACGAAGAGGTGTCTCAGAGCCGGGAGCAGCAAGTGTAAAGGCCCTGTACCTATTCGTGTAGCTATTTGAATCTAAGTTGGTTTAAATTAAAGGACATTTAAAATCTCGTTCCTCACTCTCTCTAGCCACATATCAGGCGCTTGTATCCACCAGTGAGGGAGGCCTCCGCCCCCAGGGTTATGCCGTGGCGTGAGGAGTGTCTCTAAGTTGTCCCCGTGGGGTGAGGGATACGTGCTTTTCTCTCTCCCACAGTGGTCAGTCATGGCTGAGGCCAGTTAGGAAGAGCAGTCCTAGGTCACTGGGTAAAAGGAAGTCAAAGGATTTCAAGCAGAAGTTAGAGAGAGAAAGACTGTGAGTTCACCTTCTACATTAGTGTCCTCAATTGAGGCCCTGCTGGAGACTTCTCAGCTCATCCCTGGGACTGCGGGTGACGGGGACACTGCAGGTATGTGTCAGCTCTGGTGGGCCGTTGGCTGCAGTCTAATGCTTGTCCCTTTGTCCCCACCCAGTCACAGACAAGTTCACAGAGAGTGTCTATGTTCTGGCAAACGAACCATCCGTGGCACTGTACCGGCTGCAGGAACACGTGCGCCGCTCGCTGCCGGAGCTGGCCCAGCACAAGGTAAGCCTGCTGTGGCCTGCCCCTCCACCAGGACTCCTACAGCTGAGGGTGTGTGTGTGTGTGTGTGTGTACTGACAGGTAGCAGCCAGTGCAAAGGCCCCCAGGTGTGGGGATTAAAGCCTTTATGGGCATGTGGAGAACTTGGGAGCTGCATTGAAGGGGCTGGGGCGTGGCTCAGCAGCCAAATGCTCTCCTGGTGTGACAAAGGGAGGCCCTGGATGGTTGCCAAGAGGGGGACCCTCCCCTCCCCCCACCACCCCCCTCTCCAGCCACCCTCATCCCCACAGGCCGACATGCAGCGCTGGGAAGAGCAGAGCCAGGGAGCCATCTACACCGTGGAGTATGCCTGCAGGTAAGGGTCCCAGATGACATCTCCCTGTCTGGCCTTCTGGGTGTTCAGGTGCCTGCCAGGCAAGCAGGAGGTCCTGGGTTCTATCCTCAAATAAAACCGATTGCGCTTCTGGGCACATAGGCCCAGCCAGGTGCGGGAGCCCCGGGGAGCCAGAGCCGCTCTAGTGGACGCAGCCCTGGTTGGGGTGACTTTTCTGGTGGAGTCTGAGCTTCTCTTGGCGTATCTGCCCGCTGAGGTGGCAGGCTCTGGTCACCGGCAGGAAGCTGTCATCTAAGAGGAAGGCTGGGTTGGAGGTTGGCCCCTCTCCGCCCCGCAGCCCAAGTCCTGGACGTGAGCCATGGTGGGACTTGGGGAGAAGCCCTGAACTTAGGGGCATGCGTGCTGGGCCCTACAGGACCATCGCCCAAGCTCCGCCCCAAGGCCCTTCCCACAGGCAAGCTCTGCACCCCACAGACTCTGCCTTGTGCGGGTTCCGCCCCACGCCCGGGCGCGCAACCACAGGCGAGCTCTGCCTCACTCGGGCACTGCCATACACAAGCCCCGCCCTCGGTGCCGCCCACACACAAGCCTCGCCCTTCCGGGAATGCACCTATTCAAGGCTCCACCCCTTCGGGCACCACCCACTCGCAAGCCACGCCCCCATACTGCTGTCATGCCGGCCCCGCCCCTCGCACTGCCCCCTTGTGGGCCCCGCCCTACACAAAGCGCCAACCCGCACGCAGGGTCCGCCCACTCCCAGGCCCCGCCCGCAGGTCAGCCTCGCCCCTGTGGGCCCCGCCCACGCCGCCCTTTTCTGTTTCAGCGCCGTGAAGAACCTGGTGGACAGCAGCGTGTACTTCCGCAGCGTGGAGGGCCTGCTCAAGCAGGCCATCAGCATCCGGGACCACATGAACGCCTCCTCGCAGGGCCACAGGTAGCTCTGGGGCCGCCCGACCCGCGGCCGCCTCCCCCGCTCCTCTCCCTCCTTGGACGGCTCTGACTGCTGGGGTGATGGTCCGCAGGGATCAGGTGCTCCGCGCTCTCCTGCCTCGGTGATCCGCGGGGTGATCGGGTGCTCTGCGCTCTCCTGCCTCGGTGATCCGCGGGGTGCTCTGAGGACAAGGACAGGCCTGCTCTCGGGGCAATGGGTGAACACGACCGCAGGGCACACTGGCCAGGGCAAAGGCCCCGGGGCTGCGGGCCCTGGGTGGACGCGGAGGCGCTGGCGGGGGTCTTCTCGGCCCCTGGGGCCGCGGGAGGGCAAGCCGAGACCCGCCGGCCGGCCTGGGAACGAACGCGCGTCTTCTGCAGCAGCTCTTTGTGATTGTGTGTTCGCTGTGATTTAATAAAGCACGCATGCGCCACAGTCCCGTGAGCTGTTTAGAAACCAAATGTAGCCGCGCGCAGGGCGCTCACGCCTGTCATCCCAGCCACCCAGGAGGCTGAGCTCTGAGGATCGCGGTTCAAAGCCAGCCCGGGCAGCAAAGTCCAGGAGACTCTGATCTCCAATAAATCACTCAGAAGACCGGAAGTGGCGCTGTGGCTGAGGGACAGCGCCCAGGCCCAGAGTTCAAGCCCCACAACCGACGAAAAACAAAGGAGCAAAATGTGCTGGGCCAGGCCTGCGGTCTAGGCCCGGCTTGGGGGGGGGGGGTGCCGGAGGAGCCGGGTTCCAGGGGTTCAGGCCAGCTGCACGGATTTCATTGCAGCCCCCAGGAGCCAGCCCCGCCCCCGGAGCAGGCCCCGCCCCCGGAGCAGGCCCCGCCCCCGGAGCAGGCCCCGCCCCCGGAGCAGGCCTCGCCCCCAGCGCCGGCCCCGCCCCCAGAGCAGGCCACGCCCTCCGGCTGAAGCACCCGGGGCCCTTGGCCTCCGCCCAGGTCAGTGCCTGCCAGGCCGCCCCGCGCCCGCTAACCCACCCGCACCGCCCCGCAGCACCGCCGCTAACCCGGGCCTCCTCGCTTGGGCCTCCGCATCTCAGGTCCAACTCCCTGCCTCCCTTTGCCTCGTCCAGGCCTCCCTGCTCACTGGGCGGCCAGCGCAGCTCCCTGGGCCCGCTGCCGGCCCCGCCCCGGCCACCGTGGTTGGCTTCAGATCGGAAGCGTGTGAGCCATCGAGAGGGCTTCTCCGAGGACTGGCCTGGACAGACTCTCCCCTGTTGGCCTGGGAGGGTGGACGGGGCGCCCTGAGGGGCGGGGGGAGGGGCGGGAGACCCTGGACACTGGAGAGCACTAAACCAGGCTCAAATGTATCGCGTGCTGGCCGTCTGCGCAGCCCGGGCAGAGGAACCGTCTGGGGGGGGCGGCGAGGTGCCAGCTCCACCAAGGGCCCTGAGCCTCTCATTGTCCCCCGCCCGCCTCCCCTCCCCCTCCTCCCCTCCCGTCTCCCACCTCCCCGCCTCACCTCCCACCTTCCATCTGCCACCTCCTGTCCCCCACCTCCCCTCCCACCTCCCCTCCTATCTCCCACCTCCTGTCCCCCACCTCCCACCTCCCCTCCCATCTCCCACCTCCCCTCCTCCCCTCCCACCTCCCCTCCCATCTCCCACCTCCCGTCCCCCACCTCCCACCTCCCCTCCCATCTCCCACCTCCCCTCCCATCTCCCACCTCCCGTCCCCCACCTCCCACCTCCCCTCCCATCTCCCACCTCCCCTCCCATCTCCCACCTCCCCTCCCATCTCCCACCTCCTGTCCCCCACCTCCCACCTCCCTTCCTCACCTCCCACGTCCTCTCCCATCCCCCACCTCCCCTCCTCCCCTCCCACTTTCCATCTCCCACCTCCCGTCCCCCACCTCCCGTCCCCCACCTCCCACCTCCCATCCCCCACCTCCCCTCCTCCCGTCCCCCACCTCCCGTCCCCTACCTCCCACCTCCCATCCCCCTCCTCCCGTCCCCCACCTCCCTCCTCCCTTCCCACCTCCCGTCCCCTACCTCCCACCTCCCCTCCCCCACCTCCCCTCCCCCACCTCCCCTCCATCCATGAGCCACACCAGCCGGCCTGCACCCGGAAGGGACCACAGCATGGGCAGCGCACTTGGGGGACAGTCCTGGGCGTCCCCAGCCCCCCTGTGGCCCACAGCCCCTGCCACCTGAAGGCTCAGGGGGCTCATTTGCATCTCATTTGCATGTCCTGCCACCACCAGGGGGCACACCTGACCTCCGCCCCTGCGCTTCTCATCCTCAGCAGGGACTGAGCATCCCCCTGCCCCCCCCCCCCCTCCGGGCCAGCCCCACGTGATCCGTGGACGAGCATCCCCCTGCCCCCCCATCCCCCCCCCGTCCCGGGCCAGCCCCAGGTGACCCCAGTCGCAGGTGTGTGCCGTACTGGGGTTCATGCCGCTCCTTGGCGCGCAGTGACTTCGGCCTTGGCCGGCGCTCGCTGGGCTCTGCTCGGGCCAGGTTTTCGGGTGGGTTTGCCCATCCTGCCACTGGGGCCGGGGCCTGTCCCCCACCTGGCGACACCCCAGCCCGGGGTCCCCTCCCCATACCGGGCCTCCAGGTGCCCCTGCTTAGCTGCCCCCGGGGCCCTGCGGGGCCACCACACCCCGGGCTGTCCCTGAGGACCCCCCCACAGGAACAGGGGTGCCCCCAGCCCAGAGCACCCACCCCTGACACCCCAGCCCCCTCAGCCCCCCCAGCCCAGAGCGCCCACCCCTGACACCCCAGCCCCCTCAGCCCCCCCAGCCCAGAGCGCCCACCCCTGACACCCCAGCCCCCTCAGCCCCCCCATCCCAGAGCGCCAACCCCTGACACCCCAGCCCCCCCCAGCCCAGAGCACCCACCCCTGACACCCCAGCCCCCTCAGCCCCCCCATCCCAGAGTGCCCACCCCTGACACCCCAGCCCCTCACAGGCCCCCAGCCCAGAGCGCCCACCCCTGACACCCCAGCCCCCTCAGCCCCCCCATCCCAGAGCGCCCACCCCTGACACCCCAGCCCCCTCAGCCCCCCCAGCCCAGAGCGCCCACCCCTGACACCCCAGCCCCCTCAGACCCCCCAGCCCAGAGCGCCCACCCCTGACACCCCAGCCCCCTCAGTCCCCCCATCCCAGAGCGCCCACCCCTGACACCCCAGCCCCCTCAGTCCCCCCATCCCAGAGCGCCCACCCCTGACACCCCAGCCCCCTCAGCCCCCCCAGCCCAGAGTGCCCACCCCTGACACCCCAGCCCCTCACAGGCCCCCAGCCCAGAGCGCCCACCCCTGACACCCCAGCCCCTCACAGCCCCCTCCGCCCCAGCCGGGTGCACTGCCTCTGCCCTTGTCATGGGGGGTGGGTCTGGGGGGGAGGTCGAGGCAGGAGGATCCTGAGTTTCGGGCGGTCAGGGCCTAGCTGTCCGCTTTTCCCCCCTGTACCCTGCCCTGCCCTCTGCCCTCACCAGTGGGGAGGGGAAAGGGGTGGGGGGAGTGGGGCAGGGGTGCGGCCAGCGCCTCCCGGCCCTGCCCACGCTGCCGCCCGCCGCCCCAGCTGCCGCCTGGGCCTCATGTAACCCAAGCCCGACTGTTGCATCAGAGCATCAGAGCGGGCGGGCGGCCGGGTAAACAGAGCGGCCCCGGGGGCCCGGCTCCCCAGCGGCCTAAACCCCCCCCCCCCCCCCCCCCCCCCCCCGCCGGTGGCCTTGGGACATCCGGGGCCGCGGGCCGCGCCAGCGAGCCGTTTGGGGTGGTGGACTCCCCTATTTCTCCGGGGTGGGGGGGTGTCTCCACCTCAGGTCCCCAATAACCTGGCACCTGCCACATGCTTTCTCACCAGAGTCCAGCAAGTCTCTGTCCCCTGGAGGTGTGGACGCCAGGCTGTGCCCAGCCCGGCTGGCCGGCCCTGTTCCCCGCCGGGCTGGGCCCCAGTCCATGCCTCCCCTCTGGAAAGCTCAGTGGCCAACTCCCATTCATACTCAAGAGCCCAGCACAAATGCCCCAAACTCCTGAAAGAAGCCCTCCCCAGCCTTCCTTCCCAATCCTGGCCTCTGTGTGTGTGTGTGTATCTTGTGTGTGTATGTGTGTATCCTAAGTGTGTATGTATGTATCATGTGTGTGTATCCTGTGTGTATATTGTGTGTGTATCTGTGTATTGTGTGTGTAACCTGTGTATGTGTATCTTGTGTGTGTATCATGTGTGTTGTGTGTGTATGTGTGTATCGCGTGTGTATATCCTGTGTGTGCATGTGTATTGTGTGTGTGTATCCTGTGTGTGTGTGTGTGTGTGTGTGTGTGTGTGTGTTTAGAGTCTCCCTGCCCTCTCTGGGCCTCCTCTGGCCTGGTGGGGGAAGATTTGCCAGGCTCCCCACAGTTGGTCTCTGAAGAGGAGCAGGGACGGAGGGGCCGCGGCGGGGTGGGGTGGGGACGGAGCGGGGAAGGAGCCTGGGGCCCTGGGGGCGAGGAGGGGTCGCAGGGCCATGGGACCGGGCCCGGACCTATCCTGGCCCTTGGAGGCAGAGGCGCCCAGGCTAGCCCCGGGAGCCAGGTCACCCGGATGACACCCCCCACCCCCCGGCGCGCCCAGACTGCGCGGGTCACGGCCCACGTTCCGGGATGGAGAGCGGAGATCGGAGTCGGAGACAGCGTCACGGGGGCTCCCGGGGGTCGGCGGCGCGGACGGGGCCCCGCGGAGGCCGGGAAGCCTGGGGCGCGGGGCCCCGCGGAGGCCGGGAAGCCTGGGGCGCGGGGCCCCGCGGAGGCCGGGAAGCCTGGGGCGCGGGGCCCCGCGGCCCAGCGAGCCGAGCCCAGCGCGGCTCCGGAACCCCGGGGGCGGGGCCGCGCCAGGCCACACCCCGAGCCACGCCCACCGCGCCCACGGGTCGGCCCTCCATGCAAATCAGGGCGGCGACGGCCAATCAGCCGCGGGGGCGTGGCCTGCGCGGGGCTGGCACCTGCGCGGGCGGCGCGGGAAGCGGAGTGCGGTGCAGCTCCGGGTCTGCAGCGCCCACAGGTGCGTGTGGGCCGGGCCGGGCGGGCCGGGCGGGGTGTGCGGGCCGGGCGGAGCCGGGTGTGCGGGCCGGGCGGGGCGGGTGTGCGTCGCTGTGGCCGTGCGCGCGTCGGTGCCGGGGCTCGAACTCGGGGCCCGGGCGCCTTTCCCCAGCTTTTCCGCTCCGGGCCGGCTACCGCCGGAGCCGCAGCTCCGCTCGGGCTTTGAGCCGCGGGACTTTCCGGCCGGGGTGCGGGGTAGGCGGGGCCGTGCGGGGCGCACCCCGTCTGGCAGCCCCCTGCTCCCTCTCCTCCCCGTGGCGGGGCAGTGTCCTCCCCGTGCCTCGGTGTCCCTGGGGCCGCGGGCCCGGGCGGACTGGCGGCAGCACGGCCGGACAGGCGGACAGGCTGGCGCCGCCGCCGGCCGCGCACCAGTGCGGTGCGGGGGGGGGGGGGGGGGGGGGGTTGCGGTCCGGCCTGGCCCAAGCCCCCCGGACGCCTCAGGGCCTGGGGACAGCGAACCTGCCTTCAAAGAAGCGGTTAGGTACGGGCTGGGTCGAGGCCCTGGGTTCGAGTCCTCAGCACCCCATACACAGAAAAAGCTGGAAGGGGCGTTGTGGCTCAGTGGAGAGTGCTAGCCTTGAGCTGAAGAGCTGAGGGACAGCGCCCAGGCCCCGAGTTCAAGCCCCAGGACTGGCACAGAGAAAAGAAAAAGATAGGGGGGGAAATGTAGTTAAGAGCTGGGCACTGGTGGCTGACGCCCTTAATCCCAGCTATGCAAGAGGCTGGAGATCTAAAGGTGCCAGCCTGGACAGACAAACTGGACAGACTCTCCAAGGAACCACCAGAATGCTGAGGGTGGAGCTGTGGCTCGATTGGTAGAGCACCAGCCACGCATGGAAAAGCTCAGAGACAGCAGCATCCAGACCAAGTTCCTGCTCCAGTACCCCCCCCCCCCCCACACACACACTGAACAGGGACCGAGGGCACGTCTCCGCCGGCCTGGGTTCCATCCTTGTCGCAGGAAACCGTGTTTAGCTCTCGAAGGACCAGTGCTGGACGTTTTCTCCCCAGCCAGTGTTGTGTTTCTTCACCCAGCGCCTCTCTGAAGGGAGAAGCGGACGCAGTCTTCAGGGCACAGGTGGAGGGGACACCCAGGCAGAGAGAGAGAAGGGAGAGTCTCTGAAGCTGGCTTTTGCGTGGCAGTTGTTTTTGTTTTGAAGAGGGGAGAGATAAAGGTCTGGTAGGGACCCCCCTTTCCCCCCCTGCCCCTGGCTCCCCAGGGAAGTAACCACATATGAGCCTCCCTGCCCTGTGTGTCCTGTGGCGGGGCTCTGCCGTCTCTGAGCGCTGTGCACACCTTAGTGGCCAGAGCAAGTGGAAGCCGATCTTGGCTTTGCAGTTTCAACTAATGAACGTTGTTGTGTGTGTGTGCATGCGTGCACGCGCGTGTGTTTGAAATAATGAGGATGAAACCTGGTGTCCTTGTGAATGCTCGTGCCCAGCATTCAACTTATTCTTACTTGATTTGCCTGTGTGATGGTCCTGGTTTTTTGTTTTTGGGTTTTTTTTTTCCAGCATTCAACTTATTCTTACTTGATTTGCCTGTGTGATGGTCCTGGTTTTTTGTTTTTGGGTTTTTTTTGGTCGTTGGTGGTGGGACTTGAACTCTGGGCCTGGTTCTGTCCCTTAGCTCTTTAGCTCAAGGCCAGCGCTCTGCCACTTGAGCCACAGCGCCACTTCTGGATTTTTTAGTGGTTAATTGGAGATAAGAGTCTCACGGACTTTTCTGCCTGGGCTGGCTTTGAACTGTGATCCTCAGATCTCAGCCTCCTCTATAGCTAGGATTACAGGAATGAGCCACCAGTGTCTGGCGGGTCCTGGGGTTTGAACTCATGGCCTGGGCGCTGTCCCTGAGCTTTTGTACACCAGGCTGTTGCTCTCCCACTCAAGCCACAGCTCCACTTCTGGCTTTTTGGTGGTTCGTTGGAGCTAAGAGGCTCACAGACTTTCCTGCCCAGGCTGGCTTCTATCCGTGGTCCTCAGCTCCCACGCTCTTTAATAGCTAGCATTACAGGGATGACCTGCCATGCCCTTACTTAAATCTTCATCAGCCCCGCGGGGAATTCGGTCTCCGATGCAGTGGGTGGACATGCGCTGGGGAATGTCTGAGGGTGCATGTCTGTGGGTGCGGGTCTTTGGGCTGAGGGAGCTCGCTCCGGTCCCAGCCTGTGCACTCAGTGGGGTGTGGGGGAAGCAGGACACCCCAGACTCAGGGATGAGCACCTCAGGCCTGGAGAAGCTCAAGCTCACAGGCAGACAGCGCAGTAAGTTTGGGGTGCTTGGGGAGGATCCCAGATGCAAGCCCAGGCGTCAGTGGGGACGGGGTGGGGGAGGGGAGGGGGGACCCGGCCTTCAGTGTAGACGCGGCCGGGAGGTCCCGTGTGTGTCTCGGGTGGAGTGTGGGTTGGGGTCTCTAGTGAGGTCTGAATCAACCTGTGCTCCCCCGCTAAGCCCTCCAGATCAAAGTGGAGGCTGGGAAGGGAAGGTTCTAGAAGGTTGGGATATGGCATCCCTCATGGCAAAGCTTTGAGCCTGTCTTACCCACCTTTCCAAGTGTTAGCCCTGCCCAAGCAGGCCCCACCATCTCCTGCCCCCCGCAAAGGCTTCTCCTCTCCACCGCCGTGGGGGCTTCTACCGAACACCCCAAGTGTGCCAGGTTCTAGGGGCTCATGCCTGTCACCCCAGCCGAGACACTGAGATCTGAGATCATGGTTCAAAGCCAGTCTGGGGCAGGAGAAACTCTTACCTCCAGTGAGCCAGCAAAGATAGCCAGAAGTGGAGCTGTGGCTCAAGTGGTGGAGCACCAGCATTGAGCACAAAAGCGCAGAGACAGCGCCCAGGCCAAGCACAGGACCAGCACACGCTCTGCTCCGGGCCTCTTGCAGTCTCTCCCTTCCCTCCTCCTGCCCAGCACATTCCCACCTCAGGGCCTTTGCACCGGCTGTGCTGTCCACCATTTCCCTACTTGGCTGGTGTCTTCCCGTCCTGAAGACCACCCTTCCAGAAAGGCCCTTTGGGGCCGTCTGCGGCCACTCTCTCCCGACCTGGCCATGTGTCTGTCTGTCTGTCATTGCCTTCCCCACCACCCTGGCCAGCCCTGCCTGTGCCCGGGCTCCTGTACCCAGGCATTTCTGGGGGAACGGGAACTGAGCTCCCCACCCCACCCCCACCCCTCAAGCCTCAGCTCCGCTCAGCATCCCAGCTGGCCGCGTCCTGGGGCTTCCAGGCTGGGCACAGTCCCTTCCGCCCCGCGCTGACAGCTGTGCTAATTTCCCAAGCAGGGCGGCCCTGGTCTCTGGGGATGGATTTCTGGGGCCCCAAAGGGAGCTCACTTTCTCTGGAACAAAGAGAAGGAAATCTTGGGCTGGCCCCGCAGCCAGCGCTGCGGCTCAGGGGACATGAACCCCGGGCCGTGGGTGGCCGCGGCTCTCAGAGGTGGGACAGCAGGCTGGGGATGGGGGGCAGGGCTTGCACCTGCTCGGGCCAGCGCCTGTGCCCGGTCAGGCGGGCAGCTTGTAAGTCCAGGTTTCACTGTCACGGGCCCGTTGCCTGGCCAGAGAGAAATGAAGGCAGAGTCTGCGGGTGGGTACTTTGTCTTAGAATTTTTACAGTCTGGTGGCTCAAGTGATAGAGCATCTGTCTAGCAAGTGCAAAGCTGAGTTCAAACCCCAGTACTGTGCTTTAAGAAAAAGACAGTAAGCCAGGTGCCGGTGGCTCACGCCCGTTATCCCAGTGACTCAGGAGGCTGAGATCTGAGGACTGAGGTTCAAAGCCAGCCTGGGCAGGAAAATCTGTGAGACTCTTATCTTCAATAAAGCACTAGCCGGGCGCTGGTGGCTCACGCCTGTAATCCTAGCTACTCAGGAGGCTGAGATCTGAGGATCGCGGTTCAAAGCCAGCCCGGGCAGGAAAGACCGTGAGACTCCTATCTCCAATAAACCACCAGAAAACCGGAAGTGGCGCTGTAGCTCAAGTGGTAGAGCACTCGCCTTGAGCTGAAGAGCTGAGGGACAGCGCCCAGGCCCAGAGTTCAAGCCCCACGACCGACAAAAAAAAAAAAAAAGCACTAGAAATTTGGAAGTGGTGCTGTGGCTCAAGTGGTAGAGTGCTTGCCTTGAGCTGAAGAGGGACAGTGCCCAGGCCCTGAGTTCAAGCCCCACGACCGACCAAACGAAAAAGAAAAGGCAGTAAAGCCAAGTAACAGTGGCTCCCTCCTGTCATCCCAGCGACTCAGGAGGTTGAAATCTGAGGACTGCGGTTCAAAGCCAGCCTGGGTAGGCAAGTCCATGAGACTCTTATCTCTAGCTAACCACCAAAATGCCCCAAGTGGGGCTGTGCTCAGGTGGCAGAGCTCCAGCCTAAGTGGAGCTCTGGGACGGTGCCCAGGCTCTGAGTTCAAAGCCCAGGATGGGCACCATCATGAGGAAGAGAATTTGATCTTCAGCCCTGGGGCTGCCTCCTCGGGTCCTGGGGCAGACCCTAGGCCTTTCACCCCACATTCCCACCCCCCCAGGCCACTGGAGGGGCGGAGAGTCCCTGGGCAGGCCTCAGTTTCCCCTGGCCAGAGGAACCTGTAGAGAGAGGCCGCTGTGGGCCATCTCTAGCAGAATGTTGTTTAGACACAGACCGACAGACAGACACGGCCCGAGACGCCCGAGCCTCCGCTGCCCCTCGGGTGGCGCTGACCTCTGGCCTCAGGATTTAGCCAGGGGTGCCAGGCCGGGAGGGGTGTCGGGGCCCGCGTGGACGTCGGGGGCGGGCGCCCCTCCGGGGTGTGCGCGGGTCACGGTGGGGCCTGTGGTCCGGGGTCTCCAGCGCGCGTGGGGTTCGTCCGCCTGTCGGAGGAGCCGGGCCCCAGGACGGCGCGGACGACACCGGGTGTGGGGACTCGCCGACCTCGGGGGCGCTGTGCCTGCTCTGGGGTCTGTGAGCGTGGGGGGACCCCCCCACCCCCGTGGCTGA